CGCTTTCCGTCCTGTGAGGACATACCAGCAGAACACCAAAATGGACACTGCATTCCATTTGTTGCCTCTTCGCGAAGTTGAAAAGCGAACTGACTACATCCCCGCCATCTCCCACTCATATCCGAGTCACCCCCAAGGATATGGCACATCCCCAGGCGGAAACAGATATCTGTTTCATTGTGAGACGCTGAAGGTTATTCCCTCAAGCCCAGTGACTCATCCACTCCCATCGAAGGAGCTCTTGACAATGCAACGGAACCTGAGACGCATTGCCAGTATGCAAGGAGCCAGTGAAAGCCGAGGACAGTGACCTAGACTCCGATGGCGATGCTGTCGCCGTTACATCAGGCTCACGATACCCGATCAAAGTTCACTTGTTTAGATAGTTTCCCTCTAACTCCTGCCCCTCCCAATATCGCCAACGAATCTACATCTGTCTTCCTTCCCCAACTGTAGATCCCAACAATTTACACGCCCGGGAGATCAGGCTGGGTGTGGCTCACCAGTGATGTGGATACACCCACACAAGCTAGTAATGCTCCAATGCAAAACAAGGATTTAGCTACGCCCGAGGTATTCCGTACAGAGATGCATGATAAAAGTAGTACAGCTCAACCGCTAGACTATGGTAAAACCAAAGTCCCTGTTCCCTGTTTATGACAAGGTAAGGCTATCTTATTGTATGACAATTCTACACGTAGCACTGGCCCACCATGCTGCATGAGACTAAACTACATGCATAATTAGTGGGGCAGTTCTTCAGCTGAAGCATCCAACACATACGTGCGTAGATGGGCCTGTTCCCCGATTGTTGTCTACCCAGTAAGCCTAGCTGGACTGCCTGTGCATGCAATAGGAAAGTACCTGAATAATTAATAGGCTGTAGCTTCTAACCTTCCCAACGTCCAAGGTTATAAACTTCGAGCGGAAGTGGTCGCTCACCGCAATTTCTACGTGTTCAATAATACTAAGTTTCTCAACCCCGTCCACGCGTGGTGTATATGCATACGGCTGAAGCTATGAAACCTAATTATAGGGGTAATTGTGCCCATGTTCGTGTGACTGCATGAGCTGCGTGAGCTGAGAGGGGGCAACCTGAGAAGATCGTAACTTTGGATGTATCAGATCTGCGAGATACCTACATATATCAGCCAATAAAGATCCAGACCCTCTGCCAATCTCGATTCCATTTACGGGGTACATGGATGTACTCTCTAGATATGCATACTCCTGTACTCCATATGTGACGAAATAGGCGCAGCTGTACTCTCATCACGCATATTGTCGTGTGGCAGTCGGTAAATTTAATGCACGTCGATGTTAGCGAACTGGATCTGCAAGATACAGTCGAGTACCTCCGTCAAGCGCCCAATTCGGTGCGTTGGGCACTTGCCATAGTTATATACATGTATTGAGCGGCAGCCCTCCAGAAATCATTACTTTTTCGTAAAGCCTTGGTTTTGGTCTGCTGGAATTCTCATCAAGATGGGATCCATTGCTCCTCAACGAACTCCTTTGCGGATTTTGGATGCCGCCGCCGAGAAACACCCTGATCAGCTCTACTGTGTTCACCCAGTCTCGTCGGATATCTCTCAAGGATGGAGAGACATCACCTTTGCAGACCTAGCAAATGCCATTAATCGGATGGCTCTTTGGATCCAGGAAAATGTCGCCTCTTCTGATGCACCGCAAACTCTGGCATACATGGGAGCCAACGATATTCGGTACTCCGCATTTATGTTTGCATGCATGAGGCTCAGACACAGGGTAGGAGGATCAAGTCTTTAGGTAATTGAAAATTTGTTGACCGTGAGACAGGCGCTGCTTCTCTCCCTCGCAACTCGGAGTCAGCCTCAAGTCACCTCCTCGATGTTACTGGGTGTTCCAAGTTCGTGTATAGCCCCGAGCGGAGTAAACAGATTGAAGAGTTGAAAGGGGCGAATCCATCGTTGCAAGCATGGTTGGTACCAAGTTTGTGGGAGGTTTTCGATAGCTCAGCTTCTGCGCCCGTCGTGAAGGAGCCCGCGGAGGATCCAGAAGATCGCATTGCAGTCTACATCCACAGCTCTGGTACAACTGGTGAGTGCATGTCATTGTCCAGGTTCTTTCCTGAACTGAGATCAGAACTTCTCTAACACTCTCTTTTTTATGGCAGGCCTCCCCAAACCAATTCCAATGACCAACGGGTATTTCCTCGTCCTTGAGCGAACTGGTCTTCTGCCCCTTCCCGAGAACAGACAAAGCAGTATTGTGGCCATTGCAGAAAGAGGTAAACGGGTGTTTGTCATGAGTCCCTTCTTTCACTTTATGGGTATTCTGAGTATCATGACACCTATCGTCTTCGATACTCCTTTCGTCTTGAGCCCCGAGAAGCCCCTGACGGCAGAGCTCCTGGCCCAGATTGTCACGGAAACTCACCCGGAGACAACTCTCATTGCACCTTCTGTGCTAGAGGAGCTCAGTCAATCTGAGCTTGGTATGCAGTCTTTGTCGAAGTTTTGCTTCATTGCCTTTGGAGGAGCACCCTTAGCCCAGGAAATCGGTGATCGCATCTCCGAGATAACTCATCTCCAGTCGGTTATAGGGTCAAGCGAAAACGGGCTCTTCGGAGCGTTGAAGCACCAAGACAAACGCGACTGGCGGTATCTGGAGTGGAACCCCAATGCTGGACTCGAAATGCGTGATGCCGGGGAAGGCTTTTTCGAGCTCGTCGTCCCTGGTGGGGAGGGTCGAGCGGGCCACGCTGTCTTCCATACATACCCCGACAAGGACGAGTACAAGACCGGCGATCTCTTTGTTCCTCACCCCGAAAAGGAAGAAGTTTGGCTGTATTCCGGACGCCGCGATGACGTGATCATTTTGAGCAACGGAGAGAAGTTCAACCCTACCACTATGCAGGAGATCATCTCCAGCCACCCACTTGTTGCTCAAGCACTAGTTGTTGGTCAAGGCCGCTTTCAGTCCGGTGCCATCATCGAGCCCAATTGGTCTTTATGGAGTGGCGAGCCCAACGCATTTATTGATGAGATCTGGCCGAATATCAAGAAGGCCAATGAGTCTGCCCCGGGGCATGCCCAACTCATGAAAAATCGCATCGGGGTAGCATCTCAGGCAAAGCCACTCGAGCTTACACCGAAGGGTACTGTCAAGCGACGTGCCGTGCTTGTTGACTACGCCGACGAGATCGACGCGCTCTACGCCGATGGCGATCGGGTTGATGTTGCGCAGATAGCCAAAGACGCAACACGAGAAGACATTACTGCCTATGTCACTGTAGCCGTCTCGGAGATCTTGGACGTTCCTTCCTTTGATGAGAACACTGACATTTTCGCATCGGGTCTAGACTCCCTGCAAACCCTCAATTTGGGTCAAGTTCTTCAAGGCTCTCTAAAGTCTGCTAGACCTAACTTGGACCCGATGTTCGGTAGCCAGCAACTTTACTCCCGTCCTACCATCGCCCAACTGTCTGGATACGTTCTCGATATTCTCCAAGGAAACGACTCAGCTCCTGATGCAGCCACTTTCGAAAGCGATAGCGACCGGGAAACGAGAATCGCTGATCTGGTTGGGAAATACACCGAAGATTTCGGCAAGGGCCACGCAGTTATTCTCACTGGATCTACTGGCTCACTTGGAGCTTACCTGCTCCACGAGCTGCTGAGTGATCTCAGCGTTACCAAGATCTACTGTCTCAACAGATCGGATGATGCAGAACCCAGGCAATTGCAAAGCCTGCGCGAGAAGGGACTGCGCACCTTTAACAAGTTCCCGAGTCGAGTGGAATTCCTCCAGGCACAATTTGGTGAAGTGAAATTTGGCATCGACGACGCAAAATATGACCAGATGCTACAGGAGGTTGACACTATAATCCACAATGCCTGGAAGGTGAACTTCAACCACAGAGTTGAGGCCTTCGAAAATCCCCACATCGCAGGTGTGCGTCGGCTCGTGGAATTCAGTGTCGCCAGCGAAAAGACAGCTCACATCCACTTCATTTCGTCCATCTCTACCATTGAAGGTTACAGCTCGGAGAGAGGTCCTTCAATTCCTGAGATTATCTTTGATGAGCCCAGCTCGGCACTCCGACAGGGATATGGAGAGTCAAAGCATGTCTCTGAGAGGATCTGTGCTACCGCCTCGGCCAAGTGTGGCGTACCGACCAGTATCCATCGTGTTGGCCAGATTGGAGGCCCGACGACAGAGAAAGGCATGTGGAATAAGCAGGAGTGGGTGCCATCCTTGGTTGCGACATCCAAGACCATCAAGCAGATTCCAAATGGACTTGGATCGGTGTCTGTGCAGTGGGTTCCAGTGGTAAGTATTGTCTCTGCTGCTCATTCTTTTATCGAAATCTAATAAACCTCGGTTATTCAGGATATAACTGCAAAGGTCATCGTTGACATCGTCCGGACCCGACGTGGAACGCAAGAGGATGAGCCATGTGCAGCCTTCCACATCGTCAATCCCCGAGCCGCAGAATGGTCATCACTTATTCCAGCAGTGACCAAGTACTTTGACATGGAACCGGTCGATATCAAGACATGGATTGAGACTCTTGAAAGTTTCACAAACCCCACGGAGAGCGATCTCCAGGATAAGCCCGCTCTCAAGATTCTCGACTTTTTTAAGGCTATCTCGTTCGCCGACGAAGCTGGTCCGTGGACTGAAACTACTAAGACTCAAGCGGCCAGTAAGACCTTGCAACGACTGGGGGCAATTGATGCTCCCCTTATGGAGAACTGGATAAAGCAGTGGAAGTTCTGAAAGGATTGCTTTGCACGTAATGTCACAACTCAGGTATAATGAGGTATTTGGCTGGCTTAACTATACATAGCGTTAGAATGCTGAATAACTTGGGGGTGGACATTATTACGTTCTAACAGTTTCCGATGTTTACTATTATTGTTAACATAGATTTGCAGTATACCTAATCCAGACCGTATAGTCACCGTAGGAACCGCGAAAAGTAAAAAGGTTAACTACTACTAGCAAGGTTGAACTTATAAAATCACGATCAGCACAGCAGTACCGACCACCAAAGCACTCATCCCCATAGCCTTTTCGATGCGCATGCCAGCCGAGTTCTTCTTCGGCTCAGACGCACCGTTCTTATCCGTACCACCGGAGTCCTTCTTCGCTCCAGGCACACCATCCTTGCCCGGTGTAATCTCGACAATATCGTCCGGAATATCGTCCGGTCCGTAATCCCAGCTACGCTGTGCCAAGGAGATCTCGTCGTTCCCAAGATCAAAGACTGCATAAACCTTGCTAATGAAGTTGGAGCCCAAAACGATGCTTGCCTCAAATTGGTAGTTGGTGTTCTCACATATCGTGAAATAGCACGTCTCCTCATCAGAAGTCCAACGCTGAGACGCCGTGTGCCTTTCTCGGCTAACAAAATGGCTGAGGTATAATAGGAAATCCAATTCCCCGAATTTGAAATTAATTGTCGAGTTCTCACCCACTGCACTGCAAGAGAAGTTGACTTGTCCCCAATGATCCGGAACGGAGGTGTTGCCAATTTGGGCATTCAGAGCTTGAGCCACGGACTTGGGCACGTAGGTCATTCCAACGGCAGTGTCAAAGACAGCATCCAGCGGAAACTCCTTTGATGTCGCGGATGTTTCGTTGACTGAGATACCATCCATGTTGATCGAGATGTCATCCATGTTGATACGGAGAGCTTTTGTGAGGTCTGATCCGTTGACTATGGGGAAAGTGTAGAGAGGGCCGTCGTACTTCGCCTTGTTGACACCACCGAACAGGGCTGTCTGGTCCCAGAGACTGAAAGCCGGAGAGTTAATCGTACCAGCGTCGACTAATGCCTGGGTCAGGGAGGTGGAAGATGCATTGCCGTATCCAAGACTCAAGGTATCTGAAAAGAGCACGTTAGTAATTATAATGGGTAGGTTCAGATAGCCCAGACGTACTGGCAATGATGCTATTCTCCGTGACAATCCCCATCTTCATAGTGTCCATCGTCACACCACCAATTGTCAGAACGTCGTTGACGAAGTCTCCACCCACCATTGAACCTGAATCATCATATACGAATATCTCAACGAGCTTTTTGGCAGTGGTTGAGGTAGTCATGTTGTAGCCTCCGTATCCACCACAAAGGGACCGGTTCACGTAGAGCCCGCAATCATGGTTATCCACACTCGTAAGCCAACAGCCATTGCCCCAGGTGTGTAGGTAAGCTAGAAAATGTTGAGGCGGGGTGCCGAAAGTCACATTTGCAACATAGGATATTTTCTGGAATGCAAGGTTAGCCTACAAGTCATTCCAATCCTAAGCGCTAGACTTACACGCGCATCCTCGTTATCAAGGTCGACGCCGAGAGTCATCGATCGCCCGGAAAGCTGACGCGAAGTGTCGCGTACCATTGGCACCGCGAGAACTGCCAGACTGTCTCTCTTCTCCAGACTCGATGCATTAGTCAAGGCTAAGCCAGCCAAGCCGAGTAGGCAGGTCAACCCACTGCGCATAGTGAGGGATGCGGGATAGATGAAGATCAGATAAAAAGCATAGGGGCTGGGCTTGAAGAGGGAAAAATAGGAAAGAAAACGAGAAGGAACTTTGCGCTGGCAAGTACGGGGCTTAATGTTTTCCCAATTTCTCCCATCAGTCAGGCTAGGGGCCTGCTAAAATGGCTTAGCGAGGCTCGCTTTCTTTGGTGGAAAATGCTATATGAGGCTAAATGGGGCGTTCCATGTCCATTCGGTCGCCCCCATTTAATGTTTTCAAGCCTCAGAGTACAGTCATTTTACCCCAAAATTAAGCGTGATCAATAAGCGGAATTTTAAGATCTTCTCGAAGAACTACGTAGTTGGGACTTCGTAAAGAGAAAAAGGTGTTAGTTGTGGCCCCAGACCTATGATTCTTAGATCGTCTTGGCAGGGTCCGAAGCGAGGTGGTTTGGAAAAGGTACTGACGCTGGAAAGCTAGTCCAGAAGTAGGATGGAGAGGGAAACTGATCACACTTAGCTCGGTTTCAGCAGCACTCTGCGAGAAATGTCTCAGAATTATTAAATAACTGTCAACAAGCTAAGCGAAGTCAGACTTAATTATTTTGTGCGCTTCATATCTCGTGCGCCAAGAATTGACGGGAACTCATTAAGGAAAGCTCGTCGGTTCAGTCAGTATCATCCTTGCCCTCGAGCGTATTATATAAACGACAAAAACAGGGTACGTCTGCGTCGCTTGCATAGAGTGACCTCGCTCCTCTCTTTCGCGAATCGCATCGAGCGCTACGGGCTGAAGGACGTCTTGCACTAGCTGAGTCACCTCAACACTGCCTGTGTGCAGCTGCGCCGGGCTCGAACTTAGGGAATCATCCCGCAGCTTACGGATTCGTGCCTGAACGTCGTCGAGGAAGCTATCGGCAGTCTCACCGTCTCCAACGTGAAGTGTGACTGCGCCGATATGCTCACGTGCCTGCTCCGTGGCTCCACAGTGGCGGAAGGTGGTGGACGAAGATGGGGCTGTGAGGCTGAAGCGTTCGATGGTGCCGTTCTCGGGTAGGAGATGAACGCGGATTGTGGCACCAAAATTGCCAATAACAAGGAGCGCAGAAGGAGTGGTGGGAGGGTTGAATGAGCTTATAAGACGGGAAAGCATGATTATGTGAGTTAAAGAAGAGATATTCCAGCTTCTTGATTTACTTGTAGTTTGCCAAAAGTCAAGAAAGAAGGTTAACGCTATGGGTACATAAGAAAAACACTCTTAGCGCTTGATTTTTAATACGAGTGCCATTTTCTACATATATGTACAATATATAGTATCACATCACCTACCTTATCCATATAGTACTTCTATAATCGCCTTTATCACCTGCTCTGCCTCTACCCATATGAAGCTATTCCCAGATCGCCTCAATATGAAACCATTTGGATTAATTCCAGCACCACTAAAAGTGCGGATAATGTAATTTTATAAGCAGCATTTAAATTAATAGAAGGTAGACGGTATATAAATTACCTAGCTCCGACCGAAATTTCATCCTAGTTGTGGGTTAATTCTACGATAAAGTTAGGGTAAAAACTATAGATCTTGGGGTTGCTAACTACTTTCTCTGACCGTCCTTGCCACGTATATATCTCCAATTCATGGATATCACCTCTCACTAGGATACACAACTATGCGATCCAAATCCGCACCTTTGTGATCAAACCCATTATATAATCCCCCGACTGTAATGGTATTCTTCTTCCCCTTCTTCAGTGTCAGTTGCAGCGGAGTGGACAGTATGATTCCCTTGTGGGTATCTCGTTGGTATAGAGTTTGTATGCTCGAAGGGTCTCCATTGACCACCACGCTGCTAATCCGACGTAGCTGCCATGAACCGCCAAGTCTGTCCGGGGTACCTCCAGCTATTGAATGTATTAGAATACCAGAACCCAGGCTTTCTAGGCAGTAAATGGAGGTGTACTTACGTTGGTCGCCGAAACCCAAATCGTCAGTGTCTAATAATAATGTTAGTATTGTGCATAAGGAGATAGAAATTAGAAACTGCAAACGCACTTTGGTAGTAGAATGACACCCACTGGGGTTCGCCAGATCCCTCGATATTTTCAAACGTAACGGTGCTGTCGTTTCCATATATTCCAGTGAGAATCACCCCGTCGGTAGCAAAGTTCTTTCAGAATATCATATTAGCGATAGTCTGGCGTCTGAAGTAGGACTATACTCACAGCCTCCTGCTTATATGTATCACCGTGCGTCTTCGCCTGTCTGGCAGTGTATGTTGTTCCCTTAACGGGTTCCCACTCCCCGGTTTTCCTGAAGTCAGTTAGTATGGATGCCATGGTAAAAGTAGAAGGCAGCATCCGTACACGTCAAGATCGTAAACATCGTGCCACTCTAACTCTAGAGTCTTCTTAGACTCATCAGTCTGAACAGGCAACCAGATATAACGACTGTCCCAGACAGAATTGGAGTCCCATTGGTCTCCAATGTACAAGTGTGTCGTCTTCTTCGTCCCCTCAATTCTGAGCGTATATCCAGACTGCGAATTGAAAGTCCGCGTATTTAACGGGGCAACGATAAACGGCTGCGACCAAGGACCGCTTAGTGAGTCGGCCCGGAATGCCACCACATCTGAAACGTGAGTCAAGCGATCATACACGGTAATAAAGTGAACCTCTTACTGTTTGGCCTGTATCCTGTTTTGTGGCTCATAAGTGCCCAGTAGCTCTTCTCCGTCTGCATAATAGTAGGTGCCTCAAGATCGAATTTTGGGAATCGATACACGACCTCATCAAGCGCCGTGAGGTTATCATTCATGCTTGTGAGGTACACATCTCGTCCATCCTGACTATCTCCGTTCGAGTAGAGGGCATATGATCGGCCATCCTTATAGTCAGTGAACAAACCGAAATCTTGGGACCAGTTTCCAAGGGGCGCTGTTGCGTCAACAAAAGTGTACGGACCCTCGATCGTGGAGGAGACCGCGTGACCTTGGAGAAGGAGTCCATAGGTAGAGTTATCCGCATGCCACCACATCTGTTCAATTAGTTTTGGAATGTAAAACCCGAGGGATTTCCAATGCATACATGATAATCCTCGGTCTCGGCGCTGTAGGCCACTTTAGGTCGTTGGATCACGTTACTGGGGGCGATATATGGGTGTCCCTCGATTGGAGCTGCACATGTCAGAATATCGACCTATTTCCAACACGGTCATGGAGACTTACCTAGGGCCAGTCCCCCCGATTTCCAAGTAGCCAGGTCCTCCGAACTATAAACAGAGACGCCTCCGCCTTCCGGCTCCTCTTCTGTCTTGTGTTCGCCGAACCACCAGAAGCGGCCAGACTTCTGGTCAAAGGTGATCCCAGCACCATGTGCATTGATGAAGTTCCCGTCAGTGTCGCGCCATCTACCTCCCGGGACAATGTATTTAGTTTCCACTGAGACAGCCAAAAAAGTAGTTAGACAAGCTGATAACAGTCGCATCTTGATGGTATCGCCGATTGGTTACTTTAAGATATTCAGAAACCATACCAACTTTCAAACTGGGTTAATTTATATCATCATCTAGTCGTCGGTCTCTATTGTACCGATATTGCGGGGTAAAAGAAAGCCGATATTCTCTTCATCTTGGCATGAATACGACATATGCAGTTTGGCTTTCGAAAAATTCCCCCTTACGATTTTGCTATATCCCTTTTTGCGCCCGGCATGCATATACGTAGTACATCGTCAATCTGATCCACCCAGGTGCGCCATTAGTACGGTGTTATCCTAATGTTATGAAAGGAATCGCAGTAAAAGGCGTCCAAATGCCAAGATTTAACATAATTCCATCTCCACAATAAAGCTATAAAGTTCCAATGGTGCCGCCATTTTATTGGATGCTCCGTGGTGGCTAACGGGCGACGGAAGGTGATTCTCCGCCCGCTCACGCCGTCTACTTAGTATTGCATGAGAATACGAACGAAGGATCGGTCTACAGGTAATTGACAAATTTTGAAGCTAAGCTTCTTAAGGTGGCGGGCAGTTTCACCTACATTTTTTGAGTGGATCTTCATCATCGTAAGTAGTTAACGGCGAATCCAGTGGAAGAAGATATAATAAATCGATGATTATGAAAGAAATGGATCTATTTGCCAAGGCCTTAGGCAGGGAGTTTATCGAGAATCAACGAGGTAGAAAAGGTGTTATTATAGACATATCGGCCTTTACAAATACTTTCGTTTGAGCCAAGCTTTACGTCAACCACTTGACTAGACTATGGGTATTCATACTGTAGGAATATAGACAGCTCCCGTATCTACTCCTGGAGGCGGTCAGTCTACAAGTGGCAGGATACTGTAAGGAAGGAACAAGGAGAAGGATATGAGCTTGCGTTGGCTTCACCATAATGGCTACTAGTCAACAGCACCACGTAGAGGCCCAAGCTCGCGGCTGTTGGATCCCCTGGGACGCCCACTGCTATCCCAGGAGACCCCGGTCTTCGTGGAAGACCGGCCGAGTTACTCTCCCTGAGAGTTAACCCGGGTTGTCGTATGATAGTCACTCTTTCAACAGCCAACCATCGGTAGGTCGGGGTCGGAAACTGCAGACACTTGTCTCGCAGAAGCTGAGTTTGGGTCGGGCTCTGACACTGTAGACACTCGTCTAGCAGAAGCTGAGTTTGGGTCGGGCTCGGGCACTGTAGACACTCGTCTAGCAGAATTTGAGTTGGGTCGGGCACTGCAGACACTCGCCTAGCAGAAGCTGAGTAGGGTCGGGCACTGCAGTCACAAGTCTAGCAGTTCTCGGTTGGCGCGAGTAGGGTGGTTGGAGGAGGGAAAATCAAGAGAAGGGAGGGAGGAATGGGAGCCCATTATATGTCGCCTTTGCGGCTTTAGGATTGCTACTATGCCCCATTCAGCTATGATCGAGTCCGTTTAGCAATAAAGATAAACGGAATATCTAACTTTCTCTTTCCCGAAGCATACTAGTACATATTTATTAAGGTTAGATCAACCACTGGATTCTAGGGTTTACCATGGGAGCCGTCATCCAGAATTCCCCGTATACTTCAAAGAGTTGCTCTTCACTACTTTCATTGTTTGGGAATGTATTCACTCAAACCTTGGAAACTCTGGTCAAGGCGATCTGGTAAATACTGTAGGCGTGAAGTTAGTACGGAGTAGTCTTCCTTCCACTACCTAGGTACCATATTCATGATGTAATCTACAACAACAGAATGAGCCTCAAAGCTTCATCTTCTTCATCTTCTACAAGGTTGTCAGTTCGGGTACTTCGTGGTGTGTCTCGGCACATCAAAACCATTGTATCATCCATGGATCATCTGAATATTTAGTCATCAATATGGACAAAAGAGACTAACAATAACAAACACCCGCACGTCAGCGCCTTAGGAGCGCCATCCTGTTGGGAACTGAGATCCGATCATAAGTACCCTGGGGATGTAGAGCAGTACCGACTCTATAACCTTGCTTACTTGGAGATTAGGCGCTCTATTTTCCCTGCTTCAATAGTCATGTCTTGCAGTTTCTACCTACTTGGCCAATCAATAATCGGGGTGGATGTTTGGTTGGACTTTATTTACTTTCCCATAATGGGCTCCCGGGCTATGATCTGTATTTCACTACAAGCTTTGTTTCACGCATGTCAACCTAAAAGCTTCGGCAACCTGATACGGCGGTACCTGCAGATCACCCAAGAATCGAGATACGTGAAGCCACAGTGGGTGACGTATCTAGGCACAAAACGCACATCGCTTGAAGTCTATAGCAATTTTGGAAGCCCCCATGTTTTATTACCAACTTTGCTGAAAGACTCTTTGGTGTTTTTGTACAGACTTGGACTGTTGGCATTTGTTCAACTGCCGCGAGACAGGTTGGCTTGTTACGTGTACATTGGGTATGACCCTACATGGCAAGTACCCATCATCAGATACGGGCCCGCTCTTCCAATTTTAATTTAACAGCCTCAGAAAAGATCTTATTGAATGCCCAGATTAAGTTTGTTTATAAACTTGAAAAGGAGACTTTTACAGTTTTGGCACATCATTGACCATACCTTGAACCTTTCAAGTTTTGAAGTTGGAAGTTCTATGGGCAGGTGATTGCGTTGGGACAAAACCTCACGTAGTTGGAAGGCACCACCGTTCTCCTCGTAGACTTCTCTTCCTTTCTTCGCCCAACCAAAGTCAAAGCTCTCTTGGTGTGGGTCTTTTCATTTTTCTTCTCGTTGTCAGCGGTGGTCCCCGGTTCTGGATCTGGTGCCGGTCTCACTTCCAGCGTAGGCGGCGGATGTAGAAGCGCTGGCTACGGAAGGTAAGTCCCGTGATACCTCGTTGCCGCATCACCGTTTTCTGCATGAGGTCATATTATCTGTTTCCTCAGATGTCCTGCTGCTTTTTATGGGTGTCTCACAGACAGGGAGATTATTTCCATATCTGTCGATCATTGGCAATGTGTGTGGCACATCCCACAGTTGACGGTCGATCCTTTTTTCCCACAATGCTTGACCCTTCCGGCGTATTCGGAGCGGCACTAATATTGGATCTAGCAAGAAGCCGCCAAGGCCCACGACCACTTGACCTCTCATTCCACGCAGCGCTGGTGCAGACCAATATCAGATACCCGTTTTCTTTCTCCGTCGGTCCAACCAGTGTTCCTCTAGGGTGAGACGAGTGAACATGAAGTCTGACGTGTATGGCCTAAATAACGTGTGCCATTTCTGCTGGTTCAAGTGGAGTTGCTCCCGAGTCGGCAAGGGCCGCCCTGTCACATGTCAGGTTCCAAGGTGGGTTGCTCGCTTATGGGTTGTTTGCATGATTTGCATAATTTGCAGAAATGGGACTACCTTTACCCTTCTGGGTTATCACTCCACTTCTCTTCCTTCGCTTCCTTTTCTCAAGGATCTACGATATAAAATCTTAAGTTTACTGCACAGATCTGGCGCCTAACAGATTGACCCTCCGTATTGCAGGGATTACAATGAACCTCGTTTAGAAGAAATTATCCGCAATGTCTTGGCAAAGCAAACCGGCGGCCATGCTGTGTGCTGGAAAGGAGAAACCCCCGAAACATGTGGATCCGTTTTGAGGATCAACAGCGGTGTACGCAGTACGAATTAAACTATCGATGATCGTTCGGGAATTGTCCCTGGAAAAGTACTAGGCTGAGCTGTTGGCGCAGAGATCGCCATGAGCTAGCCGCGGCACGCCGGCCAAGTCTTCAACGGCTTTTGGTAAAAATGGAGAACAATGCGAACGATCCCCGGTGTTCAGGGGGGAAACAATGCATAAAAGCCGGGATGATCTCTCTTGGAAGGCCAACTCACTCATAGTCATTCTTTGTCAATATGATTCTCTCTTACATCTTTGGCCTGCTGGTCGCCACGTCCGGCCTGGCCAAGGCCGTTAACATCACCGGTTACGAATACGTCGTTGTCGGTTCTGGTGCTGGTGGTGGTCCTCTGGCTGCCCGTCTTGCTTTGGCGGGTCACAAGACACTGCTCCTTGAGGCTGGTGATGATCAGGGTGAAAATTACAACTACACCATCCCTGCTTACTCCGCCAGAGCCTCCGAAGACGAGAAGCTTGCGTGGAACTTTTTCGTTCGCCACTACGAAGATGACGAGCGCCAGGCTCGCGATTGGAAGGCTAGCTACGACACGCCTGACGGCGGGATATACACCGGCCTGAACCCTCCCGAGGGCTCGACCTTGAAGGGAACCCTCTACCCTCGTACAGGTACCCTTGGTGGTTGCACTGCCCACAACGCCTTGATTGCAGTCTACCCACACCAGTCCGACTTTGAATACATTGAGACCATCACCGGCGATAACTCTTGGACACCCGACAACATGCGCAAGTACTACGCTAAGCTGGAGAACAACGGTTACTCGCTTCCCGCAGTCAAGGGCCACGGTTACGACGGCTGGTTGTCGACCGAGACCGCGCCTCTTAGCATCGTCTTGAAGGATACTCAGCTGCTGAGCATGCTCACCGGTGGTGCCTTTGCGCTCGGTAACTTGACCGATCACCTTATGAACATTGGCACTCTGCTACTTGGCGATGCCAATGCTGATAAGAAGAGCCGTGACACCGAGCCCGGCTACTACCAGATTCCCATTTCCACCGATGACGCCCACCGTAACGGTCCCCGCGAGTTCATCATTGCTGTTCGCGATGCTAAGAACGACGACGGCTCTAAGAAGTACCCTCTTGATGTTCGCATGAACACCCATGTCACTAAGGTGACCTTCGACGAGACTGAAAACCCACCTCGCGCCACCGGTGTGGAGTTCCTCGAGGGCGAGCACCTCTATAAGGCTAGCCCTATGTCGAAATCTGCTCTTCCCGGAACCCCCGGTTCCGCCACCGCTTCTCGTGAAGTCATCGTTTCCGGTGGAGTATACAACTCCCCCCCAGATCCTCAAGCTGAGTGGTGTCGGACCTGCCGAGGAACTCAAGAAGTTCGGAATCAAGGTCATCAAGGATCTCCCCGGTGTCGGCACCAACCTCCAGGACCACTATGAGATCTCCGTCCAGGGCAAGATCGAGGAGGATTTCTCCTGCTTGGACAAGTGCACCTTCAGCATTCGCGGCCAGGATGACCCTTGCATCGATGATTGGGAGACTCCTATCCTTGGCGACCGTGGTATCTACTCATCCCCGGTCTTGCCGCCACTATGCTATACAAAAGTTCCACGGCCGGCGATGACTTTGACATTTTTGAATTCGGTGGCCCCGTCAACTTCCGTGGTTACTTCCCCGACTACAGCATTAACGCGACTGACGAGCACAACTGGTTCACCTGGGCTATTCTCAAGGCTCACCCCCGCAACACCGCTGGTACCGTCCTTCTTCAGTCTGCTGATCCCCTGGATATGCCTGAGATTACCTTCAACTACTTCGACACCGGTGTCGGCGACTACGATGCTGATCTCACTGCTTTGTACGAAGCCATTGAGCTCGGCCGTGACGCGTTCAAGCGCCAGCTCGTCAACATCACTGAGGTTCTCCCCGGCGCTCATGTTCAGTCCGAGGAAGACATTAAGGATTATGTCAAGGATGGCGCTTGGGGTCACCATGCCTCCTGCACTTGTCCCATTGGTGCTGATGGTGACCCAAGGGCTGTTTTGGACTCCAAATTCCGTGTCCGCGGTGTCTCTGGTCTTCGTGTCGTTGATGCTTCCGTTTACCCCAAGATCCCCGGTACTTTCACCGCTGTGTCTACTTACATGGTCGCCGAGAAGGCTGCTGATGATATTCTGACCGAGCTCAAGGCCAGTTCTTAATTGATTGGATGTGCTTATATACACGAAATTTAGAGGTTTGGTTCTTGTGGGTGGAAATGTGTTCGGTGTTATCGTTGTGAAGCCATTCATTATCATGTATTAATAAATCGTCTATGAAATAGAAAGATGTTGTATATAGTTCTGCTGGATCAGTCGCATTCTTTACTCTCTCTCTCTACTTAGTTTGCTAGGTAATTGATTCATTCAAAATTTCTATGCTGTCTAATACTGAAACTTTCGAATAGTCCTCGGTATAATGACAGGAGTGTAGCCGCCAAACTGCGTCCTATTGGGCTAAGTATGTTAATGGTGTTACGATAACATATCTACGAATAGACCCGACACAAACTTCCGAGGTTTATTCTATGGTTATCATTAATATTAGCCTTGTCATACAATGTCTAAGCTGTCGGGCTGTAATAGCGTATAAAACGACATATAGTTAAGAGGTAGCACTATTAGTCAATCAGGCTATTATTATTAGGAAAAAAATGTCATAATCGTGCCAAGCCCACCATGTGCACCACCGGATCCCGTTTTCCCACCGGATCCCAGATTTGCAAATTAAGTATCTTTTATATGGCAACTACATACAGAAGGTACTTAACTATAATATCAGCATAACTCAAGTTTTATACTAGATAAGGGAAAAATAAAAAAGGCGAAACTTAATATGGGTCTATTTAAATCAATCTATCAATTCTAACTACATTATATAGAAGTGGATAGCGCACTTTTTGAAAAAGCCACGTACAAATATCGTATAAAGAGATAGTACGTACTCTTATATTACATACTAGGAATTTTTTACTACAGTAAAATAATCAGGGCACCGTTTGTATTATACATATATCTTAGTATATACCTAAACCTTTTCAACGTTGAGAAAATTGATATTATACTTATGTTATGATTAAGTACCTTTTGTATAGCAACTCCATACAGAAGGTACCTAATATTGCAAATCTGGGATCTGGTGGGATCCGGCGTGCACACCAACACCAAGTGTGGTGGGCTTGGCACGATTAGATAGTAAGGCTAAGGCTAGTCTTGACTTTGTGGACTTCTTTCTGATACAAAATTACGAAAAATGAGCAATAAACCGGGGTTCCATAACTCAGTTGGTTAGAGTGTGGTGCTAATAACGCCAAAGTCGAGGGTTCGACCCCCTCTGGAACCACTTTGATTTTTGCCCTTTCTAGGGCCCTTTTAGGCCATTTGAACGCGTCTGTAACTTGCAAGTTTCTTTTTGTATTCCCCTTGAACATATATTTTGCAAGTAGCCTTAATGCTACGCTCCGCGTAGCGGCGCTACTTTAAGCGCTAGGATAGTATAATATTAAGGCGGCGCTCCGCGTGGCGGACTAACGTGAATAGAGAAGATAGGTGGCTTCACCTCCCACGGGGGGAAGCCTAAACAGGGGCGGCGGAAGGCGGACTTAGGGGCAAGAATAGGGTTATAGGGGGTCAACGCGGCGACGATGCAAGCTACAGAGGCTAAATTGATATAGATTACATGCAGTGCAGACACGATTGCAGGTGGGTAGCTACATTTTGGAAATTGTGTACGTATTGTGATATGCCTCTCCTAAGAACGCAGGTGGGCCTATTAGACCTTGTAACCAGTTTTCCTAATAAGTTTCAGAGGAAAAAAGCCCAAACACCAAAATCAGGTTCCATAACTCAGTTGGTTAGAGTGTGGTGCTAATAACGCCAAAGTCGAGGGTTCGACCCCCTCTGGAACCACTTCGTTTTTTTGTCCTTCCTAGGATCCTCTAGGAATATGTTTTTTAAGAATATGTTTTTTGTTTTTTTTTTTGTTTTTTTTTTGTTTTTTTTTTTTGGTCCTATTCAACTACACCACTAATAGTTTTGGTACTCTAAACATGTGTAAACTAGCAAAACCGGTGGGTTATGATACTACTAAAGAGCCGGGTCGTGAAGTGATGGTTATTTACAAGAACCCACCTCTGTTGATTGTATCATATCGATGGAGGGCCAAACAAATTGCCAAGTGGTATGGTATATCATGTACATGAGAATATTGCTGATAGTCAAGACGCTAAAGGTGCCGCCACGCATTTACCCTTCAAGCTTGTTTCAAATGGAACAAGTATAGGCCATAACAAGATTGATATCTTTTTTAAGGCTGTGGGAGGTCTTGGTCAACGCCATGTATGGATACTCCTAAATGGTGATCTATTTCGCTCCGTCTCTGTGATTAACCGGTCTGAAAGGAAGCTCCAACAGAGGCAGACCAAAAGTTAGCCAAATTCGCCGAGAATTTTATTCGAGTCAAGTCCGTATAATTATTTCTCAGACACACGAAGAACACATATTTTCTGCTCCAATAACTAAAATCCCACTAAAAGGTAGAGGAGCGCGTATTGGTTGACCAAACAATAATGAGCAGTTCTGTTACGGCGCTAGGTTAGGTTGGCAGGGTTCACAACCACTTCACGCCTCGCAATATAACTTCCACCACCCACAACGCCTGTAACTCCCGTGAAAGCAATCAAGGATCCATATCCACTCCCATATCCATACCCCGCGTCCCCCTCCGATGGCATCCCATCAATGGGGCCCTCACTAAGGGGTCCCGAAACCAAGTTTCCGACGCCTCTTCCGGCCGCAAGTGGGGCAAACACCATGCTTGATTCAGTGGAGGGCTTTTTGCGGACTACCTTGCGCATAATGCCGGGCCAGGTGCTGGTGTATGAGCCTGTGAGACCGTATACGATTGAGAAGACGAACAGAGGAGCAAGGGACATTGAAAAGCCCTAGATCAGGAAGACACTAATAGAGGATCCTACAGTTGAAACGAGGATGTAGAGCGTCACATCGAGTTTATCGATGATGGCGCCTATAAGCACGCAGCCGACCACGGAGGCCAAGTTGAATAGGATAATAGTCAGGGCTTGACAAATCCTTAACGATAATAAGCTTAGGGATAAAGAGTGAATAGAGAGGCAGCATATTCAGGTGTAGAATAGTGGTGTTTAGGGCATTCAGGTGAACGGGCTGAGGGGACTGAAAAGTATATACCTAAGGAGACTACTAAAAAAGACCACTAAAAAGACATTCAAGAAGACTGCCGGAGAAGACTATCTAAGAAACCATTAAAGATGACCACGGCCGGATAAGCGGCCGACTATATATTCTTATAGCAGTATATTTAAAAGGGAGGCGGTATATATGGCGGTAATATGTAGATACAAAAGTTTAGCCCAATATTTCGGAGGTCCCACTGTAAAGCATGCAGTCAACCCCAACATTCCCTTAAGCTCGGAACCACCTTGTCATTATGTCACCTCTTTATTTATTGACGTACGGCTTAGAGTGGATTTTTTCGAGTAGACCAATTTTTATTTTATACCATTGTTTTGGACTACATGTGGATATGGTTATAATAATAGCACACTAGGTAATTTTGAATATATTAATCTTATCTAATAAGAATCTTCTATATATTTATATATAATCTTAGAAATATTATAGTTATATAAAGGAGAGATTTATAGACATTCAGTTCCGCTCATTTATAAGCTTCCGAGGATAGCTAACTTAGGCTCGAGGCCCGCTATTCATTCACCCTCTAGAGCTCTAAACGTCTAGCTTTACCAAGTCAATTACTATCCTTTTATTAGATAGGTCCGTAGGATAGTGGTCACATACTTCCCTCTTGGGGCTTTCGTCCATCTCTCTCTTCCCTAGCTCTCTCCTTACACGCGTTGGCACATCCGGCTCAATAAGAGATTCAATCTCTAGCCCAGAATTAACTAGAACGCTCGTGGCTGTAGCCGCGAATCGGTCGATCTGCACGTGCAAATGTTTACAGCAACGACTGATATATCACATGTCGACAATATTTTTGGATAATAGCAGCATAAAGGGTGCACCCTCGAAATCTTATTTCTACCCAGATTCTTGTGCTGTGAATACTTCCAGAGGTCCCATGTACCTATGCATAAACCAGGTGCTGCACCCATTGATAATGTAGTCTTGAAGGTCGACTGTCACGGGGCGATCGATATTCTCCGCTATGAAATAAAACACGTACGTGTGGACCTTTGTACAGACCAGTATGAAAAGACAGACCGGAAGTCCTTCGTTCTACTACCTGATGAAGAAAGGGGTGCTCCGGACGGAGGAAGACATTCTGGCTATGATTTGTGCACAACTTCTGCCAAGTGAAAACTGTACTCTGGTCCCTGTTATAGCCCCGAAGGAAACCCGAGGCTTCTTTAGATGATCTTACGATCTGGGGAGTGGGGAAACGGAAGTTCCGAATGCCGCTTACTCAGATATATGCGGCCCTAATTGCCTAACTAGGTAGCTCCACCTCGGGCTGTGTTTGTACTTCTATCATTGACCACTTAATCTATACTCTACTTCCTACTATGTGCGTAGCACGACTAGATGGACGAAGCTCTACCGGCAGAAGATAAGTGGGTCTCGGGCATTCCAAAGTACGAGGTGCAAATACTAATGAATCATGACTGAAACCATTGCTTCCGAGATTATTGCGGCAACTAGCCGGGTCACCGGGAGAGCAGACGATATTCATCCGGAGCTCAGTGCCCTGGTTACTAGGTATACACCCGGGTACGGAACGGAGCTCGTCCGGCAGGTATTCATTCCGTGAAATCCGACTTCTCAATGCATATATATTTGAGTGTGACCAAAGCAATGTTTAAGTCAAACAACAATTTTTCCTTCAGAAGTTCAGTTGTCAGCACTTTCAGTATCGGGCATGGAGCGAGAACAGGACACCGGAATATCCATTCTTGTTGTTGGAGGTGGCATTGCGGGTCTGACCTTCGCTATTGAGGCTCATCGAAAGGGTCACAATGTTCGGGTAATCGAAAGACGACCCCGCGGAGAGACTTTTGGTAAGTACAGAAAGAACAAACGAGGAGCCGCCGTCAACTTTCCTTATACTGGAGACGGATTACCAAACTATAGATTGAATGTACTGGCTGACGAAGTTGCACATGGACTTTCGATATAGGCGAAATTATCGTGATCTCGACTTCAGCTCTCCGTACCCCAGAGAAATGGCCGGGCTTCTTGGAGCGCGCGAGGCGAGAGGCAATTGCTCCAACGCTGAATGTCAAGAAATACGACGGGACGCTTGTCGGGTCCTTCCTCGTTGGTGACCCGAACAACCCATCCCTGGCGATCTATCGATCAAAGCTGCATAAAGTTATCTATGAGTATGTCTCGCAGCTCGGCATACCGGTCGAATATTCTGCGACAGCTTCGGATTTCTTCGAGGAAGGGGACCATGCTGGTGTGATCCTGTCTGACGGCCGCAGGCTGACAGCAGATGTAGTGGTGGCTGCTGATGGAGTTGGCACCAAATCATGGGCATCGGTCGTCGGCAGCAAAGACACCCCCATTAGCTCTGGATTCATCATGTACCGAGTCACCTTCCCCGCGGCACTGGCGCTTGCGAACCCGGTCATCGCGAAGGAGTTTGAAGGTTTCAAGGACCGTTCATTCCTACACGCCGGTCCGGGGGCACACGTGGTTACTTGCAAGTCGGAAAATGATATTTGTTGGCTGCTCACTCGCAGGGTATATTTGCCTGCACGTCAAGTCTATGCTTCTGATTACATACTAATGTTACTTGTTACTTAGGACGACAGCGGTGATGACAAAGAAGACTGGGCCCAGGCCACGTCGACCGACAAAGCCCTTAAGGCCGTCGAGGGCTGGGAGCCGTTCATGACCGAGCTTATCAATGCGACACCAAACCGCACTGTCCTTGAATGGAAGCTACGCTGGCGTAACCCCCAACCGCAGTGGGCATCACCTGGCGGCCGCATTGTCCAGATAGGTGATGCTGCACATCCATTTCTGCCGACCTCGGCTAGCGGCGGGACTATGGCCATGGAGGATGCGTATTCCTTGGCGGCCTGTCTGCAGATCGCAGGGAAGGACAACGTGCCTGTGGCAACGAAGGTGCATAACCATTTGAGGTATGTGAGAAAGCTGCGAAGGCCACGCTTTGGTGGCCAGTCCTGGGTTGGATAGACAACGAAAAAGATTAGATGTTACAGAGGCTGATCATGCATGCGCTGATGGCAGGTTCGAACGAGTCTCTTGCGCCCAGAAGACGGGATTCAAAAACCGCGAGCTGTTCCACAACACTGACTGGGATGCTGTCGCCAAGAATCCGGAAGTTATGGGCAAGGTGGTCGGAAAGTGGCTGGTATATCATGACCCAGAGCACTACGCGCATGAGAACTACGACAAATGTGCAGAGCACCTCCTCAGTGGTGCACCATTTGAGAACACGAACGCCGTTCCTGGCTATAAGTACAAGCTGTGGACTGTCCAGGAGCTCCTGAACGCTTCAGAGAGTGGAAAGCCTGTTCAAGATGAAGGTGACTGGTCCTAAACAGGAAGTGAGTTTCTCACAGCGAGTCACTTAGATGCTATAGTCGTGTTCCGCCCGATTCTAAATATAAATTTTTTTTTTCTATAATTCTCTTCCACACATAACCTGACACATACGACCATAGGGTGTGGAAAATAGGGCTTCCCGTCCGCTCAGCCGTACTCAAGCCACACGCCGGTGAGTTAGTAGTTGGGTGGGTGACCACCAGCGAATCCTCACTGTTGTATGTTTTTGTTTTGCTTTTTTGCATTGCTCTCTCTCAGCATCGCTAGTTAAAGCACTGCCTCCATTAGGGTAATGAGCGGATGATGTGAAGAGTGGAGATCGGGCTGACAATTCTACATCTCCCCAACTACAAATGTGGGTATCTTCATGGTCTATGCGACCGAATCTTCAGTGATTAATTTAGCACATACGACTATAGGATGTCGAAAACATGATAGGATTCGCAGATCCCAGACTTTGTGGCTCGGGATGTCCACTTTGAAGTCGTGTCGACCCCGAAAGATCATCTGGCGACGAAGCCTATCCTCACGTTGTTGACCCCTCACACAATCTCCAGCTTCGATTTACCGGCCTTTTTGCTCGAAGCGAGAGCAGCCGACAACCCAAACTGAGATGCAACCCCGTTGATGCGGTGGGTTGAGTTCAAGTTCTTCACAACGAGGATCTGATAACAAGTGGCACTACCTTGGCGAGAAGCGATGACAGACCAGGCGAGGAAGAGCTCCCAAATCTGTTTGATGTTAAAACCTATCAGGCTTAGCACATAGGATGACACTCACCCTGAACCACCGTTGGCCATACTTGGCCTTGATGGTGTCTGCATTTCCAAGCCAATTGCGGTACCATCTCCAGAGAGTCCCAGAATAATGCACTCCAACGGTATCGATACTGATGTTTGTACCGAAGTCAGTCCCGTCAAAGGCAGTGTGCGAAAGTCTCTTAGAACTCACCTTTTGATCTCAAACCCAGCCCGTTCCAAGCACATCGTATAGTACCAAAGAGGAGTAGACGCATCCGCGCCACGGAAGATGTACTTGTTCAAAAACAGTCCCCAAATCAAATCCTCATACTGCCATGTTTGGCGAAGACCGGAAAGCTGCACATACATGGCACCGTCATCTTTCAGCATGTCATAACATTGGCGGAAGAAGGTGGTGAGCTTTCGAATACCGACATGCTCGCCCATTTCGAGCTGCGTGATTTTATCGTACTGGGCATGAGGGATGTCGCGGTAATCCATACACAGAATACGGCTTTGCGCTTCGGTAATTCCAGCCCTTTGGAGAGCATCGTTACCCCATGCTGTCTGGTGGCGTGCAATGGTGAGACCGGTTACCTTCGCTCCATAGTTGAGACTTGCGAATTTCGCTAGGGTCCCCCATCCACAGCCGATGTCTAACATAGTCTCGTCTTGCTTAAGGCCGAGCTTTTCACAGACAATCGCCATCTTGTTATCCTGCATTTCCTCCAGTGTTTCCTCTTTTGACGTGTCGGAGATGATACCGGAGGTGTAGATCATGCGAGGACCAAGGAACCAAGCATAGTGGTCGTTACCACGGTCGTAGTTTGGACGGATCTGCTGATCGTCTTGGTCTTTCGTGTGAAGCAACACGTCGCGAGCAAAGGTCAGGAAAATATACTTGAACAGATCCCAGGTGAAGCCGAAGTGCGCCCAATCATGGCGGTATTCCAAGATGTCGAGAGTATCTCCGTTAAAGTCGACCACACCATCGAGATACATTTCACAGAAAGTCTGCATAGGGACACGTTTCTTGCCGTGCCATTTGGCACGATCTGCCTCGTTTTTGAACTTTAAATACTGTTCTATCGGTCGCCCCGGCAATTTGCCTTTGTCGGTCATGCGAGAACTGCAGGAGGATGTCCATGTCCAGTACCCCACGAGAATTGGCACAGTCGTGATTAGACCAAGAAATATAGTGGCCTTCATACCGCCACCAAGTAGATAAGCAAGGACGGCCGGGACGCCCACCAGGAGACCGATTAGGAGGGAATTAGAGAATCCCTGGTTACCAGCACCGTCAACTGGAAGAGGCGCATTGTGGATGGCCGCCGACTGACAGAGTGAATCAGTTAGCATTCGGTCACATAGTAATAATTGGGAGACTGACATCTGTGATGGGTATTCCACAATCCTCAGGCGTTTCGAACTTTGAGGGTTTGGCTGGTGGTGTTTGAATGAAATGAATGTCGCTGTTGAGATCAGGGGACGACATAGCGGCTGTAGGCAGACTTTTCTCTGCGGACTTTTCTCTAAATGGCGAGCGAAAAGTCAAGAATGCAACATGAGGGGATGGAGACGCGACAACATTAACGGATACTCCTGCCGTGTCTCGGCTCAATATCGACGGGTCCCGCGGGCCCCGAGCTCCATTATGACGGAGGGATTTGCAAGGGGATTCCACTGAATTGGCCAATAAGATGCTAAGATGTTCCAAAATTATCCCTAGGTAAATATTGTCTAACTGGGCTACAAAAATACGCGCATGACGGATTTTATCTCGGGAGAGTAGTTCTTCAGCACAGGCGTCCATGCTCCGACCCAGTATAGCTACTATTTTTTTTTATCTCGGGTTTAAGAGTTTTATTCACACTCCGGCCCTAGTTCTGACCGCCCTCGATAGGAATATCATCTCAAGGACTCGAAGGGCGCTTTCGCGGTGATATCAAAAGTGTTTCGGCCGTATCGGCTGGTGACAAACATTCTTCATCGCCTGCTCGAACGTCACACAGATCGTTTCTCCATCGAGATCAACACCGCGGTCACTTCGATTACTATCTCTAGCGATGCCGAGACCGCATATCCCTATGTTCTCACTACACCCTGCGGGAATATGAGAGGTGCCAAAATCTTCCACTGTGTGAATGGCTTTACCGGTCACCTTCTACCCAAGCTCAAGGGACCTCTCTTCCCCATCGACTTTCCACGTCAACGCAAAAGCCCGGCCCCCAGTGGGGAAATATTCCGTGTTCTTGGCTCTTCCACCCAAAGCAATCTTAGGACCCAGATACCACCTTAATCGAGCATCTTTACTAGATGCAACAAGACGCACAGACTGGCGACCTTTCTATTGGAGGCGACCTGCAGAGGCTGGATGACTTTCTATCATCAGACGATTCAGTCATCAGTGCGGACTCCGTGGGTAATCTTACCAATTTACTCCCAAAGAATATTTTCACCGAGGGCTGGGACCAACGCAATCACCAATACTACGCTATCCTCTGCGACTGCAATGCAGAGGGTCTGGTCTGGCATTATTGGCATGACTGCTGATCAACTGCCAATTATGCGAAGTGTTCCCGGCAGTGTGAGCGACAGGAATGTTGAAAGAGGGGAGTGGGTCGCCGCAGGCTTTAACGGATATGGCATGTCCCAAGCCTGTCTGTCAGGCCAGGCTATCGCGCTCATGGCATTGGGAGAGCCGAAGCCTGACTGGCTCCCGGATGTTCACTTGAGTAGTGAGAAACACCTAACAGACAAGGCAACCATGAGTGAGGAGGCAGCGCTGGCTTCCTTCTTCTGTCGATAAAGCGACGGATATGGACCTTCAGGCATCGATGATCCTACACACTAGCTGTCAAAGAATAGTTGAGGATACAGAACCACTGTAGATTTGACAATCGTTGCGCTTCCAATGAATACCATTGGCGACGTGCACATTACACCAGCTTGCTTTGCCCCATGTGGCACAATCCATGATTGCGAGGAAGAACCCAATGCTGGCTGGCAAGCTCTGGATCCGAGTTCGGGGGTAGGTTGAGCCCTTCACCATCTGTGCACCGGCTGGGAAATACCCGCTCAATGCCGTCAGGACTAAGAGGTACTTGGACGGGGATACTCTTGTTCTCTGCATGTGCTCCGATAAAATTAATCTTGTAATCAATCGGTTAATTGGGGCTTTTTTGATGTGACAGCGGGGTTTCTGAACATTCTGGGTTGCGAAGGTGCAGAGCGGCCAGGGTCAAATGCCTGAACATTTTAGTGTTAATGTCTGAATAATGTGTGATTCTGGCACGCTTTTCACACTGGTCCAGATACGGAGGATTTGTATAGTAGGAATAGCTCCGTCTACTTACCTGCATTTCAAAGAGTACGACCACGCTCCTATAGTTGTCTTGTCTTTTCTGGTGTCTTTACTGGTGTCCTATATTCTTCCTATCTTACGTATTCATAATATAGCGGGTTGTTATACCTACTATAGTTGTTGAAGAGAGCCTAAAGTGTATAGTGGAATGTACGTATGAATGACAGTGTTGAGAGAGTTGTCGAGGAAGCTAAGTCCTAAACTAAGAAGTCTGACAACAGTAATTCAGGTATCCAATTTCTGCTAGTCTACGATCAGGCATGATTTAGACATCAACTCTTAAAACATCAGGCATTTGACCCTGCCCGCTGTGCTCTTTCGCACGCAACATTCCGGGTACTTACACGCCGATGAAACGGATCTATCGATGTATCTATCCCATGTAATCAAATTGTCCGCCTCAGCACTCGGACCTAGCCCTGCAGCCATCGTATGAAAATGCACAGTCGCACCGCGACATTCCCCCCTCAGTATACGTACTCAAAATTCGGGTTCTGTGCATCAGTCAAATCAGCGAAGGCCGTAGAATCGGCCATGAGCTCGTCCTCGCCCCCTCTCTCCCGCAATTCATCGCGCATCTTCTCCTTTCGTCGGTTCTCCCAGATAAAGGCATAGCGAAGCACGAAGAAAAGGGCGAGCTCAAGGCAGTTGGCAACCAGCAGAGAGCCAATTCCCAGGGGTATCCCGGCGCTTGCTCAGACTTGTAAAAGAAGGGGCCAGCAATGTTACCGACGCATGCTCCAAACCAGATCATACCGGATACGATCATTTTCTTGGACTGTCCACCAGTGTTGGAGGTAATAAGGGAAAGAGATATCACGAAGGAGGCTTGATATGAGCCAGTGAGATAGCTAGATTTTGGGGTGTCAATTAGTCACTGCTTAATCACAAGCACTAGTTAGAAATACTTACAAGCAGATCAGTCGGCCGACGTATGCATTGTCGGGGGCAAGTAAGAAACCGAGGGCACCCGCAATAGTCGGGACCATGAACAGTGCGCAGACCAGGGTACGGCTATTCTTCGGCATGTGTTCGTTCGCATATCCTCCAAGCACAATCCAAATAACCACGATTACTCCTTGAGGTATACCAAGCAGTGCCGTATTAAGTGCATCGAACCCGAGGCCTTGAATGACTAAAGTGGAGAAGTTGGATATTCCACCGTTTGGAATGTTGGCAAGAAAGCCCAGGATAGTAAATAACCAAGTCTTGTAATCGAGATACGCTTCTTTGACTTGATCCCATTTAATTTTCTGTCCCTCAATACCGGTCTGATTAGACCGCAGTCGCGCAATCATCATGAGCTTCTCATCGCGATTGAAGCCCCAAAAGGTTGCTGGTGAGTTAGGCAACAGTAGAGCCAGTGCAATTCCCCAGGCGGAGCAAACAGCACCAATGATGAGAAACTCGTAGCGCCAGGATTGAAGAGCACCTTTTATATTGCCGATTCCATAGCCTAAACCCGACAATAAGTGACTGCTACCCAATTTGGTAAAACTCCGAATGAAAACATACCAATAAGACCGCCGCCGGCAACACCGATGCCATTCCATAAATAGTATGCGGAGATACGCCAAGGTTGCTCGGCACGGGTATAGTATGTGGAGACGACGACCATAAACGCTGGGTCGGCAATTGCCTCAAACGCGCCAGAAAGGACTCGAAGTGCCGCAAGCGCGCTGAAGTTCTGCGATGCAGCCTGGCACATGAGAAGCACACCCCACATGAAGATGTTGAAGGCGAGATACCAAGCCATCCGGCGGCTCCGTTGCATGAGCAGGTTAGACGGGATTGCCCACACTAACCATCCAAAATAGAAGATACTTGACAGCCACGAGTATTCCGTACCGACTAGGTTGAGGTCTTCTTTGATACCGAAGATTGCTGCGTAAGAAAGTGTCGTCTTGTCGACATACTATTAGAGACAGACGGTGTTAGCTGTGGCCTAAAAGAGGGAGATTGAGATGACCAGCATACATAAAAGAAGTAGCATATTCCAAGAAGGGGAATGAGGTGTATATCAAGCTTGCGCTTCAACCTCTTTTCTGCGTCTTTATCGATGGCCTCATCGTTAGGATATCTTTGAATTGCTTCAAGATATAGTTCACTATTTTCTCCTTGGTTGATTTTGCCTGCCACCGATACCTTGAGGTTCTCCTCTATATGCTGGACGTCATATACGCTGTGCGGCTCTAGTACCTCTGGGAGGGTTTCTTTCTTGGCCTCCATGCTGAAGTGCAGAGTTTCTCACTCAAGACCAATATTCACTTGTGTGTAACCAGTGAAAGGGGGTTTGAAGAATAATTATTTAACAGTATCAATAAATAGGATAACCACCACAATATAGAGTCCCCGCGTGGGAAGGTGGTGATCAGCAGTCGAAGTCGGGCACAATCACAATTGGTGGAATAAAATTTGCGGAGAAGTTCGATCAGCGCAAGATCGGGACCAAGTCCTGGAGAGACTCTGCTTGATTGTGTAGTTTGTTTCCTGCGAAGCACTATCCCCCGCATAAAGTGATTCGACAGATTGCAGGGTTGACCAATTCCTCGTGCTTATCCTGATCATGGGCAAATAATCGTCATTATGAAAGAAAATAGGGAAGAGAAAAAATTCGGCAGGATTTCAAGCTGTCGGACAATCTCCGAGACCTGATGCCGAAAAGGTTACACTACCAGAGCCGACGATGTCATTCCTAGCTCGACCTCGTTCCCGGGTTCATCCGTGGCTTTGGGACATATTAGAATTGTGTGTCCACTGGGATATTCAAAGATATCAGAATATGAGCATGTTTTTCGATAAATAGATGTGTATCGTGTGGAGATGGGAAGAATGCATATGGTGTACCCCGTACCTGGCGTTGAAAATTCCTATCGGCGACAACTGTAAGATCTTGTTTCCACGTCTGGGGTTAGAACCCCCGCAGTTTCTGGTTATGGGTCAGCGCAGATTTGCGTGGGGGAGTTGCGTTGGAGTGTGGGGGAATTGCATTGGGAAAAAGCAACGTGGGGGGGGCGGGAATTCCCCAGGGGCCACTCCAGATTACTTCGTATGTATGGAGTACCGAGCAATGGTAATGACCGGGAATAATTGCCGAGCAATCTCTTTCTGCAGCCACAATACCCACAATGGATGTTTCCAGCAATTGGTGACAGAGATCGGCATATGAATCATCTCGGCTTTTGGTGCCGTCAATAGTCACATAAACTGGCACCGACAGTATCAAACGGTCCACCCAAAGCAACCGCAAATAGACCAGAGATCTAATAAGGTAAATGAGCCCAGCTGACCCAAAAAGGAAGTTGCCTTTCATCCTTGGCGTACGGCAGTTTTGCAAGCATAAAAATAGCTAGCCAGCCACTACCCCTGGAGCCGGGGCCCGGGGTCTTCGCCAAGGAACCCTACCCCCTTCACCCAACATCCCGGTCTGGCTTTCTTGGCGAAGACTGGACAGAGGCTGAACTCGTCCAGCCTTTCGAACTCTTGAGACGGTACTCCGTACGGAGTAACTGGATATCTGACAAAGGATGGAGGGCAGAGAATTGGGTTCGCTTTCCTTGGATCTATGGGACGTGCTTGTTCAGTTGCACAGGGAATGTCAGCTCTTGAATCGAGTATTCAGTCGGAATAGACAGCCTGATCCAGGTCCGCAAGATGCGTTCCTTTCTTCTGTGAGATCAACTCTCCAGAGTTCATTTGTTTGGGATTCCTAGGACCTCCTAGTCTGAGACTAGACCTCTCTGGCGCGTTTGGGCCACGTGACACTGTCAGTGTTGTTGCCTGACCTGTCAGGCCACATAATGCACTGCACGTGACAAACGTGTTGGGATGTGAAGTTTTTCTCTTGTCAGTCTCTTCTTGATAGACAGACCTGATAACCCAGAGAACAATCTATGATCTACGGTGGGCCTTTATTGGGGAGCACCCCAGGCAGGTATATATACGGCCGGGGATTGAGTTGAGATCCCGCATTCTATGCATCCAGCCAAGTGCCATGTGGAATAGAGTTACAAAATAGAGGTTTGACAAGCCTTAGCAATATTCAGCGACTACCTAGGTATTAGAGAGTGCACATGTATAAAAATTAGATTACTGTCGCCTTTCAGTCTAACTTCCGGTCGAATTTCGGTATATAACCACCAGTGATCATCGTCAGTTTCTTCCTCTTCTTGTTTCTTACTCTTTGCAATAGGAAACACGTGCATCTACATTGTATTTTTAATCTCAAAGAAATATGCCCAGGTACTTCCAATCATTAGAAGTTCATAAATCAGCAATCACATGCCCAAATTAAACATCTTATGGATCTTATGGGACAACTGTCTCCCCGAAAACCAACCGATCCATTCTGTTTCTACACGTGCACACTAAACCAGCTCGGCCAATATATTTCCTCCGACATCTCAACCACCCGTCGCCGAAAGTTGGTTCATCTCCGAATTTTTCGCTCTCTATTGTCTCTACACTAATCCTAAAATACGGTACTGAATCTTTATGCCAAATGACCGTCGTGGATTAAGGTAACAATGCATGAGACCGAATCTGCAGACCGAGCGACGTGCCTTGCATTTCGGGCATGATTGGCCCTGATTGCATTTCATCGTGCGGGACTATTTTATGCTTACGGTACCTGCGCCGAGAAAAGAAATTATATATAGAGGTGAATCATGGAGCCTTTGTGACATAGGAGATTCTGTGCATCAATTACATTATTTGATCATGGGGGGAATTTCGTCGCTCAAATTGCTGCCCTTTGTGGCTGGTTGTGCCTTTGCTGGTTATCAATATCCTGAGATCCCGAAGGACTTGACTACACCATTCCAGCAGCGATTGTCAGTATATGGACCTGATGGTATGAACTCTGCTAGAGATAGTGTGAATCTGAATCAGGACTAACTTGTTCGTCTCTAGCTGTGTCTGTTGGTTGGAACACCTATACGCAACTGGAACAGAGTTGCGTGCATTATGGCTTGTCAGAAAGCAACCTGAACACCAAAGCTTGCTCATCCTCGTCGACCACCTACGACCCCTCCCGGACGTGGTCCAATGTCGCCGTCCTAACAGGCCTGACCCCGGCGACAACCTACTACTATAAGATCGACTCCACCAACTCGACCGTTGGCCATTTCCTTAGCCCTCGCACACCTGGTGATAAAACTGCCTTCAGCATGGACGTGGTCATTGATCTGGGTGTCTACGGCAAGGACGGCTACACAAGCAAAAGCGCCAAAAAGGACTCCATCCCAGTCGTCGAGCCAGAACTAAACCATACCACAATCGGTCGCCTCGCGAAATCAGTAGACGACTACGAGCTTATCATCCACCCAGGTGACTTCGCTTACGCCGATGACTGGTATCTCAAATTCTCAAACCTGTTTGAGGGCAAAGAAGCCTACGAGTCCATTATCGAACAATTCTACGACCAACTCGCACCAATCGCAGGTCGCAAGCTCTACATGGCCAGCCCGGGAAACCACGAAGCAGACTGCTCCGAGATTCCGTACTTGAACAACCTCTGCCCCAAAGGTCAAAACAACTTCACGGAGTTCATGCACCGATACGAGAAAACCATGCCGCAGTCTTTTGTTTCCTCGTCGTCCAACACGAACGCCCAAGCCCTGGCCCGAAAGGCCCGCAGCCTTTCATTGCCGCCCTTTTGGTATTCCTTCGAATACGGCATGGCCCACGTCGTAATGATCGACACTGAAACAGATTTCCCTGACGCACCAAGTGGGCCCGATGGTTCTGCCAAGCTGAATGGCGGGCCATTTGGCACTGCCACCCAACAGATCGACTTCCTCAAGGCTGATCTCGCTTCCGTCGATCGGAGTGTCACCCCCTGGGTAATTGTCGCCGGACACAGACCGTGGTACTCAACTGGTAAATCGTCGAACGTCTGCGGTCCCTGCCAAGAGGCGTTTGAGGGCCTGTTTTACCAGTATGGCGTTGATCTCGGTGTCTTTGGTCATGTGCACAATTCGCAGCGGTTCTCGCCTGTTGTTAATGGTACCGCCGACCCCAACGGTATGAAGGATCCCAAGGCTCCCATGTATATTGTTGCTGGGGGTGCCGGTAATATTGAGGGTTTGAGCTCTGTTGGCAGTCAGCCCGATTATACGGAGTTTGCGTATGATGAGGACTACAGCTACAGTACCATTAGATTTTTGGACGAGCAGCATTTGCAGGTCGACTTTGTGAGGTCTTCTACTGGAGAGATCTTGGATTCTAGTACTTTGTATAAGGAACATGCGACGGATTTTGTGGAGCAGTGATGGAAGTTCGGGGATAGTACGGGCTGCTTGTGTATCAAAATAATAATTCATCACTCGATCCACTTCTAGTAAACACTAACATAATTTTGCAAGTGCTAAATGCGTGGATAATGCCTGAATGCCGCAAAGTCATGAAGTATAATGACGACATTAGATAAATATATAGACTTTTCGACGCCGCGCATGTCTTTCAAATTTTCAAGATTTCAGACCATCAAGATATCAGCAGACCACATGAGTGAGAAGATGGAAACTATTTACCTGATATTAGAGAAGGCGATTTTGTGGTCTGGTGATACTGAGTCTCTACAAGACTTTAGATCCTGGACCACCGAATTTGATGGATATCCCGCAACAGAATTGATGTCCAGCCTCTTGGAGTACGATTCAAAGCTTCGACGCATAACTCAACTTGAGGAGTATCTCCGTGAACAGGTCCAAGATTTGGCAGGAAAAGAGATTACATTGCGGGAACACGAAAGGCTACAAGTTCTCCAACCACAATTAGAAGGTCTAAGAAAAAGCTATTGTATATCCGAACATGGCCGGTTGGAACTCATGGACCGATTAAAAGGCCCTGTTCTACGAGGGTTTATGGAGTGTCGATCAAACCGAAGATGGTATCTTGGTGATACACTCCGTCGAAGTTGCGCAGAACGGGGGGGGGTTGCTGTGGCCGTGAATGTCAGTGCTGTGAAAACCGGAGCACACATATGAATTCTGCACGGAAATTAGGAGTTGGTCATTGTACCTTTGACTGTGGATGCTGCTCTAAAGCCCGAGGATTTGATTTCACATCAAAGGAGAAAGAAGAGCTCTATGCCAAGCATCGCCGCCTGGGTCGCTGTCTTGACTGCCCTCTGTGTGTTCGAATGGTATCTGCATCGTTTTGGGGGTCTGAATATGAAGAGTTTCACTTGCTTAGGAAATGGAAATGGTGGCTCAGTAAGAGAATTGCGTTCATGGGCTTTACAATATTGTTGCTTTACGACATCGGAAGATATTCTACTTAACAGATGTGAGCTAGGAGAGATGGTCCGAGAAGGGAAAAAGATCATAAAGCTTTTTCGCTTCATAATAGGAAATTGCACCTTTTGCTACTTGGGCTAGTATTTATGTGAGTAATATTTTAGGTGGGTGAATATGCGTCTGGAATATCCCGGAGGAGGGGTGGTTGCTGAATAGAGCCGCGAGCCGCCCACGCTCCCTAAACGTGAGCGCTGGGTGGCCACCACCTTAGACATCTATGGATGCTATTGTATGTTTTATGCTTTTACGGAAGTTTATACAGAGACTTGATAGTACTATAGCTGAGAAAACCTTAAGAAATAGTGTGGATACCCAGTTCTGTAGAGGGGGAAAAAAAAACAGTGTCCACCTCTACAAGAAAACTAACAAGAAAGAGAAGGAGAACCCTCCTCAAAGCCAAACTTTTCAGATACTATCCAATATCCAAGGATTCATCCCATAATTTATTTATATACTCCTTGGCCCATAAAACCCTTAGTGCTCAAAAGGTCTAACGCAACTGATTATAAAATGTATATGGCTGTCATCGTTGAGACAGCCGACTATTCCACTCCTTCGGGGCGTTGTCGAGCTACCCACCCCAGACCCTTCCTGGAATGTCCATGGCTCACTCTGCACAACGGTCTCTGAGACCACAGTAATATCCTTCGACGACGGCTCGTTCTGAGCGAGGATATGCTCATCGCTGCCCCATGCGGAAGTCTGCATATGCGTCGGCGCAGCCGCGTTCGTCTTGCTCTTCTTGGTATCTCCTTCGCCGCGATTGGTAAAGGACTTTAAACCTCGGCTGGAGAGCTGGTATGGCTGTCCTGATGTTTTCCCCGAGGAACTGAAGACGTGGGTGAGACCGATCTTCCTGAAACCTTTGCGGATAAGTGGTTGGATGATGGGCAGGTTGGAGACAACGATTGAGACAAAAGTCTCCCGACAGGCCCATTTCGAGCCAGACTCCGCACCATCGGGGCTGTTCTATATTATGTGTCAGATATACGGCACGTAATAGGCGTGTGTTTCTGTATAGGTATATTATTATTGCATGGGACATACCTTCATAATCGTGGCAGCCCGGATGATTCCCGCTATCATGACGAATGTAGCGCCGGAAAATAGAACCATGAGAGGGATCTTTCGTTTTAGGTTGAGGTTGACAGTCCAGAGTAGGGGAAGCGGGATTGAGAGAAGGTACATGTCCGTGACAATGTTGAGTACCACGGAGACGAAAACATAAATCCGGGAATGGGTAGGTTGACAGAAATCTGTACAAATATAGTAAGATAATAAGACTATTATATCTGATGATTGCATAACTTACTGCCAGGGTCAGGGTTAATCTGCCAAAACGCATGGAAGGGCTGGCATGATAGCAGGAGGGACAACGCTGTTGCGAGATAAGTCACACCTAGAATAATATATGCCAGCCGAACTCGGGTGGGGAGATGCTGTAGGCCAGTCCTGTGATATATTTAGCGCATTGGTTCATTATATCCAAGGTGGTATGTGAAGCGCACGTCAATCGAGAGTAGAAGACTGCCAAGCTGAATTTGACCAGCCAGAGAATAGCCACGTATAATGACCATCCAATGACCTGGATCTTTGATCCAGCAACACGATGGGACCATTCAGTCGAATTGGGGTCGAGAGTTGCTCGCTGCTCAGGCGTCATATAGCTGTTAGTCAGGCCCTGGAATTTGGCACCGACAAGGTACGCCGCTACTGTTTCCAGTATGAAGAAGATCTGTCAGAAGGCATCATGTTAATTATACCTTATTCCGATGGTGTTTGTAGGACAGGCGAAACAACATACTCCCGCCAATGGCATGAGATAATCATCAAGTTGAAAATTGGCCGGCCCAACGAGCTTCCATCGTACCCCAATACGCACTATAATTGTGACCAGAGCCAAGGACAACAGAGTCCACGCCTCCACGTTAGCGGGCATTCTTGCAAAATAGTCGGCAAAGTAGAGGACGAAACGACAGAAGGGCGGGAGTTAGAGGGCATTAAAAAGAAAGGCTCCAGCCAGACCGGCCCACTGGGAGCGCCTAGGACATAGAGATTTACCATGTACTCCGTAATGTTATACGGGTAGCTGACTAGTCTGTCAGGCCAATTACCTATTGCGAATCATCAGCCCCTGGAAGATCATCCATGTCAATTTGCGTCAATTCCACCCGCTCCACCCGCTCCACCACCTCCGTCCCGCCCAAGAGGGGCACATCCCTGTAATTGGTGCGGGTCCGGCGATCCGTGTGTCCGACACGGGAAGCATACCCAGACCCACGGGTCATATTTCGCAACTCGTTGGAAAACCGTTACAGGCGTGGGGATGTGGTACGAGCCAACTTACCATTGGCCAATTCATGGAGCAGCCTGTTCAGCACGTTGTACTCCGTACGGCTTCCAAAATTCCTTAAATTAGCACATTAGCACATTGGGAATAGAGACCCTCCCCCTATTGCTTTCTCCGCTGTTCTCCGGTGGAAATATTTATACTTCCTCTCCTCCCAATAACTAATTTCGGGCTCAAAATTCTTTATTTATTTATTGGTGCTCGTATTTTTGGTGGTTTTCAAGGTTCGCTCCTATCCGACATCCACACCTCTCAACAAGTCATTCCCCGCGCGATGTCAACTTTTGACTTTATCATTGTAGGGAGTGAGTGATCTTCATTCGGCCTTGGTTTCGTTGGCCCCCTACCCCTAACACATCTCGCAGGTGGGCCGTCTGGCTGCGCCCTCGCCGCCGGCCTTGCCAATTCGACCGCAAAACCCCGCGTCCTCCTCCTCGAAGCAGGCGACAACAAGGAAGATCGCAACCTTCGCGTCGACGGCCAGCGATGGCTCACCTTCCAGGACCAGTCAATGAACTGGGGATTCAAGACTACACCGCAGACGGACTGCAACAATCGTGAGATCGACTACAGTCGCGGCCGGTGCATGGGCGGGTCGAGCTCCATCAATTTCGGCGTGTACAGTGTCGGTGCCCGCGATGACTACCAGGAGTGGGCGAGAATTGTGGGCGATGAGACTTTCGCGTGGGGAGGTGTTCAGCAAAAGTTTAAGGCTCTGGAAACATTCCATGGCGAGATTCCCGAGGGCATAGATAGAAAGTACGCGGATCCCAAGATGGAGAACCATGGAAGTGAGGGACCGTTGCATGTGGGCTTTGCGCGGGAGTGGGAGCGGGATTTAACGGACCTCCTGGATGTCTTCGAGCAGGCTGGGTTTCCATCGAACCCAGATCACAATTCGGGAAATCCGATCGGAATGTCGGTTCTGATCAGCTCGGCGCATAAAGGGTTGCGTTCGACAGCCGGGGATCTGGTTAAGGAGAAGCTGGATAATTTAACTATTGTCACTGGGGCTCCTGTGCAGCGTGTCCTCCTGGAGGGGAAAAAGGCTGTGGGCGTTGAGTCGAACGGGAATAAATGTGAAGACGAGACCTATCCCTGCTGCGAGTTACCCAGACACTAACAGCGTTGAACAGACTACGCCACAAAGGAAGTCGTCCTATCCGCCGGCTCACTAAACGACCCTCGCATTCTGATGCACTCGGGCATCGGCCCTGCCGCCCAACTCCAGCAATACGAAATCCCCGTCGTCCACGATGTACCCGCAATTGGCCAGGGGCTCCGCGACCACTGCTTCGTGCCGATGGTGAACACTCGCACAGAAACCAGCACGGACCGAAAAGCCTTTTATGGTGACAAAGCTGCGATGGAAGCTGCGCAGAAGCAGTGGGAAGAAGACGGGACAGGCCCTTGGGCGAAATTTGCCTGCGAGTTGGGCATCGGCTGGTTCAAGCTGACCGAGCAGCTCACTTCCTCGCCAGAATTCAAGGCCCTCCCAGAAGACGAACAGAAGTACCTTCTGCAGGAGACCGTGCCGCACTACGAGATCCTCACCCATTTCCCCGTTCACTGGGTTATCCCGGACTTTCCGAACGAGGCGCTAAACTACTCCTGTCTCCTCGTCTTCTTGTTCAACGCGCAGACTCGCGGAGAAGTCACATTGCAATCGTCAGATCCTGACTGCCCGCTCTCTTTCAACCCCAAGTTCCTGGCCCACCCCTTTGACCGCCGACTCGCGATAGAGGCGTTGCGTGACTCGTTCCGTGTCGCAAAGCACGAATCCTACACAAAGGACAATGTGGCCGAGCTGGCAATGCCCAAGGGCGAGTCAGACGAGGATCTGCTCGAGTACTGGCGGCAGAACATCTCGTCGAGCTGGCACATGACAGGGACGGTGAAGATGGGTAGGACAGGCGACGTAGATGCGGTTGTTGATCCGGATTTCAGGTTGACAGGTATTGAGAACCTGCGTGTGGCGGATATGTCGGTTGTGCCGGTGTTAGTGAATGCCCATGTCCAGGCTGTTGCGTACGTCACCGGTGCAATTTGTGCGGAGAAGTTGGTGAAAGAGTATAGCCTTTCTTAGATAAAACACCTACGAGTGTTGGTGGATCCTAGCTAATGTATGTTCCTAATGGAAATTGTACTTACATCGCGTACGGCATCCTTCCATGAAGGTACATAGCCCTAGAGAATTAACATGGTTTTGCTCGGCCGTCTGAATAAGGAATACGTAGGAGAATACAAGCGCACATACACCCATAATATAATATGTATAACTCCGTATCGTAAGACAAGTCTTGTTATTAGTGCAGGTGCTTTGGTGTTCATGGGGAATTTACGAGACTATAAGGAGATCAGTCAGGATGTTTATCAAGAACTATATTCACAGTATGTGTCAAAACCTAATTTCATTGCCACTACTAGTCTCGGAACGTGTGAAGTTTCAAAATTTATGGGAAGACAACCTTGAAAAATGGGGTTTGTCCGTCCCGAGCTTCCAAGGTTTCCAAGGTTGTTATCAAGTGGAGATTTTCTAACGTTTCGTGTGGATAAACTTACCTAGAATTATAATTATTAACCCTATTTTCTGTAATATATAGTGGGACCGGATAAATACATACTAGAGTATACCACCTGCTAACTACATATGTACATTTGATATGTAAATATATTATTACCAATTGGGTAAGTGATAGGAAGTTTACGCGTGTACAAAAGCACCAGAAGAAGAGGGTACGAATATTTTGCTTCGATGTGTCCACACGCAGAGTGCGAGAAAGATAGTAGAGTTGCCGACAAGAAGTGTTCCACAGTGAAACTAGTCCAAAATTGTCGGTGGGACCTCGTGAAGATCGGCGTTCCAAAGCGTATATCGTACTCCGTACATATGTTGTAGTACTTTTTTGATTTACCTCGGCTAACTGTTTGCAAGTATAAATTACCTTGGTAAAAACATAAAAAACATTATTTATTACACTACTCAGGTATCTCCGTGTCTACCTAGGTACTACGGAGTAGCAGGCATGAACTACTCCGTGCTCCGTACGGAGCACTCCCTATAAATTGTACTAATAACCTTCCGGCATCCAGGAAACACTTGGTTAGTTTAGAACCCACGTTAAGCAGATCTTTCATCTCTTCGAATCTATCACTTCACGCTCCATCTCACCGCAATTAATTAATTGCTTGTTTATTTTTAACTCAGACTACTTAAGTTTCATTAGCCGTTTCTTTGGACGCGTGCGCATGAACGAGTTTCGACAAGGCTTAGTCTGACGGTGATTAGTACCTATGCACGGAGTACGCCAACCTTAATTACACGCTTCGCAAAGTTAAAGACTGTTGGGATGCGTACAAATGTAGTTTGCAAACGGAGTATATAGTTAGCTTTTACAAGTCAGTCAATCCACTTTAAAACTTAAAACTCAGCTCTCTCTCCGTGGTCTGTCGGGGATGCGTGGGATCGCTATATCTCATCTATCGTATGTTTTTTAGGGAGGAGTGGACCCTTTATGCCGAGGCTTCCCGAGGTCCCCTTGTTAAGTGATTATGTAATACCATTTTACCGGGCGCTCGGCCAAAAAGATCATAGCAACCTTGAGAACAACCGCAATGCTCGATTGGGGCTGCAGCGGTATATATATTAGGCCCTAGCCACTGCTCGGGACCACAAGTAGACTTTTTCTTGTATCTTCCCCCCCTTTCTCATCGCTCTGTAGGTTCCGCAACATCATCATATTGTGCTTTCATGCGTTATGATCTCATTTATAAACTCATAACTATATTCAAACGTTAGCTGGGTCTCGTAGGCTATGAGCCGCCCGAAGGGGCTTAGCGGTTCCCTCCTCAGGTGTCCCACCCCAGACGATTCTATTAATCCATACTCCATACCTTGGAAGAATATAGAAATGACCAAGCGGCTGGCATCGCACACTGCTCGCCTTTCTGCTCGACCCTCCCTGTTGGAGTAACCCCACGGCGGACCCGAATCCCCGGCCGTCTCCGGCCATCGACCGTACATCCGGGGTTTATTTTCATTTTTATTTTCAGCCGTATGTCGTGTGCCTGGGGTGATGCAGTGTCCACCTCAACATCACGCCCAGGAAACCCACGCCGGCACCCAAGCAGTGGGTTGAGACTAGATGCTTTCGCTCGAGGATTATGGCTATTGAGAGGGTTATAGCGCTATCACAGTAACTCAATCTCGAATAATGTACCTGGGCATAGCTTGGGATGACTCGTCGGCCGCAGCTTCCAAATAAGAGAAGGACCAAAACCAGACCGGTCTAAAAGCAATGTCAAGTTCTCTCTTGGCGGACTACAGTTCAGCAGAGAGCCAAGGTGACCCGTCAGAGGGACCTCGTCCTTTTGAATTCTAGAGTATACCGTTATCTGCAGTCCCGGGTGTCGATTTCTCCGACTCTCTGATTCCATTTGTCGGTGGTAAAAAAAAAGAAGCCAGACACTCGATACATGAACAATTCTTCGTATTTGGGAAATCCCGGATCAATCCGCAGTGATCGGAAATCAGCCAGTCGGAATAAACAGCGAAGCAACACTATATCGGACCATCTCGATACATATGCTATTCCAGGGTGGAAAAATGAATAATAGTGAACCAATTATGCTTTTATTCAAACCTTATCCGATCACGGACTACAATATCTACCGACATGGGAGGGAAAGAATCGGGACCCCGGACAGCTTAACCCAACTGCGCTAGGACTTAACTGGTCCCACTCGGCCTTAGACTGACATCAAATCTGCAGTGAAAGTGTGGGGTGATCCAGGAACTACGTCCATTTTGGGAAACCATAGCCACTGCTTCCCCAGATTGGTGGGGCCCATGTTGATCTATGACTACAACGGGGTGAGAGACTATGGGGAAGTTTGTGAATGGAATCTAAAGGTATAAAGGCTTCGGTGGGTGAAGGAGATGTTTCTTTCTATCAATTGATTCTGTTCTGCATACTGAATTGTATGCTCTCTCTGTTTTTTTAAAAAAAAATCCAGCCAGACTACCTTGTACCTCTACAATGCATTGGTCAACCTCGGTTCCGCTGCTCTGCAGCTCAATGCTTACTTTAGTCACGGGCTCACTTGCGCTAGAGCGGGCGGATAAGCACTATGCTGTCATGGACAATGATTGGTATACCGTGGGCTTCCTACCTTATTTGGTTGCTCTTGATGGCGATGTGGAAATCCTAGGCTTGGCCTCAGGTGAGTATCTATAGTATACTGCATTGGCGCAATTGTTCACTAACCGGAATTTTTAGATACCGCCAACAGCTGGCAGCCACAGGGCGCATTGCACGCAGTAGCAACCCTAGAGGCCGGAAATCTCAGCTGTATTCCAGTCTACCCGGGCGCCACATGGCCGCTGATCAACACCCCGCACCGCTTCCATGCATGGGAGATGATCCATGGCAAACTGCCCTGGCAAGGCGCTTTCGCGCCCGAGAATAAGACACTGGAGGCTGAGGGCAATGATCCCACCTCTGGCGATCCGAACCGTATCGTCAAGGAGGCTTTCAAGGAAGGCTTCCCCAAGGGCCGACCGGAAAACTCCACCTCGGCTGCTAACTTCATGGTCGAGATGGTGCACAAATATCCCGGTCAGGTATCCATTTACTCGGCTGGCGCCTTGACTAATGTTGCGCTTGCTGTGCGTATGGACCCGCAGTTTGCGTCGCTTGCCAAGGATCTTGTGATCATGGGTGGGTATGTCGATCTGAACATGCTCCAGGCCACTGGAAGTGTCATGCTGGCAAATCACGCATCGGACGTTAGTATCCTTTCAATAATCCCATGATTTGTGTTGACTCCTTACAATTTAGATCAATCTCATGATCGACCCCGAAGCTTCTAAGATCGCTCTGACCGCGGATTTTCCTAATATCACGATCGCCGGCAATGTTGCTAACCAGGTCATGCCAACCAAGGAGTTCTTGGAAGAGGTTCACTCGGTTCCAAACCCATACAGCGAGCTCTTCTATAAGTATTACGACCTGTCTTTCCCCTTCTGGGATGAGACAGCTGCCGCTTTGATGGTCGACCCTTCTATCTCTGTCAACCAGACTTCAGGTATGTCATGTGGAAGGAAGATCCAAAGTGTCATGGATTTTGGCTAACATTTTCAAGTGTATCTGGATGTGGACACATCGTATGGCAGCCCCAACTATGGAAACATTCATGTGTACCAGAAAGCACTTGCGCCTCAGGGTATCCGGGAGGTGAACTATGTGTTCGAGGTGGATGCTGAGAGGCTCATCAGCCGGATAAAGCATGCCTGCAGTATCCCAAATCGTGTGCGGATTTGGAGTAGGCTGAGTGGCCCGCCGGATTGGGCTTGCTTGTATATACTGACTGAAATAATGGGTAAACAATGTTAATAGATTTGATGTCTTTGCCCTACAGACTTCTATCAAAACGGCGCATATGGGATCCAGAAAAGGAGGCAAGACTATATATACTGAGGAAACTAGAATGGTCTATCCATTCTTCAAAACAACTTCGGGTTCTCAAATCTGAAAGAAACCCCCAGTCTCTTAAGAACATTAGGGAAGATCTCGAGAGGTAGGAAGGGGTAGGGAACAAAAAAACAAAAACATACAACAGTGAGGATTCGCTGGTGGTCACCCACCCAACTACTAACTCACCGGCGTGTGGCTTGAGTACGGCTGAGCGGACGGGAAGCCCTATTTTCCACACCCTATGGTCGTATGTACCGGAGTAAAGGTGGAAGAGAATTATAGCATGAAATTTAGAACCAATTGGTTGGGTTTAGCGTTGTGCTAGCGAGTCAGGGTAACCAGACGCCGTATGCTTGTTGGTGAGCTGTATTTTGCCGTTTGCTTCGTAGGTGACTTGCTTGGTTGTCATAAAATACAAACCGCTGTACAATTTGTATGTGAAAGTGAAGTTAAAGTAAGACAAGGTAGAATAAGGTAGAATAAGGTAAAATATGGCCAAACTATATCTGACTTCCGAATTTGGAAGGCGGGTGGGGAGCCAGATGGCGGTAAGGCCTTTCGACAAATCAGAACGAAGTAAATGTCGTGCATGTCACCCGCGACGAGTTCTCGACCAAGTCTACAACAATTGATATACATGTGTAAAACACGACTATACACAGTCTCGTTTTGAATTCTCGTCAACATTTGACGTATTTTGCAGTCTGTCCGTATGGACCCATCTAATGCCCAGGGCTCAAGCCAAAGCCCATATCCATATGACACAAACCATGTCAGTGAACTGCTTAAGCGCAAGCGCCGCATCCGCGGCATCAAGTCATGTTTTCCTTGCCGTCATAGGAAAGTCCGCTGTGACGGTAATATGCCATGCTCTAGTTGCGTGCAGCGTCACCACCCGGAGCTATGCTGCTTGCCTCCTAAACCAGGGCATCAGCCGCCTGCTCCTGATGGGAATGGTAGCCCTTTCTCTATGAATAAGGATGGGGATGAAGAAGTACAGGGAACTAGTACTCGCAGGTATGATCCAATACCTTTTGCCCGTGATTTCTGTTCTCTTCCTTGTCTTGCGTTGCGGTGTCTTCGGACGCCACGACCAAACGTTGATATATCATACCTTGAATGGCTTAGCGTAACCACTGACAACGTAAGCGACAGTATTTCTGGTGAAATTCAATCAATATCTATGCAAGGAAATAACACTTATGCCCCGGGTATTGACCTCATTCTCAGTCGACTTGACAAGATGGATAAGCAGATATCTTCCCTCAAGGAAGAGCTTCGACAGACCCGTGCAAAAGCTGGATCCAGCACAATTGCCCAAGCCACTCCAGTGCCTGGTGCAGGATCACCATTTGTGGGGAAAGGTTCCACGCTTGCCAAATCTCCTGGAAAGCACTTTGTCGAAGACGCTACCGGCGCTACCATCTTTCTGGGAAGCCATTCGGACCCACCAGTCGCTCTGGGATGTCGACAAGCCCAAGCCGGAAGCGACCCAATGCTTAATGATGCAGCGCTCTTGGATCAGCTTGTTCCGCGGACGTATCCGTTCACGAATCTGTGGAAGCAAGAACCCGGAGCTGGTGAGATCTGTGAGACTTTACCTGACGAGTCGGATATTATCCGGTATGTATCGCGACCGTCGAATGAACGATTACCATTGACAGGCTCACATAAATACTCAACGCTCACTTGAATTATGGTGCTGATTGAAATGGACTCAGATATTGGCAAGTCTACCAAACAAATGTACACCCCTTTTACCCAGCGCTGGTGACCTACGAGCAATTCAATACCTCGCTATTTGCGTTCTTAAACAGGCGCACAGTGATATTGCTCGAAAATGAGACCTCAAGATTAGATGATGTGGATTCCTCATGGCTTGCACTTCTTTTTGCTGTACTTGCGTGTGGAGTGCAGTTCTCGAATGATCCCATCAAAGAGCGTGATCTACGCTGTAAAGTATTCAGTGAGTCCAATCCGAGCCCTCTTCCTTCAGGTTTGGATCTAATTGTATCAGTATGCTCATCTTTTCAATGCCTCCGAGCCTCAAATTTTTTCAACAACACCAACATGAACCAGATCCAGGCGAAGGCGTTGATCGGGAATTGCCTGCGCAACAATCTCGACACTAACAGTGCCTGGATTTTGATGGGTCTGTACTTCATTTTAGTCAGAATCATGTGGCAGGACTAACTAGTTATAGGATCAACAATACGTCTTGCGCAGAGTATCGGACTACACGAAGAGATAGCCCCAGACAGACAAAGCTCCGCCGTAGAAAAATTCCAGCGAAAACGCCTATGGTACGTACTAAATATCCATCAATCTCGACACAATAAGCCCATTAACTCAAAACCACAGGTGGATGCTATTATGGCAAGATACCTTCCTCTCATTCACCTACGACCGCCCACCAAACATAAATAAGCTAAGCAGCAGCATACCCCACGACCCAGACGCAGGCCCAGGACGGTCCTTCGCAGAATGCGTTTGCGCCATATGCCAAGTCCTCCTCGAGCGTGCACGACAAGACAACACTGAAACCCCCAGCGAAACACTATCCTTCAAAAGCCGGATGGCAGCTATATTCGAAGACGCCTCCCCATTCCTCCGCGACAAGGCCCACTGTCGCAGCCTGCAAGATCACCTCGAGCGTCTAGCACTAAGTATCCACTTCTGCTACACAATCTGTCGTCTCTGCCGGCTGGTCCTGGAGACTGTATCCAGTGAAGAATCTAGTCCGGCTGTGGATGTCGAATCCATCAAGGTGGAATGTATCGAGTGCGCTGCTCAGGCTGTTGAGAGTTTCTTGGATATGCACCGTCTGGCGGCGACGGTGTGTCGATCATGGGCGTTTGTTCATAATGCTGTTAGTTGTGCACTCACACTTCAAAGCTTGGTCGCATCCGGTCCGCGGCATTCGCGTGCTGATGTGCTGGTTAATCGGTTGATTGTTGTTTTGGAGCGGGAGGAACAGCAGTCTGTGTGGCAGGATACGGATACTAACGTAAGGTACTTTGGTCCGTATTCTCGGGCTTTAAAGGCCTTGCGAGAGACTAGTAATAGTCTGTGAATGAGAGATCTATACGAGGTAGAATGAGCCGGGGGGGGGGGCGTTGATCCAAGGCGGAAGAATGTGACGAATACGAGGGGAAATACGAGGGACTCCTTGTTCTTTCTAATATATATAATGGAGTATCATCAGCTGAATTATTAGATGGGTCTGACTTATTTCTACATATTTTGTTTATCCTGTTTACAACTCACATAATGTCCAAACTCCGCTACTATATCATCGATGTCTTCTCATCCATTGCCTACCAGGGTAATCCCCTCGCAGTGGTAGACACCACATCCACCACCCTCACCTCGACCCAGATGAAACTACTAGCAAGACAATTCAATCTATCGGAAACAACCTTCATATGTCCCCCAGCGGACCCCAAAGCTACCTGGCGTCTGCGATCATTTCTGCCCAACGGAGTAGAGGTTTTTGGAGCTGGTCACAATTCGCTCGGTGCGTGGTGGTGGATTGCAGATTCAGGGCTTTTGGGAGACATCGCACAAGATAGAGAATCCGGTCAGACCTATTTCCAACAACTAGGCGATAATATCCTACCGGTTGAAGTGTCGCGATCAAAGCTAGGAGATCTTGTTGTCTCGATGAGGCAGGGTCAACCTCAGTTCTTGAACCAACATGCCAACCATGATTCCCTTGCTACATCTCTTGGGATCGACGCCTGTGACATTGGACTAAGGTGCTCGGATGTTATACTCGACCGGGCAATGGTGGTTAGCACTTCACCTGCTCGTCATCTTTTAATTCCGATCCGAAGCCTTGATGTCCTGAAAAATGTCAGCTTTGCCGACAAAGACGGGATCTCAAAGGAGCTCGCTAGTACCGAAAGCTATAACAGTGGGGTATACGTTTTCACCGAAAATGAGTCCGAATCAAAGACTCCGAGATTTGAGGCCCGGTTTTTCAGTCCGGGGATGTCAATGGAAGACCCCGCTACGGGTTCGGCTGCTGGGCCTTTGGCTGCTTACTTGTGGGCGAACAATGCCCTGATATCTGTGGAGAATGGAGTATCTCGGATCGAAGTCGTGCAGGGTGTACAGACTGGGAGGAGATGCCTGATGAATTTGAGCATCGAACCGAATAAAGGAGATTCAGTTAGCATCACGATCTCCGGAACTGGCGTGCTGGTTGCAGATGGAAACATTATGATTCCTAGCTCTAGGGTTTCATTTTGAGGAGCCTTCGCAACGGCACGAGATATCAAATGCTCAAAGTGTATATCCCTTTATCATAGCATTACCTGCCATATCTAATAGTCTAGTGAACAAATTTCAATCCATATCAACGCCAGACCAATCTAAATAACAGTCCTCCAACGCTCTAAACAGTGGCAGTCCTCTTCTTAGCGCGAACGTAGAAGTTCAATGGCCGAATCAACTGGAACTCAGGATCGTATTCGATAGCCTCAAGACCCTCACGAGTGAACTCATAGCGCGAGACAAGCTCCGACAGCAAGATTTTCACCTCAAGCAACGCAAAGTTGAATCCAATACAGCCACGGGGACCCGTAGCGAAAGGAATGTAAGCGCAACGATGCTTGTTCTTAGTCTCTTCGCTAATCCAGCGATTGGGATCGAAGCGGAAAGGATCGCGCCAGACTTCTGGGTTGGTGTGGATAGAGTACAGGTTGGGGACGATGACACTGTCAGGAGGCAGGCGGTATCCACCGGGTAGCACGACCTCGGTTTTCGTCGTGCGACCGGGCTGGAAGGAGGCGTTGTGCAGACGCTGAGTCTCTTTGATGAAGCAGTCGAGGAAGGTCAGGCTGTGGGCGAACTCGGGTGTCCAATCGACAGGCTTGTCGGTGTTGGCGACGCCGCGCTCACGCAGTTCCTCGTATAGACGGTCTTGGGCGCCTTCGTATGTGACCAGGCAGTAAAGGAGCCATGACATTAGGGCGGAGGTAGTTGTGAAGCCGGCGCCTGTGACGATGAGCATGTTTGCGACGATCAGGCCCTCGGGGAACTTTTGGCCGGATTCGTCCACGGTGTTGAGGAGGTAGTCTACTACGCATGAGGCTTCCACTGCGGCTTGGTTCATGGGCATGCCATCGATGCCTGAACCCTTGACTAGATCTATCTTCTCCTGGAGGAGGGTGTAGATTGTGTGCTGGACAAGCTTGAGACGGGCAGGATCGCCGAAGGGAAGGTGGCGATACCATTCACCCCGGGCGGTAATCTTCTTATTAAGAGACAGTAGACTGGCGATGTTGGTTACGATCGGGTGCAAAGGGGCATCGACATCGGTGAAGTGCTCAAAGTCGGTGCCTAGAGAGAACTTTCCGATGGTTTGCGATGCAAGCTTCACCATGTACTGGTAGGCGTTCCAGGACTCCCCGCGAGCATCAAGTTCGTCAAAGACTGTGAAGGACCCGCGTACACACTCCTGCATTAACGGGGTGTAATGGCGCACTGCCTTGGGACCCATTGCTGGTGGCAAGAATTTGTGAGCCAGGCGCCAATTCTCGGTCTCGGTATCTCCGATGAAGATTGCTGTGTTGTCCTTGACACCCCAGAGAGGGTGGTTCTCGTTGATCTTCTTGGTCATGTAGACCGACTCAGTCAGGGCCACGGCTGCCACTTCGGGACTATCTGTCAGATATGTCGTCTTGCCCATGTTGGTAGTCTTGATAACATGGCCATATTTGCGGAAGAGTCGATAGTGGTTGCCTAGATGATCCGGGAAGATCTCGTAGAAGCTGCCCACGAGTGGGAGACCCTCTGGACCTTGGGGACTCTGAACTGCTTGTCCATCGATACGGAGACCGATGGGTGTAGTTCGTGAGGAGGATGCACTCAGGATTTCCCCTGCTGAGAGCAGTTCTTGTTCGTTTTCCCCGAGGTGGAAAGTCAAACCTGATCATGTTAGCGCAAGTTCATGTATAGTGACTGGCAGCACGTACCAAGTGGTGCAGCAACGTGGAAAGCAGCTCCCACGGCGCGCTTGACGTCTTCAATCTTCCATTTGGAATCGAGAGTTATAGACTGTGCTGTTGATACTTCATCTCCAATCAAGTAGAACACAGGATCCAGTGCGACAGGCATGATGAATTTTAGTTAATATTTTGGAAGATATGCTCTATTTGACCTCCATCATCTTAAATATCTTCACTTTCTTATACCAATATCCGAATTACCGTGGAGCCTTGAATGTCCATTTGTATAGGAGCGGTAGATCCGGGCTTCGGGCGAAGTTCGCACGAGAACATCCGACATAGATATTGACATATTGACATATTTTATATTTATATAACGTTTATATAAATGTTTTAGGGGACTTCAAGTTAAGCATTTTAATTGTCTCACAAGATGTACACCCTTGAAGAAGTTCATAATCATAATAAGCCAGACGATGTCTGGATTATTCTGCACAACAAAGTCTACGATGTCACCAAATACCTCGAAGACCACCCTGGTGGCAGTGCCATCTTGATTGGGGTCGCTGGCACAGATGCTACCGAGGCATTCGAAGAGACAGGTCATTCTGACGAAGCTCGTGAGGAGTTGGAACAATATTATGTTGGCGACCTGCCGTCAGAGGTGTGTTCTTCAAACCTAACAGACCAACATATAGAGAACTCAACTAACCTGATTTGATTTAGGAACATGCCGAATCAATTCAGGTCTACCGTCCTACGTTTGAGAAAGTCGCACAAGCCGCCGTTGTATCTGTCAAGCCCTCACCTAGCCGTGTTCCCTCGCTGGTTCTCTCATTGCTCAAACTTGGCATGACTGGCGCTTTAGGGGGAGTGGCTTTTGCCGGCTACAGCAACGGATGGGGACAATTTGCCCCGATCCTCAAGAAGCTGTCGGAAAGTGTCTCAACTATTCTGTCCAACCGCCTGAACTCCGGTCAGTTCTGGTCCGGATTCGGAATCGCCAGTGTCGCCCAACTGTCCATCACCCTTGGAGTGACAATGTGGATTTCATCCAAGTTGGACGTCCAGCAAGAGTTTACTCATCACTTGCCTCACCGCACATCTCGGTCCGACAGACTTATCTTCCGCAAGAAAACATCATCAACCGTCAAGAAGGCTCCCACCAAGACCCTTTTTACAAAGCCCCTCGACCCGCGCCAGTTTAAGAGCTTCCCTCTGACCCACAAAGAAGTCGTCTCTCCCAACGTGTACCGATTCACCTTTGGCCTCCCCAACACAGACGATATCCTCGGTCTCCCAACAGGCCAGCATATTGCTCTGCGCGCCACTATCAATGGAAAGAGCGTCTCCCGTTCCTACACACCCGTCTCCAACAACATCGATCTAGGACGCATCGAGCTCCTAGTTAAGGTATACCCCCAGGGCCAGATGACCAAGCACCTCGAGCAAATGAACATCGGCGACACTATCGAGATCCGTGGCCCCAAGGGCGCAATGCAATATACCACCTCATACGCAAACCACATTGGTATGATCGCTGGTGGTACTGGTATAACCCCCATGTACCAGCTCATCCGGGCGATCTGTGACAACAAGGCCGATACTACCAAGATGAGCTTGCTGTATGCAAGTAACAGGGAGGAGGATATTTTGCTACGCAAGGAGCTGGACGACTTTGCTCGTGAGAATCCGCATAAGTTCTCTGTGCAGTATGTGCTTTCACAGGCTGGTGAGGATTGGACTGGTCATCGTGGTTTTATCTCGCAGGATCTGATTCAAAGCTACTTGCCGCCTGCCGGTGAGGACAGCAAGATGTTGCTGTGTGGCCCGCCACCTATGATTAATGCGATGAAGAAGATTCTCCCTGGAATGGGCTGGAATGATCCTAGTGCTGTGTCCAAGGCTACGGATCAGGTCTTCCTGTTCTAAGGGGATTGTGATGGTATTGAGCGTTGGATGGTGCCTAAATTGTACAACAGATTTTTGAATTTGATATACAACATAGACATAGAGATAGAATATCAGCAACTAGTCACATTTTCAGTCAATTTTCTCATAACTGTCTAGCTCTCACTTCGTTTGTATACATTTGGTGTTTTCAGGTGTCTAAGTTTCTTTGTTATGGCACGGTAGGAGACGTTTCCATATCCTAACGTGAAGATATTGCGAAGTATATCAAATCTTATGCCTCAGGTTGATGTCTTACAAATGACGTCGTCTTCTCAGCTTCCATTCTTCCGCGCTTCTAGAAGAATTACCCAAAAGGATCACTAGTAGTTGATATTGAGTGGAGCTCAACGGTCAACACCGGACTGAACGGCAACAGTTCCCGGATCTTAGCCCAACAAAATGAAGGAGTCGACAGATCTTCAAGCTTGTTTAGCATAACATTCTGCAAGTTCCTCCGAACTGTTTCCGTGAATATTCCGTGACGACTCCGTGGCAAATCCGAACAGAAAAGCGCTTCATTACCATCCGAACTCCCTCCGATGCAGAGTAGATCCCGAATCTACTTCTGGAAGCATTTTATTGGCCATGACGACACTACAGCACTACGGCCGTGATATCCGCGAGTCCTTCTTTTCTTGGAAGCTCATACTCATGATGCCGGCTTCCGGCAGCGGAGCCCTAACATGTCCAATGAGCTTGGGATGGTGTATTGCAACCGAAGTGCATAGAGAGCCTCATAAATTCCAATGCTAGATTGAGCAGAAATATATATAAGAAAGCCTATAATCAACTGTGCCTTGGTTATGTTTCCCTAGACAACAGTCCACGCTTTTTCCGCTCTCAACGTCATATCTACATACATTTTATATACCAACACCCATCTACATTGCCACCTCCCTCTCTCATACTCCTATTTACCTACATTCAATATGGGTGTTAAGCCCAGAACAGACCGCCCCGTTGCAGTCATCGGCGCCGGTGTCCTCGGCCGCCGCATCGGCTGTGTCTTCATCGCTGCTGGCTACCATGTCCACATCCGGGATCCCTCGCCGGTGGCTCTCCGCGATGCAGAGGACTACATCGATAAACACAAAGTCGAGTTCTCGTTGATGCCGCGCATTCAAAAGATGCGTGAAGAAGATCACGAGGGCGAACCTGGCGATCCCGACGATCCTAAGGGTCAGACCTCCATTTCCCAGGTTGACCTTGAGTCGTATACGTCTGCGCCCTATGGCAACTGCAAGACTTTCACCGAGCTTGAGCCCGCTGTTTCCAACGCTTGGCTGATTGTCGAGGCTGTGCCTGAGATACTGCAGTTGAAGATTGATACTTTGGCAGACTTGGATAAGTACGCTCCGGCGGATTGTTACATCGGCTCCAACAGCTCCTCTATCAAGTCAAACTTGATGCTTGTCAAGGTCTCCGACAAGCGGAAGCGCAAGCTCTTCAATATTCACTTCACCATGCCTCCTGCTATCCGCACGGTCGAGCTGATGACTTGTGGTAAGACCGATCCCGAGATCTTCCCTTACCTGGAGACTGTCTTGGGTGAATGTGGCATGTTGCCAGTGACAGCTCGCCGCGAATCGACCGGGTATGTATTATTCCGAGAGCGAAAAAGAAAACGTAGTATATCAGCACAGCAGACTGACTCAAAAGCCGTATAGATTCATTTTCAACCGCATCTGGGCAGCAGTCAAGCGGGAAATCACGCAAATCCTCTACGAAGGCGTCAGCGACCCCGGCCAAATCGACCTACTCTGGGAACACATGTTCAAGAATGGGCCCCTGCCCTGCCAGCTGATGGACCAAGTCGGCCTCGATACCGTCGCGTTCATCGAAGAAAACTACATCCACGAGAGGGGTCTCCCCTCCGCCGCAATCGACTGGCTACGGAGGGAATACCTCGACCAAGGACGTCTCGGCAAGAAGAGTGAAAAGGGCGGCCTCTACCCGCCACTCTCGAAATCCTCTTCCGCAGAAGCACATCCGGCACACCCGCACAGCGCCGCAAAAGACATCTACCTGCTGGACGTCGGGCTCGGCGGAAACGCCAGGATGTGTCGCAGGTGCACTCCAACGGCAAAATCATCCGCCTCAATCTCGCAACGCAGAAACTCACCCCCGTCGTCGTCGGCCAGAACCTGCCTGACGGTATCGACGTAGCACTGGAGACGCAGCGCATCTTCTGGACGAATATGGGCCGCAGCACGGCAAAATGTGATGGCTCCGTCTGGTCGGCTGATATGGACGGCGGCGATGTGATGTGTGTTGTCCCCGTTGGCCAGGTGCATACACCCAAGCAGATCTCGGTTATCGAGTCACGCAAGCAGATTTACTTCTGCGACCGTGAAGGACTAGGTGTGCACCGCTGTAATTTTGATGGTAGTAACCACGTTGTTCTGGTGCAGCGCCGTGCGGAGCCGGGCATGAGTCTGTTGGAGCAGATGACGCTTTGGTGTGTAGGTGTTGCTATCGATGCCGAGCGCGGTCTCTTGTACTGGACTCAGAAGGGACCTTGCAAGGCTGGTCGTGGTCAGATCTACTGCGCTGGCTTGGATATTCCTGCCGGTGAGACTGCTGAGAATCGGACTGATATCCGGTGTCTGTGGAGCAACCTCCCCGAGCCCATTGATATTGAGATAGATAGCGACACTCGGACCCTGTACTGGACGGATCGTGGTGAGCACCCTTTCGGTTGCACACTGAATCGTGCCCATGTTGGTGGTGAAGAGATAGATTTTGAGAAGGTTATTCTGGCACGTCACTTCCACGAGCCTATTGGCTTGAAGTTGGATAAGGCGAACAATATTGTGTATGTGGCTGACCTGGGTGGTAGCTTGTACTCGGTATCGTTGGAAGATGGACTCAAGACTGAGCTTGTGCGAAACGATGTTTGCTACACTGGTTTGACTCTTGTTTAGCGAGACATGTATGTTATATGTGAATATAGAATAGATACATGTATCCTTCTGATCATGTTTCAGTAACCCCCACGCAACATGGGGGTGAAACCAAGCTAAGAAAGTAAGAAATACATGAATACATACATAATGACATTATATAGTACGTTGCATTTCAAATATTTGAATATTATGCATGTATATGCATCATGTAACGGTGGTATGGTGATCTCGTAGAATTATGACGTGGGGAATAATAGGAGCAGAGTCCCCTTAACCCTAATTAATTGCATGTCTTACTACGGAGTACGGAGGAGTTAAACACGATCTCGGGAGTATATGCAACATGCACAATATGCATAGCTGAAACAGTCTAAATACAGAAAAACACAATGTCACCCTTTCTCCCCTCTTCCCCCCCTCGATCCATTCCTGCACAGCCAGGGACTGCCGATCCCCCATTTTCCCCTACTCTTCCCATTTACATCTACATCTACTACTACTCCGTACACATATACAACCATCCATCCCGTATCTTAGGTAGAAACACATCTACCAAGATGCACCTCCAAACCCTCCTCCCCATCCTCTCGGCCTTAGGCACAACAGCAGCCATTACCTCCAAACCAGCCCACCTCTGGGCAACCCACTACAATGGCAATGTCTACTCCCTAACCCTGAGGGACAATGACCTCTCCATATCGCAAACCCTCAATACCTGCGGCGACATGCCGAGCTGGTTAACCCTAGACGCGCACACCCGCACCGTCTACTGCTCCGACGAGACCGGCACTGCCGATCCTTCCACGCATGGCTCGCTGACGGCCCTGCATGTCAGGCCAGATGGCACGCTGCGCGAAGGCGCTGTCGCGAAGACTGTCGGTGGCGGCGTGAGTAGTGTTATCTATGAGACTGCTGTGGGGAAGAAATTTATTGCAATTGCGCATTAGTATGTTTCTCTGTTTTTCTTTTTCTTACCTACATTCCTAAGGTCTTGGCCTTGCCTTGCCTTGATGCTGTTGTGGATATGGGATTGTACTAACAACCTAATAGCCAAGGCTCGGCCATCTCAACCTTCGCCTTGCCCATCAAACAAAACCAACCAAGCCTGCAAGCCTTCCATTTCAACCTGACCAGACCGGGTAAAGTCGACCAGCAGGACTCGCCACACCCGCACGAGGTCTTCCTCGACCCGACCGGCTCGTTCATCGTCAGTCCGGACCTGGGCGCGGACCTGCTGCGCGTGTACGCGATCGAAGATGGCCCGTCGGGTAAGCTGTCCGAGTGTCCGAGTGTGAACATTACCTACGGCAGCGGGCCGCGACACGGCCTGTTCTGGGCAGATAACACCGACCGGTCGGCTGATAGGTCGACGAATTCGCGGCAGACAGCGGCTGTCGGCGAGACGATGTTGTACCTTCTTAATGAGATCGGGGGTACGATGATGGCGTTTGATGTTTCGTATCCGAGATCTGGGTGTTTGTCTTTTGAGAAGACGCAAACCCTGGTGCCGTACCCCGACGGTGTTATGCCCGAGGGTGCCACGCCGGCTGAGATTAGTAGGATTGGAGATCAGTTTTATGTTTCAATCCGGAGTGATCAGGGTTTCGAGCCGAGTGATTCAATGATTGTGCTTGATCGGTCGCCAGTGGACGGATCAGTGAAGTTGCGGGACTCGGCTTCTGCATTTGGGAAGGTGCCGCGGACCTTTGTGATCAATCGGGCTGGGGATCTGGTTGCTATTGGGAACCAGGCTTCTGCGACGGTTTCCATTGTGCGTCGGGATCCGAAGACCGGAGATTTGGGTGAGGAGATGGCTGCTCTACAGGTTGGTGAGCCTGGGAAGGTAGGGACTGCGGAGGGTCTCAGCAGTGTCATCTGGGATGAGTAGATTGATAGTTATATAAATCAAGAATTGGATGGTATGAGAGACAACCGTGTCTCCCACGACCACAGCTCTCTTCTATAAACTGCAGAGAATGAAATCATTGCAGTACAGGTTCGCATCACATGAAAGACTTGAAAGAGCATAAAAAAGCATATACCTCATGACCAAAAGATATGTCCACATGAACCCCAGAATGCGGAAAGAAAGAAAATGTAGACCTTTGAATGTTGAAGACCAGCTTCTTCGGGTTTTTGACTGTCGGAAACCTGCACCGAAAAGACCTGGCCTGGAAAAAGGAACTCCTGCAACGTCGTCCACATGATGGGTCCTGCCAGATCGTAGTGAAAAAGAAAAAGAAAGAAGACCAGGAAAGCCGACCGAACGATGAAGAATAAATAACAATATGAGAATGAACGTGTATCAAGCATCAGTCGTAAAATGCGTAAAACCAAATATGTAGGCGGTCTTGAAGTCGTTCACTTGATGTCGATTTGGAATGCCTTCCATTTGCCCCCAACTGTTCGACATCGTGGACATCCTTGAGGACCAGGGTAACTTGTTGGTCCTTGTGACAGGACGGTATTTAATGGCCCATTCCCCGGGGTTCGGAATGAAGTAGGCGGACTTGAAATGAACATGCCCACGCAGTCGCGGCAGACTCCACAGATGCACTCCGTACAGGCATAGCACTCATTCAGTGCCGAAGGTCGTTTGCACTGGGCGCAAAACACCTGAACCTCTTTGTTGCGGAAAGACGCTGGAGTAGGATTGGAGAACCGGTGGTGCTGGCGCTGCGAGATGGGCGGGACAAGATTCATAACTGGGCTGGAATCAGAGTTTATGGACGGCGCGACTCCCGAAACCGATGGCGCAAAATTTCTGCCGGATGCCGAAGACATGGAGTCGAGCGATGATTCAATGGATGGGAATGGTTCCAAGTCGCTCTCACGGCTGCGGTGGTTCTCGTATGGTGGCGGGGTCAATGATTTGTGCAAAGGCGAGGCGGCGTATGAATGAGGTGGGAATGGCCGATGTGAAGAGATAGGAGGCAATCCCGAGGATTGGAAAGCGGGTGGTAACGAGGACCGATTTTTCACCCCAGACGGGGCAGACGTCACGTTGGGAAGTAGTGGGGCAATCGTTGGAGACCGACCAGCCTGTATATGGCGCATCAGCACTGGAAAGGAAAGTCCAGAATTGCATTCAAACTCACCTCTGAATACGGCTCATCGTCTACTTCCGTTGCTGATGTCGCGGCTTCAATCAAATCCTCCCAGCGCTTGCCTTGCGCCCAGGCCGCGGTTTGCGGCTCTGCTGAAAGGGCTTTACGGTCACCGAGACTTGGTCGCCGCCCGAATTCCTTTGATTTGGGGCGATCCTGCCTGGGTTTCCGGGCAGATTGAGTGATGGAAGATTTGCGTGGGCGGGAAAATTTGTCTCTCCGCTGGATTGGCGGCAATGTGGATGAGCGACCGGGCGGGGAGTGATTGAGGATGGATGGAAGAAGCTCGCGAGGACGAGGCGTAAATGGCGGAAGGGATTCCTGCTTGAAGTGGTCGCGGAGTGAGGGCAGTTCAATAGCTCCGCGCATGCGAGGATGACTCAAGTCGGTATCCGAATGGGTATCCTGGGGAAATGCGGGTCAGTGCCACTGTGGAGAGACTCAGGGCTCAAAGCCCACAACAGCCCGGAGCGACAAACCATGTCTGTATCCCAGTCCGAAGCCAGCCGATGGTGATGCAGTTGTGCCAGAGCAACCGCCGCAGTGGCTGCAGCTGGGTGGGGTTCATCCAGAGCTCGAGGGGTAGCCGGGGAGCCGTCAGCGACATAGACGTCCCTTTCCGGCGCCACATCTGTGGGTAGCCGTCAGTATGTGTAAGAAATTAAGACAAAAAGAGCAGAAAGACTAACCCTGAGGTCGCCGGGGTTGAGCGGGTTCGGGGGGTGACAGCTGCACCCGTTGCTCGAGCGGGGTGTTCACCATCATCAGGAAGCTCTCCTCGGTAGCCGGGAGCTTCGGGATGTAGTGGTTCGGATGCGCACGTCGAATGTGCTCCTGCATGGAGCGATAGCGTTTTTCCTAGAGCACCAACCGGATTAGTTCGAGTTGAACTCCAGAGTTGCACGGGTCATATAGCTTTCGCAAGCCCGGTGATAGGTGGGGCTCGGGGCAAATACTCACACCTAGACATCTTTTGCGACAATTGGAACCGTCGTTATTCTTCAAGGGACAGACCACCTCATTATTGGCATCGGTTACCGAGAAAGAGCTGGTCAGTGAGCTTCGAGGAGGCATGGTTGCATATAGGTCATCCGAGATCCCGGGAGTTGAGATAAAAAAAGGAGGGGCGAATAAAGAGGTCAGCCGAGCACAGACAGGGTTTATGTGAACAATAGACAAAAATGCAGTTCAACATGCTCTTGTGTGTAGAAAGAGAAGAAAGGAAGAATTGAAAAAGGGAAAAAAAGGAAACGGATGAGAGGGCGGCTCATACATTCAGAGTACTTTCGAGGGTCTAGTGGGTGAAAGTCACTGGGGTATTACGGGTAATTACGCAGAGTTCGCCTTATTCTAATTTTTACTCCGTACTTCTTTTTTTTCTATAATTTCTTTTTATTTCTATCCTATAAATTCTAGATTTAATAATTCTACATATGTAGTCAGGAACAGCTTTATTCTGACTCTCTTATGTACGAGCTCGTATATGTGGCTATCGTCCCTATCTGAGTATCGATAACCAAAAAGAGGGCGTGCAGCTTTGAGCTTCCCTTGTAAGAAAAACCCCATTCTTGGAATGTTCCACGCTAAAAAGTGAAATTTTAAATAAAAATGGGAGAAAAAAAGAAAAAAAAGGGAAAAAAGGATGAAACCGTACGGTAAAATTTGGTATTTTAATACCGAATAGCACGGCTTTTCGGAAACCCCGGTGGAACACCGAGCTCTTAAACGATTTTCATTACATTTTTACATTCTTTTTATGTGGCATCCTAGATGCCTTTTAATGCTTTATTCGGACTATTAATAAAACATATGTATCTAACACACAGAAGATGCTTAATTTTACATCTTCGGGCGAAAGGAAAGGAAAAGAAATACTCGCGATAGGCGCTATCAGCGGCCCCTCCGAAGCTCTCCCCAGCTCCTGAGCTTCATTCCAGAAGGGAGGGAAGCTCCGGGTGGCAAAATTAGCGCCACGTTACAGTGTAATATTACGGTATTTTTCGATTCCATGGTTTTATTTTCTAATTTCTAATTTTATACTACAGATTACTATGTAGAACCATAGTACGAAGTAAATAATACTAGTAGTAGTCTACCTAGGTAAGATTGGATAAATAGGTATAATAATGCAACTGAAGAAACAAGGGAAGGTATACTCCAGGCCTCCCGAGGTCGTGTACTCATAGTGTAAGCAAGCGCGTGACTTTATATGCCCTACTTAAGTATACTTATAGGCATAATCCATTACTATAATACAAATACTCCGTACCTGTCTCAGCTCCGACCTCCTCCGTTTACCCTTAACTCTAATAAACAGCTTCAATATTTCCAGATTACTTGATTGCCTAGATACGAAAATACCAATACCTCCCTAATACCTTGTATAACCAACTGCCGATGAAGAGCATCCCAAAGCAGCCTGATTGGCCCCCAATCTCCACCGAGTCACCAATTACCTCCATTGTCATTGGCTGCAACTCGCACGCCATCCCGGTTCTGGGTGGCCGTGCAGGGGGTTGATCAACGGAAAAGTCTGAGATTTCAAGTTCGGGGGTTTCCAAGGTTGGTATGTACTGTTGTATAAGTACCTAGGTAATATCTGATAATAGTATGTACGGAGTAGCATATAATAAAAATAATATAAAGCTGTTATCAGACCTGTACACTACATGTACACTATCCATACATACACAAATGTCAAGCATGTCACGCTCCACTTAATATGACAAGGTGGGGAGCTTGCGAGTCGAGACGTTCGTTCTAGACAGCTAAGTTACTGAAATGCATCTTATCTGCATCGCTTAGAATTCATGCAAGGTGCGTCTAGCTTTCATGCAGCCTATTATTATACTCCATTGTACTACTCCGTACATCTAATTCCATCCGATCTCTCGGATCTAAGAATGACCATTGTCCCTCGTAATCCTATTTCCATTGTTTAGACCGCAATCCCTTCCTGCAGACCAACATACCAGCTGTGTGTCAGCCATGCAGGGTCCAGCATCATCATGGTAACCCCAATGTGTCGCCACTAAGGGGTGGCTGAGCTGACCAACTATAATTGTACACTCGTAACTCCTGTTCGTGTCCCATACTCAGCGTCATCTGAAACCCTTGCCGCGCGGTTTGCCTTCAAGGGATTCACCCCGAACAAACTCGCTCAAACGCAGAAATGCAGAAATGCAGAAACCAGCTTGGACATAAAGTGCCCAGTAACTGGTAAAAAAAAAACTCTGCAGCTAATACCGCTGAATATAATACATGTCCAAGCATCGTCACATCCCATCCCGACCGTAAAAGAGATCCCCCAATCAACCCAGTGGAGGCGTAATCATACCAGTACCATTACACCCCATCGAATCCCCATCCTCCCCAGCAAAGAACAGCAAAACTGCTTCAGCAGCAGCCTTGGCATCATCGTCATCCTCCAAACCAGGAACGCGTGAGCGATAAATCTGCTCCAGATACTCGTCCATAACAGCCGCAGACCAACCCCCACGACGCCCAAACTCCTGCGCAAGCTCCCCATTGGCAAAAGTATCAAACTCGAAGTGGCCCTGGTACGTCAGGACCCGGCCGGGGTTATAAAGACCCTGAATAGCGCACTGCGCACTACTCCCGATACTGAGACCACGGTGCCGGCAGTGAGACACCCTGGTCCGCAGCAGCTTCAGCCTCAGGCGTCGGTGCCACTACGTCGCCGTGGATCAGCTGGATGCGGAATGGTTTCTGAGCTGTGGCGCGCGCCAGAGGCGGGAAGCGCGCGGTGAAGGAGGGCTGGAGGGTGATGGGCTGGATGCCCATTTCGAAGCCAGCGGGGGATTGAGTGACGTGGAATGTCGATGCCGGTGCGTTGCTTGTGTTTGCCTTGGTGCTGAGGAGGGCTTGGGCGATGATCTGGTGCCCGAAACAGGAGCCGAAAAGCTTTATGTTTGGATAGTGGGTGTGCACTGTTTGGATGTAGGATTGCAGTGCATGGATCCAGGGTTGGTCTTCGTAGGCTGAGGATGCTGAGCCCGTGATTAGGATTGCGTCTATTGGACTCAATGGTCCGGCGTGAGGCTCGGCTGGGGCCTGGGGTTTGGTTCGTAGGGTTTCCAGAGGAGGTAATGACCCGCCTACGGCATCGAAGGCCGTTACATGAATGGCGAGAGGTCCGTTTTGGAGGCTTTCTGGGCTTTTGTTCAAGCGTTGGGCGGCTGCTTGCAGGAGGACGCGGAATTGAGAGCTGTATAGACCCCGCGCTTTGTATACTGAGAGGCAGGGGATGTCGGCGTCTAGCACAGCCACGTGGATTTTATGTTGGGCCATGGGCTTGGGTATCGGGACTCTATCCAAATGGATGTAATTTGTCAAAGAGAATGTGATATGTGAGTCTACAAATATAAAAAAATTGAAAAACTTTGATGTCAAAGGGCGTTCGCATCCTCACGCCCGATAAGGATTTGAGTAATCCGGTGGGGCTTCCCAAAGAGGAAGTCGAATCCTTGTCTGTAGAAGATCTGATGAAGGCATCAGGAACCATATCAAAAGAGATAAAGACATAGATTAATTAGACTGAATGAAGTTCTGGGAAAAGACTGTAAGAAAGGAAAGAAAAACATGTTAAATAGTGCACCCAAAGACCATTCATTGAGAGGTAGAAGATCAAGAAGCCCAGGAGCAAGAACAACATGCAATGGTCGAAGGTGATTATAAATAGAAAGAGAACCACTTTGAATATATCCATGGGTACGGCGTGAGTTATCAATTGCTAGTTAGAACGAGACTCAAGTGGTTAAAGACAAAGGCACGGATCTCTACCATGTGCTCCCCCAAGCCCTAAGACGAACGCATATTTGAAGTAAAGCATTAAGACAAGTCAAACCTCTCGCCCGATAGCTTAACTACATGCATGTGTTCCAAGGTTGATAGATGAGATCTGCCTAAAGCACTTCTTCTTTTGGATCTAAACAACCCGACCAGCCGGTTTCATGCACGACTGCCGATATGATCGGCTGGGGTCAGAATATATTGTGCTGGATGATGGATAATCTTAGTCTATCGGCCGAGACTGTGGATGTTAAGAGATGTGCATGTATATTAATCAAGTACTATGTGTATACCTCTATTCCCCCTAGAGGTAGATACTAGAATCCTCGGTCCCTTGCCCTTCAACGTCAACTCCTATATTGCTATTTCACGAGGAATCTAGCGTATTCCTCTCTTTTATATACTCTTTATTAATTCTCAGTCTCTTCACAAAATGTCCTAAATATCAAACCCAATTCGTGATCCCCCACTGCCATCACAACATCCAACCCCGCAAATTGCGCCATCCCGGCCTTCAACCCCCAATCAGCTTCACTTCCTTAATAGCGGTACTCATTCCGCTATATAACCCTGGAATATATATAACCTAGGTATTTCGTAAAATTATCGGATCTCGTCACGCCATATAATCCACTACATTGCTCACCATCTATGTAGAATATATAAATAAAACCAACCCTTCAGTGATCTGTACACCTGCATATTCCCATCTTTAATAACCATGGCTCCCGCTGCTACCTCCTCTCTCCCAACTGCCCCTCATGACCTGACAGGGCCCATCTCACGGGATATATTCCCAGATGGACTGAAAACCACCGGTCAACATCCACCACTATACGACCACATCATCCCCTTCGAAAAGTTCCCTAAACAAATCACCGGCCCAACAGTCTGGAAGGCCGAGGAATACCGCGAGAACCCAGAAAAATGGACGCATGTCTTCACCCAGGATCAGATCGATGAGCTGAGCTCGGCATCGGATGCTTTCCTTGCATCCAAGACCCCGTTGACCGGAATCTCAAAGGTGAGAACAATACAAGTCATACTTAGAAAACTATAAAACCGAAACTAACTATACCTTGAATAGACCAACTTCAAACTCCCCAATCTAGCCGCCTATCTGCACGAGCTGCGCGCAGACCTCATCGACGGCAAGGGCTTCATCCTCTTCAAGGGCTTCCCCGTCGAGAAATGGGGTAACCACAAGTCCGCCGTGGCATACATGGGTCTCGGCACATATCTCGGCTACTTCGTCAGTCAGAACAGCCGTGGCCATGTCCTCGGCCACGTCAAGGATCTCGGCGAGGACTCGACCCAGATTGACAAAGTGCGCATCTACCGCACCAATGCTCGGTGAGTTTGACAGTCTCAGTCACCAGTGAATGTGTAAGCAACAAAGAACGAACAAGTAACAACACCCCACCCAGCCAATACTTCCACGCCGACGACTCAGATATCGTCGGCCTCCTCTGCATCGCCAAGGCCCTTGAAGGCGGCGAATCAGATCTCGTCTCCTCCCACCACGTCTACAACACCCTCGCCACAGAACGCCCAGATGTCCTCAAGACCCTCACCGAACCAATCTGGTACTTCGACCGCAAGGGCGAGACAAGCAAGGGACAGGACGAATACATCCGCACCAGCGTAATGTACCTCGAGCGCGGCGGGAAGGGCCGTGTGTATACAAAGTAAGTCTCCTCGCATGCCCCGGGGCCTCCGTCTCCGCTCCAATAAGTCCAATGTCTAACAACAATACCAGATGGGACCCATACTACGTCCGCTCCCTCGGCCGCTTCAGCGACGCGGGAATTATCCCCCCCGCTGTCAGACGCACAGCAAGAAGCCCTGCGCGTGCTGGAAGAAACCTGCGTGCGCTTGTCGCTACACATGATCCTCGATATCGGTGATATCCAGTTCTTGTCGAATGCGCACGTCCTGCATGCCCGCACCGCATACACGGATCATGCGCCTCCTGCGCCCCGTCGCCACCTTATGCGTCTTTGGCTGGCGACACCCGAGAATGAGGGTGGCTGGAAGTTGCCGTTCTGGGATAGTAATGAGAAGAAGAGGGGTGGGATTCAGGTTGATGATCAGGCTCCTGTTGCGCTTTTGGATGCCGAGTGAGGTTTTGTTGGGTTGGTTAGGGATTTGCAGATTTGAATGATACCTCTTTTTCTTCTTTTTCATTCTCCTGATAGGGTTGTTGTATGCTTATGGGACGAGGGAGAAGAATATGAAGAAGGGAGTATGTAAAAAGGTCAGATAGACGATAAATGAGAAGATGAAGACCCTCCAGGGCTGGCTTGTAAGGATTTACCTAATTGCGCCAACTATCATTCATAAATCATATTCCTTAAAGGGTATTTTGTACATCTGTTCCAGCAACGCCAAAAGAAAAAAAAACTCATACTCGACAGACGCCCCGTAGCTGATGCTAATGCACGATCTTGTAATTACCCCCGTTAACAATCTCCAACTTGCCCTTCGAGACCATACCACCTAAGAACTCGCGCAGCTCTTCGTTGCTGAACGGGAACCCGCCGGGAACGGCTATCTTCAGCATCATGACAATACGATTCAGAGCCATAGGTCCTTGGTTCGTGAGCATTCCCACAATGAACTGCCAATACACATGCATTTTCTCCATGGCAGCCGCCTCAGCGGATTCCTTTGCTGCGGCGGCTGCGGCGGCTTCGGCTGCTGCCGCTGCGTTGGCAGTATCGCCTGCTTCGCTATCCGAGGCGTCACTGAAGTCGCCAGCTGCGTGGGCATGGTGTTCCTCGTCTTCTGTGGGTAGGATTTCCAACACGCGGAAGGTGTCGCGTTGTACCTCGGTGAGAATACGCTTGCTGACCCAGAAGAGACAGGCACTGCGTACAAGGGCAGGAGTCATTTCCAGCTCGTCGGCGAGTCCCGGAATTGTCTTCGTGGCGGGTTCGCCCGAGTCGGACTGGAAGGCATAGATTACGGTTGCTTGCCAGGTCGTCACTTCGTCTTTGAAGGTGTGGTTCTGCAACTCCAGCTCGACGGTGACCTGGCCCAAAGCATTGCGCCACATGAGCTTGCGCGAATCCTTGCGCCTTTCGAAACAGGTCGCGTACCGCTCTTGCAGTTTGGTGATTTCATCGGGGACCTTGAATTCTTGTTCTTGGAATTCCGGCCAGAAGAAGCGTGATAGAACCTTGGCGTGGAGCTTTCCGACGCCTGCTTGCTTCCGATATCCGGACAACATCTGATCGTTCCTCACGGTGAGGTCAAGACGTCGTGAGTCGGAGATATCTTTCAGCATCACCTCGCATGCCTGTAATGCCGAGTCACCGAACCGAACCTTCAGGAGCTCTAGTACTGTAATCTCTTGGTCGTAGTTCTGGCGTTTCTGGATGAGGCGGTCTGCGAGAAGAGTCTGCATTTCCTTCACGAAGGTCTCCTTCGAGTCGAATAAGCTAACCAGACTGTCAATGACATCTGCGCTCTTCGATTTTTTGTAGTCGGGAGCGGCATCAACTGGATCGGGCACCCAGTACATGTCATCATAATCTAACTCGCTCCTATTATTTTGCATGGAATGATGGTGGACCTTAGTCAGCTCCGCTGCCAGCTCTGCCAAGGTGTCGCCGGTAGCTGTCGGCCCCTCGGCTGTCGCAGGGTCCGCCAATAGACCACTAACAATCACCTTCACAGTGTCCTCGCGGTCTCTCAAGTATCGCCGGATTGGTCGAGCGATGCGATCCAGCAGTACACCCTTCGGGTCCAAGATATGGAATGCTCGAATAATCGAGATGTAAACCTGCAAGATCTCGACTGTAGAGGCACCGGGATGCAACAGCCGCTGGAGCAAGTTGAGAGAAAAGAGATTCGTCACATACAATCGCGCTCCAGACGAGTTGTTTGTGAAACGTCGCAGATCCTCCACCGCCCCGCTGCTTGCAGGCCAATCAACAATCACATCAAAGAGTTCGCTGACTCGAAGCTTTCCCAGCCGGGCAATGCCCATCACTTGCCACTTTTCCACGTCGCGAAGGCTCACTTCCATCGCCCCGGACTGGGTCCCAGCGGGGTCGGAATGGAGGATGGCTAGAACATGCACAACGAGCCGCGCGTAGACGTTTTCAATCCATTGTTCCAGGTGCTGCGGCACGGTTGAGGGCGACTCCCATTCGCCGGCGTATGCGGCACGAATGAAGTCTCCCATCATGATGTTCATCACATTTGCGAACACTTTTTGGGCCTGGTCACCGCCAAGTCCGACAAGCTGCAGTCCGTTGAGAAACGCCAAAAGTCGATCCCGTGCAATAGTCACGCGGCCATCTTCACTATCAACCATCATGTGTGCCCGGGCTTCGGGTGATTCTTGCTTCCAGTCTTTGTACGAGACTGAGTATGCCCGTTCCATTTCCGTTCCATCCAGACTCATTCTGTCCGCATCGGAATCTTCGTCCAGGGTATCAATGCCTAAAATAACCACAGCATCCTGCGTGAGCTCTCTGGCAAGAAGCGGTGAAATCTTCTTCCATGGTAAACTGTATTGAACCACCGTATGAAAGGCACGCTGTAGCTGAGCCAAGAACCCTCCTTGATGGGGAGTAGTTATCAAAGGAAGCAAATAGTGCACGACGGGAGCGAGATAAATTCGACGCGCAAGCTGTAAGCAGTCCACGATTGTCCGGAGCAGGCCTTCTTCCCCGGGGACTTTAACAACTATGAGACCGTTAGCACGGACAGACCAACCAAATTCAAACAACGCACAGCGTCCATACCTTGGATAGCCCAGTCCGAAAATTGACTAGAAAATGCCTCCGAATATCATTCCCATACCATTCAAACAACGTCCACGGAGAAGTTCGTATAAGATACTCTAGCGCCTCGGCCGTCTCCTTCGACGGAGGGCTGAGCCGGTTCCATTCTTTCAGCACTTGACTTCCATCGGTATTTCGGAAGTTGTAAAGCAACTCGAAGCCCAGGTTGGGCACGGATAGGAACTCTTTGGCCGCCTGCCGCGCCTGGTTTAACGTGTCTTCCTCTGGGGATGCAGCGTCCGTCGATCCCCCAATCGTCGCGAATGAGGTTGATTGTGAGTCTGCTTTGAAGGTTGATGATGAGTCGGATGATTGGAATGATGCGATTGGTGTCTGCTCGCGTTGGAAATCCGAGATCGACTTCGGCCGGTGAGCTTCGAGCGACGCGGGGGAGAAAACGGAGCCGCAGACGCGCCTACGTCCCACATTGAGGGGTACGGTTGAAAGCATTTTGATCAAGGGACATCGGGCATTGTGAGATGCAGCTGGTGATTTTAGTTGCTGCACGAAGCTTCGTGTTCGATGTTTCTGTTATGCTGCCAATGTTTGGATTGAAGGTCACGTGGATGTTTTGCTAAAGCTTCAGCTCCACCGGTTTTACTTCGTTTTGTGGTGAGGTGGATGGGGTGGATGGTACGGTGGATTGTTTGGAATGTTATTGCTCAATGAATATATTCGAGGAGGATATTAAGTTCCTGCCAAAATCAAAACCAAGCGCGAGCTGTAAATTTCGCCATCTACATAGTATGTGGGTATCGCTCCAAAACAAGAGGGCATTGCGTATGTACGAATCCAAGTCCAGAAAGATAAAAAAGAAAGGGGGGGCAAAGTCCAGATCCCAGCTAAGGCACACGAAAGGTCGACACAGAATTTGGTATCACCATAAACGCGTCCTACGTATTCGTTGAGAGGCCCGGGACCTGGTGAGCATGCAGTGTGCAACCATATTCCACCGAGATGAGTGTGTAGATATTTCGAAGGTGCCTTGTGTATCCTTCAGATGCGTATTCTTGAGTGCCAAGTATCCCTCAAGACTTGGTGTCATCAACCTTCTCCCACTCGCTATCAGTGCTCCCATACCCAGACCCCTCACCACCAGTGCTGGGTCGCTTCTTAGAATCGCGCGCCGTGGGCAGCAACCCGGATGGTGCACTCCCGGTCGCGACAGCAGCAGACTTATCATCTGACTTCTTGGCCACGATAGCTTCGGTCTCCGTTTCGCTGTCGGCGCTTTCTCCTACAGCGGGACTCTTCCGCGTCTTCGTGTCACCGGACTCTTGTTTTTCTTTCTCAGTCTCCTGCGCCTGCTGGGCAAGTCGCACCTCGGCGGCAAACCAGTTGATGGCCCACCATAGTCCACCGCTGATGATAGATAGGGCGACGAAGTGGAGGCTGTAGGTAGCTAGGAGGAGAGCGAAGAAGATAATCTGGAGTGCAGCGAAGGTGACGTTGGTCGCGATCAAGAGGGTCGGGGTGGGTCCTGGAGTAAAGATGCTGGACCACAGGTCTTCCATGAAGGAAGCCATGATTTTTTCAAAATGAAGTTGGGAAATCCGAAGGTTGCAGAGAGAGGGGGCCGGGAACTGAAATCCGTGTGGGGGGGGAAAATGGTTACCGGAAGAGACACCGCTCAGAGAAAGATGGAGGGAAGATGGACAATGAATTCCGATATTCAAAAAGAAGTAGATTTTGGATTCTTCCCCGTGGGGTATCTGGTCTGAATATTAACAATGTACGGAGCACAACATAAAAAATATAAAACATTCTCCAGGGCTATTCCTGTTAATACTAATTCCAGTCAGATGAAGGGGTATGTCTCTATACACCATCACGGGAGAGATCGGCTAGTCACTTGACTTTCCGAATGCATGGCCGGCCCGAGACTTCGATGTATATACCTAACCTAGGTAGACACCTCCAAGGCTTCCAAGGTTTCCAAGGTTTACTTGGCAGGTCTCGTCATGACGATTATCCCGCGTGATGATTTGAAGTAATCATTGTTCACAGCTCAGGTGATAGTGATCAAAGGCCTATATTTGGACTACATATGTAGCTACATCTCTAGGCACAGGTATATAAAGGACGACGTAAGCTTATCTCAATATCGAATAGAGCGGTAGTGACTTGTCTAGGGCTCAAAGCAATACCAGATGGATCTATATGCCGCACCAATGTTGTAGGGACCTATCTTCCATGACCTATGCCTAGTTCGTATACAAGATGCCCGGTCTGGCCAGACAACAAAGACACAAGAAAGTTGGGCCTTATCTCTCAAAGGCCGAGTATAGACCCAAAGGGCAGTTGTAACGCCCCCTGAACAATGCCGATAGCCGCCGCCAATTGACGACGTGCTATTATGTCTCTTCTCCGTGTTTTCCCCACAATCGCAATAGCGCCGATCTTCCCCAAACCCGCCGAGCCGTCTACTAGTACTCCGTCATCTACCCCGACTCTCATCCCAAGCCTTTGCCTCATTGGCTTTCCGGACCGGGGGACCCCCTCCCGACTTCCTAGAGGTCCCGATTCACGGAGGGAACAAACCTCGTATACTACCCCAGCTGGGTAGCTAGGGAAAATGGGTATAAATATCCCGGAGTGCCTCCGAGGTAGAGTTTATCAGAGCGTTTTCCCGCTTCAATCGAGAAACATAATCCTCAAGTTTCTTTAACTTGCATCCAAATCTCCATTCACTATGGCTGATGATATCCCCGCTACGAAAGAACTATCCCATGAGCCAGTGGAAGGCTTCGCTCACCATGCCGACATTGCCGCAGACCGCGAGCCCTATGGCCCACCCGGTCTGCGCGGTCTCGCAGCCAACCCATTCGTGGTCTTGTGTGCCGCCTGCTCAACGCTAGGTGGTTTGCTTTTTGGTTATGACCAAGGTGTTGTGTCGGTGATTCTGATCATGAACCAGTTCTTGGCGGAATTCCCGCGGATAGATGAGAGTAACCCGGGCTCAGGATTTGCGAAGGGATTACTGACGGCGATGATTGAGCTGGGTGCTTTGATTGGTGCTATTAACCAGGGCTGGATTGCGGATAAGATCTCGCGACGGTATTCGATTCTCGTTGCTGTTGCTATCTTCACCGTTGGCTCTGTGCTTCAAACTGCTGCCTACGGTTATCCTATGTTGACGGTAGCCCGGCTGATTGGTGGTGTTGGAATCGGAATGTTGTCGATGGTTGCACCATTGTACATCTCCGAAATCAGTATGTCTCCCTACTCGGAGGGTTCCTTTCCTTCCTCACACATGTGATGTAAATGCTTATTCCAATCCCCTCCTATTAGGTCCCCCCCGAATGCCGTGGAACCCTCTTGGTTATGGAAGAATGGTGTATCGTCCTCGGCATTGTGATTGCCTTTTGGATTACCTATGGCACGCAATACATGGCCGGTGAATGGGCCTGGCGCCTCCCTTTCCTGCTCCAATTGATCCCGGGTTTTGTTCTCGCTGCTGGTGTATACGCTCTTCCGTTCTCGCCCCGTTGGCTGGCTTCAAAAGGTCGCGACGAGGAAGCTCTTGACAGTCTTTGCAGACTCCGTTCTCTGCCAGCCTCCGACAGGCGCATTCGCCAGGAGCTTATGGACATCCAGGCCGAAGTGCGCTTCCACCAGCAAATGAACAGGGAAAATCATCCAGATTTGCAAGGTGGTGGTACAAAGAATTCCATTCTGCAGGAGCTTTCATCGTGGGCCGATTGCTTCAAGAAGGGCTGCTGGCGTCGCACTCACATCGGTATTGGCCTAGGATTCTTCCAACAGGTAAGTTCTTTATATGTGGAGATAAGAGATAATCGACACATGCTAATTATATGAATAGTTCATCGGTATCAATGCTCTTATTTACTATTCTCCAACCCTCTTTAAGACGATGGGTCTCGACAGGAGCATGCAACTTATCATGTCCGGCGTTCTCAACGTTGTGCAGTTGGTGGGTGTCACTACGAGTATCTGGACCATGGATGTTGTCGGTCGTCGCAAGTTGCTTCTAAGTGGTGCAGCCCTTATGGCCATATCCCACACTATTATTGCTGCTTTGGTCGGGATTTACTCGGACGATTGGCCGTCCCACAAAGCAGAAGGGTGGACCAGTGTGGCCTTTCTACTATTCTACATGCTTGCCTTTGGAGCTTCCTGGGGTCCTATCCCGTGGGCTATGCCTTCTGGTACGTTACCTACTCCTTTTATCGTGTTAATCTGGCATCGATCTAACATATCCAGAAATTTTCCCTTCTTCCCTTCGTGCCAAGGGTGTTGCTCTTTCAACTTGCTCCAACTGGCTCAACAACTTCATCATTGTAAGTTTCTCGTTGCCATTATTTGGTCCCTCGATATTCCAGGGTACTAATAATTTCTGCAGGGTCTCATCACCCCGCCTCTCGTCCAAGACACTGGCTACGGTGCTTACGTCTTCTTCGCTGTCTTTTGCCTACTCGCCGGAATATGGACTTTCTTCTTTGTGCCAGAAACCAAGGGCCGGACCCTCGAGCAGATGGACCACGTGTTCAAAGACAATTCTAGCGAAGAAGAAAAGGCTAAGAGACGTGTGATTGAGGCCGAACTTATTCGTGCCCAGTATGAGAATGACCATCGGGAGTTTGCATGAGCCAATCTGCGTCACCATAAATATATAAATCGAACACTAGGGCGGGCTCTCGGATGCGCATTCTTCTATCTTAGCATAAATCAGGAAATCTTACGACATTATGACTTTCATGACTGAAAAGCAAATAATTAACCCTTGCCTAGCGTGGCTGAGTTAAACTTTGTCGTCAGAACCATAAATGGTAGCATATAGTATGTCCAAGTTGATTGTTTACTCATTCCAGTGTAATCCATCCATGGATGAGTTTGACAGGCCAACTTGACGGTAGCGAGTCAGGAGGTCCTTCTGCTACCACTTCCAGAAGACACGGTCAGCATTGGTGCGGTGCCGATACAAAAGAGAAGAATCCAAGTGTGTTAGCATACACCGTGATAATCCATAATAATCACGCTACCACTGTGACCCACCTGGGCACTTAGAGTAACTAAGCACAACCTTAACTCAAAAAACGTGTTATTCCAAGGTTCAAAACAAATAACCTTAGTGCTAAGCTAAACAGCCATGGTATCTCCCGTCCTAAACGCTCTCTCCTCAAACGCCGCAAATGGTTCAGACGACTCCTGATATAGAATGCAAGCCAAGATAAAATCACAAAACACCATGACGCGCCTTGAAAATTGATACCTTTTCGTCATAAAACAGAATCTCTTGTAGCCGGTACCGAACCCGCGAAGCACCCTGTTCTTCATCAGGTTCGGTATCATAGTCCGGGTCACTGGAAAGGAGGTCTGTATCAGCCGCCCCCGAGGCATCATCGGAAGCATCGCTGTCTTCTTCAGATTCGTGGTCGGGGTTGGCCCACCCTTCATCATCATCTTCGCTGTGCGTCGGGAATGACCAATCGCGGGGTTGTCGTCGAAATCTAGTGGGTTATCGTCATGTCTTGCTTCAAGAATTTGGTAGCATTTGATATGGAGACCAATGTAGGCGATCTTCAGATCTGGACGTATGCTAACGATGTCCAAAACTTGCAGCGCAAGCTCTTTCAAGTCGCGGTGAACGGTATGGTGAATGTGTGGTAGATACAAAGCACGAAGCTGAGACATATTCGGCAATCTCTGCAGGAAGAAATGCTGCGGAGTATCGTTAGCGTAACTGGTCTGGTCGGAATATTCAATGCTGGTGATTGCTCTCTTACCCAATCGCGATAATGCATCGCCATTCCCAGCTCTTTTAATTGCGGCATCTTTCCACTTGTGACGAATGATACCATGTCGTGGTTGAACATCCACTTGTGCCATCGCGTGCCTGAATATCCGTCTCCAATTATACGGTCAGTGGCATCAATCAGCACCTTTCGCAGACTCTGCCTGTGCTTTCGCAGAATGTGCTTGTAAATAGCGTCGATATGCACGGCAGATTCATGACCTGGTGCTTCATGCAAATAAACACTCTCGAGGGTATTCGGGGCCAGCGCATCCTTGATAAACAATATAAGATAAGGTGAAACAGTGTCCGTGCGAATATGTTTCAAATTTAGAGAGTACTCAACTGAGCTGGCGCTTGCTCGACGTTCTGCATCCTGTGGACGTTTTGCCGGCATTGCAGGAGGAGCATACTTCCGACGCAAAGCCCTCCAAAGCTTTTCATGATCCTCGCATCGCATGATAGTGAGAGTAGTCAATCCCGTCCAGTCAACAGCCGGCAGCAGTGTTGGCACAGAAAGAGGTACACGTTCCAGCTCTAGTACTTTGAGGTAGAGTATCTCGTACTCAAGTTTATAAGAAGGTGGCTGTGGGCGGGTACTCCGGTTGGGCACACCAGAGTTTGGTGGGGACTTTTTGTCATTGGTAGTGCTGGGAGGCTGCTGCTCGCCATTTGGATTCAATGGAGCTGCGCTTTCGGTAGAGTTTAGTGACTTGTTTATCGAACCCTCGGATGGCATCGAGCTATCTTCAAGGGAGGTGATTATAGCATTGTCCTGGTTTTTGTCAAGGTGCCGCCGTGTCAATATACCAAGTACACCATCGGCTCTAGGCCAACCCGTTGAGCCAGTAGAGTCCTTCCCGCACTGCAGCCACGCACTCATATGGGCCTTTTCAGCGATACCAATTCGGAGTTCGGACAGACGGTGACGTGACCGCTCAATGAGAAGAGCCAGCTCCTCCACATAAGCGGGTTCATCTATGTCAAGAACGGCCACGCTCTTGAGCGGAGGCAGTACAGACAAGGAAGGATGTTCCACATGTTTGTATTTTTGGAAAAGTCTCGTTGCCGCCGCCGACGAACTGCGTAAGGCATTCTCTGAATTGTCATGCCAGCGCACCCAAATACGTTCCAGGCGACAATCGTGTCCTGGCCGATCTGCCAACGACGCAAGCGCCAGCCATATTTCACGGACCACCCCAGTCGGCATGTCCCAAACAAAGGCCTCAAGATTCACCATCCGCGCAACTGCCAAGGCAACCAGCGTCCCTAGCATTTTGCCCACTTCTTTGGTCACCGAGTATTCTTGTACCCAGCTAAGAGGGCCGTTTCCGATGGAGAACGTGCGGGTATACTGTGCATAATGATTGCCTCGTCGCGATCGGAAGCGATCTCTGTTATTGCCAGGGTCCGAGTCCGGCTGATGATGGAGGTTATCGCAACCACAGTTCACACAGCTACTTTTGACTTGGCCAGATTGAGACAGCGGCAGACGATTGAATACATCCTCTCCCATTACCAATGTGGACAACCCGTAAGACAGAGCATCCACCCCGAGTAGTCATCCGTTGACGGGTTCAGCGACTCGGGCCAGACGATGTCGAAACGGGAGTACATGTGCGGAATAGCTAGAGAATGAAGAGCAGAGCATGTAAGAGCGAGCGATGTTAGGTCAGTCGTATGGGTCACCTATTGTAGACCAGAACTGTAAGCTATGTATTCACGATCTCGGGGAAGACCTGTGTTACCTCTTTGATGATCTCTTTCAGAATATCCAACGGCAAGTCCAGCAGCTGCAGAGGGGTTTTCGCCATTTCCGGTTCTGGAGGGGTGTGATTTGGACCTTCTGTGCGGGGAGTTGTTGGAGTCGCGTCCTGTTCGGAGGATTGATTCAAGCCCTCTTGCTCTAAGCGCAACTTCCCCAAAGCCAGTGTCAGATTCTGCTTGGCGACACCTTCAAGCTCCCTTGAAGCAGTGCTTGGGCTGGAAACAAAATCCTCTTCATCCGACGACAAGGCGAGATCGGCGTTAGGCTTATCAGCCCAATCCAAGCTGGCGCCCGCCATTAGACAAGTGGGGAATACCTGTAAGGTCACGGGGGGTAATAAGGCACTATGGGTTGGCGAAGAACATCTCCAGCTGAAAGCTGAAGAGAAGCACACCCTGGCAGCTGCTTTGTTCAGATATGATTTGTTTTGCACAAAGACCGCCAAAGGTGATAATAAAGGGAATCTGGGGTAGCCAGCCTTGGAGCTCCCGGGTGATCGTCTAGCGCATTATGTAAGCAACTGTCTGCCTGCAGGTGAGGTCATCTTCCAAGGTTGGCACCAAGCTAGATGATCAGAGGAGATACTTGTAATAACTACAAATTCTAACGAAGTAACAAAAAGGAACATATTTGTATTCTGTTTTCTAACTTTTAGGCAAAAATTATAGAATTACATCAAACAATTTTTGTTTTTTTCCCCCAAACTCAACAGTATCATTGTCAGTCTATACTTAGCTGCCACCTCCAATTCTTCCCAGATTAATTGCAGCGCTGACACAAGCCAGATGGCTGAAAGCCTGTGGGGAGTTGCCCATCTGCTCACCAGAAATGGCCACTTCTTCAGAGAACATGCCCAAGTGATTCGCGTAGGACAGGATGTTATCAAAGTGCGAAAGTGCGAGTTTCCAGATGTTTGGAATGGGCACGTCATATTTGGCAGCCTGTATTTCCAATTTCAGCCCTAAGTCAGCATAGTTCAATGTATTCTTCTAGTTGGCAGTTCCAGAAAACTTACACGAGCCATGGCTTCAACAAGCCAGAAGGTTACCATGATGAAGGCACCCTCACCCCCTGCCATACCTGTGCAACGCGAGTATCAGTATTTGTTTATCCTAATAAACGATAGAAACCTACCGTCGTTGGCTTTCTCATGGTCATATCGGAACACCATCTTGGCGCTGGACAGACCCTCATGCTCGGGGCTTTGCAGAATCCTCCTGAGGGTGCTGATGAATCGCGGATCATTTGGCGCAACGAAAAACACCAAGGGCGCAATCAATATGGATGCATCCAGGACCTCTGGACTCTCATAACTCTGGCAGAAATGGCCGCGCTCTTCGTTGTACCCCTTGGTCATTATTTCGTCGTACATATCGTCCCGGACCTTGATCCATTCAAAACGATCCGGGCATGGCAGGCTAGAACGCTTCTCCGCAAGGCGAATTCCGCGATCCAGGGCCACCCACATCATGATCTTCGAATAGATGAAGTTTTGGACCTGGCCACGCGATTCCCAAATGGACATATCCTTGTGGTTTCGAACACCGAGGACGTAGTTGATCATACGCCGGATAGAGTTCCACTGGTCATAGGTGATGGGGTTTCCGTGCTTGTTGTACAGGTAGATACTGTCCAACAATTCGCCGTATATGTCCAGCTGCGTGTGGAAGACGGCAGCATTGCCGACGCGAACAGGCTTGCTGCCTTTGTACCCATCGAGGTGGTCCAGTTCCACCTCCGGAATGTCGTACTCTCCCCGGATGGTGAACATCAGCGGCAAGAAAGGTTTCTTGCTATTGGGATCAAGGTCCTGGGAAGCATGTGGGAAGATCCGCTCGAAGATGAAATTGACATACGATTCCGCTTCTTGGCTGTAGCCCATCTTGAGAAAGACATACAACGTGAAGGCTGTGTCACGCACCCAGGAGTACCGATAATCCCAGTTTCTGGCGCCTCCTACATTTTCGGGGAGCGAGAACGTGGGCGCCGCGATAATTGCACCCGTGGGCTTGTAGGTCAACAGCTTCAGAATGAGGAGACTGCGCTCGACGGTCTCGCGGTAATGACCACGGAATTGACACTTGCGTGTCCAGTCAGTCCAATAGTCAGAGGTTTCCTCCTCCATTTTCGTGAGGTAGGCTCCCATGGTGGCCGAGCTGGGGACAGACTTCTCGGGACTGTGCAAGACCAGATGGATGGTCTGCCCCTCCGACAAACGGATCCAGGCCACAAATCCGCGGCCACGGAGGCCATCTCGTTCCTCCAGTTTCAAAGACGCCGAGGGGAAACCAAGCTTATCTGGCTCTCGTGAATCGGCAAAGATCTCGAGTTGCAGCCGCTCTGTCTCACTCTCGAAGTGGACGGTCTGCAGCCGGTGCTTGGACATGTCATTGTCCAGCTTGGCACGGGTGTTGTGCGGGTCCCGAGCATAATTAAAAGCCGGGAACATCTGCACTTGCAGTTCCATTGAGCCACGGCTACACTCCAGCTTTCTGATCAGGCCCGAGTGCTGCAGACCCGACTTGAAGCGGTTGGTCCCCGGTTCGTTGCAAGGACAGTATCCTGACAACAACCGGGACTGCTGCACACCCTTTTTAGGTGTGACGGGAAAGTAGTCCAGCAATGTCGCGACGCCATCCTCGTTGGTCCACCTAGTTTCGAGCAGGTTCGAGTATGGAAGATACCGCTGCTTGCTGTGGGCATCGACCACCGTCTTGTAGGGCTTCACGGAGAAGAACCCTCCTTTCTTGTCGTCCAACAGGCGACAGAAAACGGTAGGAGAGTCAAAGACTGGCCAGCACATGTAATCCAAGCTACCAGCCTTGCTAATCAGGGCACAGGTGTGCATGTCCCCGACCAGGCCGTAGTCCTCAATGGCATTGTACTGAAGTTCAGTCATGATGACAATGCGAGAGAACTATCTCAAGTGATCCGATACAAGTTCAGAATGCCGGTGAAGCTTTTGATGAAGACCGAATGCTCTTTTGCAGCATCAACCTAAAGAAGATGGGAAGAGAAGAAGATGAAGAAAGAAAACCCCCAATGTCACTTATTATCCGCACCCTCCGACATATATTATTCCCGGAACTGGTGGGAGACACCACGACATGATGATGATAATGGTTGGATCTGAGGTCATGGCTATGCCTGGTTTAGGGCTTCTTCTCCTTCATGGGAGATAAACCTTGAGCTCGACCAGAACATATTGTCGGTTCTCAAACGGAGTCATATTTGAGGGCTAGTGAAACCTGGCCTTGTCAATCTTGTCAACAACAAGCCATGCCAATCCCACTAGCTAAATGGAATGATCAAGGGAGGTTGAGCTTCCATATACAGCTTGAAGCTGCCGGAGGTTTCAGTCCACCAATGAGAATTGCCGGGGAAGATATTCCTCAGACATCACCAACTCGAACCAATCTCGGGAAATATTCGAAATATTGGAATATCGGAAATATCAAGATATCGAAATACCGAAATGATCTTTTTTCCCCCCTTGAACCCGGATCGACCGGACTGTGACAAGATATTAAGATGGTGTCTAACCGAGAGAGGTGAAGGAGAGAAGGAAAAATGAGAGACATCCTCCAATTTCAATTTCAATTTCAATTTCAATTTCAATTCCCCCATTGCCATTCTTTAAACTCATCTCTTTCTTTATTATGTTCTCTCGTTTTCATTCCTTTTGATTTCTTTTTTTTTTTCTGTTTTGAGCTTTCGCTTTGGATTTTCCCCAACTTCTTCAGCCTTGAGATCCCTCGTTGATTCTTTGTCAGCATTATTCCCCTTGGAAACTCCCGAGGCTTTTTGCCCTCGTGCACTGTGTGACAATCTTATTCCATCCACGTTAATGGAGATAACATCTCAGTTTCGCTCTTTTACTTAATACCTCGTAACTGTCCCAGTTATCAGAATGGGGCCCTCCGCCGGCGCCCACCATCGTCGGCGAAGCTCCATGCTTACCGGGACAGGGCGAGCCTCACAACCAATTTCCACAGAGCGCAATGACACGCTCTGGTCGCATGGAGATGGAGGAAATAACAAGCGCGAAGAACAGGAACCTCTGACCGCCGCAGAAGACACCGATGTGTCCGATATCTTATCCGCTGCGGAGACTCTGGAGCTGGACCCGATGAGTTCGGATGATGACCAATATGACGAGGAAACCGGACTCACAACACATCAAAAACGTCAGCGACGTCGACGGCGAAAGCAGCGCCGCAAGTTGGACGCTCGAATCGCAGATGTCAAGAGCCACGGTTCTATTCGCGAGATTCTGTCAGACAGAAACATTGTCAAGAGGCTGCTCATCAACGGTGGGCTGATCTTGCTGTGGTATCTCTTCTCACTATCCATTTCAATAGTGAGTGCTTATTTGCAGGAATTCTTGGAAGTCGAGAAGGAACTAACAATTGGCGTGTTCGTAGTACAACAAATGGATGTTCTCCGAGAGCGATGTCGTCTTTCCTTTCCCTCTTTTCACAACGAGCTTACACATGGCTGTCCAATTCTCTCTCTCCGTTATTATACTCTGGATATTTCCATCGCTCCGTCCGCGACAACCGACAAGGTCTGCGGCCACATCTCCCCTCGATGGCCCTGAGGAACCACAACCCATCATGTCCAAATTATTCTACTTCACTCGCCTCGTTCCGTGTGGTGCAGCAACCTCGCTTGACGTTGGTCTCGGGAATATGTCCTTGAGGTTTATTTCTCTTACTTTCTTGACCATGTGCAAATCGTCTGCACTTGCCTTCGTCCTGTTATTCGCCTTCCTTTTCCGTCTCGAAAAGCCTTCCACCAAATTAATCATCATCATTGCCACAATGACAATAGGAGTCGTGATGATGGTCGCTGGAGAGACAGCTTTCAATGCGCTTGGCTTCGCACTTGTCATTGCGTCTGCATTCTTTTCGGGCTTCCGATGGGGACTGACACAAATTCTTTTGCTTCGCCACCCGGCTACTTCAAATCCATTCTCAACTCTCTTTCTCCTGACTCCTATCATGTTCCTTTCGCTCATCACTATCGCGCTATCTGTTGAGGGTCCTCATGAGATCTACCAAGGATACCTTGCGCTCGCCAGCAAACATGGGAACCTATTTGGCTCATTCCTTCTGATTTTCCCTGGAGTACTTGCGTTCTGTATGATTTCCTCTGAGTTTGCGCTTCTGAAGCGGTCCTCGGTTGTCACCCTTAGCATCTGCGGTATCTTCAAGGAAGTAGTCACAATCAGTGCCGCGGGCATTGTCTTCCATGATAAACTCACAACGGTCAATGTGACGGGTTTGGTCGTTACTATCAGCAGCATTGCAGCGTACAACTACATGAAGATTGCAGGAATGCGCAGCGAGATGCCGGAAGAGGATCCATCGAGTCGCGAGTCGAGTCCTACATCTGATACCGACGAAGCTGAGCATAGCAGTGGCGATCAGGGGGATTATCGCCGAGTTGCCCGTCAGGACTCCAGCATCATTAGCCCTGCGCCGGGTGGATACCTCAACGGTGATCCCCAATCGTCATCAGCCGGTGACCAACGCTCATTCCGAGTGCGCTCTAGTGGTGCCCGGCGCGGTCTCTCAATCTCGACTTCTATCATTCTAGAGGATGACGGCCCGTCTTCGCCCCTTAAATCAGCACCTGCGACTATCACTACAATGGCTGAGGCAGGGTTCCCTCACTTACATGTCCCTGATCGCGAAGCATCCCCGGGCGTACAATCCAGCTCGTCTGTTTCGCCCATTAGGAACCAAAATTTCACCCAGAATTAGCATCTCACTCATTCTTAACCACTCCTCTCTTATTTTCATTTACTATATTGCACATGCATGCCACGATTTTTATCCTATATTCTCTTCCATGTTGGAGGGTCTGTGACCTACTCGAAGAGAACCTAGTATGGCTCTTGGAATCGCATGTCCACTCTGACAGATATGAATCGAACTCTGGATGGACCAGAACACAATTTCTTATTTCTGCTTGCATGAAGGGGGTTGTCTGGATTTTGGCTTAACTGATACCATCAATTGAATTTCCCACTTCCAACGGCTACATATAAGGGTTACAGATTTGCTCCTTTGTATTTTGGGATCCTTCCGAGCGTTGTAATGATTTCGTTCTTCATTATTATTTAGTCCGAAGAATAACGTAGAAACAACACAGAACCCCAGCAAGTATTCTTGATCGCTTTGCTAAACCTCTGCTCTGAGCGTAAGAAAGAATACACACCTACTCCTTCGCGGCACCACCTTTCATCATGTCCATAAGGCTCTTCTGCCCCTTGGCCTTGCCTGCTTCCTTCGCTTTCTTTTTCTCATCCGCCTCGAGCTTACGGTCATACTGATCCTGATGTTTCTCGCGCTCCGCACGACCCTCCTCTGAAAGACGAGCCTCAAGAGCCCGGAACTCTGCTCCCTCAGGGTCCATACCAATCAGCGACTCAAGTAGTTTGATCTCAGCCGCCCACACACCCGGATCGGGAACAGCAGCTGCGCCCGCACCAGCAGGCCTCTTGGGTCCCTTCTTTGGCTGTTTCTTCTTCTCAGACTCGCTCTCATTGCCATCGGCTGCATCATCTCCGATAGCTACATTCTGCTCCGGAACACGGTCAATGGGTGTCTCAAGGACCATAGGTAGCCCTTCAAACCGTGGCTCATTCATGACATTGTGGAACGCGCGCAGGCCGAGGAACCCCGTGCCGATATTGGCGTGCAGATCGCGCTTGCTTCCGCGCGGTGCTTTTGAGTCATTGAGGTGCAGAGCTCGGAGAAATTGGATTCCGATTAGCTCGTCGAATTCGGCGAGGAAGGCTTTGAATCCGGCTGGTGATGTGAGATCATAGCCGGCTGCAAAACTGTGGCAGGTGTCAACGCAAATGCCGATGCGAGAGTGATGCTCTTTCGGGATTAGAGCTAGCAGGTCGCGGAATTCGGATAGTGTGCCGCCAATTGTGTTGCCGTGGCCGCACATTGTCTCCAGGACGGGAACTACGGTCGTCGTTTCAGTGATGGCCTGGACTAACATCTCTGCCAGGCGGGAAAGTGCTTCGGGTAGAGGAGTCTGATTGGTACTTCCGGGGCTTGGTGGTGTTAGCATGGGCTGATATGGTTGGTAGACGGTCGACTCACTGGAAGTTGTAAAGTGTAATTCCAAGTGCCTCGCATCGGCGTAGGTCTTCCAGGAAGGAAGTGTATGCTTGCTTGGATTTAGCTTTATCGTTTTGGGCCAAATTGACAAGGTAAGAGCCATGAGGGAGAACGTGTCTGGGTAGTAGATGTTAGTGATTGCATTCGAATCCACTCAAATGGGACATATTCACTTGGCTGCATCGTAACCCTTTTCTACGCAAAGTTTACGGAATTCATCGCGATGGTCGTCCTGGAGAGCTGGGTTGTCCCATTTGCGCTGTGACTTCAAGAACAAGGCGATTGCATTTCCTCTGATTGCAAGATTAGAACAAATTTAAAGTTTGGATGTAATGGGAAGACCCTCGAACTTACCCAATATGCTCGCTATTATGTATGGAATTGAAGACACCTGCTCGACAAGCATTGAGTTATTATCGAATCGAGTCGATGACATGTCGAGAACACTGACCTTTTGCAGCACTGACGTGAGCACCGACGAACATACGCAGACCTTTCGTCCGCAGTGCCAGAGGCATCCTCTCAACTTCTTGGTCTTTCTTAGACTTTCTCGCCTTTTTAGGTTTGACGACTTTGACGTCTTCGTTGGACTTCTTAACTGGAGCCTTCTTTTTCTTCTCCTTGGCAGTATCAACCAGACGTTGGTCGTCAACCTCTTCTTTCAAAGCAGGAGTAAATTCTTCGGGCTCCAACTTCGAGGCTTCTGGAGAAGAGAGTTCTTTCAAATTCGTAGTGGATTTCTGCCGTTTGGATCGTCTGGGTGGCGACAGTTCAGATGTTCCATTGCTGAGATTCCTTTTGTGGTTGACCTTGGATCCAGAGTCTTCGCACATGGGCGACTCAGATTCTTGGCAACACATAGCACTGAAAGTGTCTCAATGTACAAAGCCTCTCGAGCTGAGTGGGTACCCTGATCGAAGACCCGAAGAAGTTGATATTGCCAAGCCTCGCGGACCAGGATGGGACCCTACACACTCTGAAAGACTCACGATGACCGAAATATAGACTTCATTGAAGACTATGTTCATAAAACAGAATTGAGCTTGTAGAATAGTCTCAATTGAGTATTCTATCCTCCGATGCTGTCAGCAGGGTATAACGCATGGAAGTCCAGGAAGAAGTACGGGACCACGTGACTGTCTCCCGGGCAACAGTCATGTGATGTTTATCGATAACCAAAGATTCTCCTTGCAGCCCCGCCAGAGTTATTACTTGCCCAATTTGAACTTTTGGTCGAAGAGAATCTGGGATCTGTGCGATCTCAGCTCATTTGTCGTTGTCACTAACATGGCAGCCTCCGACGAATTGGTCGATTTCGATATCATCGAAGCACAAAAGGAAAACGTCCAATCACTGCCCGGTGGCCGATCAGCCAGAGAACTCGCCCGGATATTTTCAGCTGGTAGTAACGGCGACAAGATTCCCTCGCCATCGCCAAACGGCACCAGAACCATCAACGATGCTGTGCGCCAAGAATTCGAAAGTGAATTGCAGTCGATAGGAGAATCGGACGATCCGCTCGATGTTTATGACCGTTATGTCAAATGGACCCTGAACGCATATCCGTCCGCACAAGCGACCGCAGAATCCGGTCTTCTCCCCTTATTGGAGCGGGCAACGAAGTCATTCCTTTCATCCTCACACTACAGAAATGACCCTCGGTATCTACGATTATGGCTTCATTATGTTCGACTCTTCTCCGATGCCCCGCGCGAAGCTTTTGCATTCCTTGCACGTCATAAAATCGGTGAAAGTCTGGCTCTTTTCTATGAGGAATTTGCCGGGTGGCTAGAGGGTGCTGGTCGATGGTCACAGGCCGATGAGGTGTACAGGCTCGGTATCGACCGTGAGGCGCGACCCGTTGAAAGATTGGCCCGGAAGTACAGCGAGTTTCAATCCCGATACGACCAGCGTCCACAAGATACCGGGCCGTCGTCGCCTGCTTTGCCCACTGTCCGTCCCGCGCTGGCCGCCAAGATGAACCCGTTCGCGCCATCAGATGCCTCTGCTGACCCACAAGCTTCACGGCCCTCGCCTCAGACGGGCGGTGCCGCGAAAACCAAGTCTGGAAAGCCAAAGATGGCTATCTTTTCAGATGCTGACTCTGCTGCACCGGGTCCCGCAACTGGTGGATCGACAAAGGGATGGGAAAGCATTGGATCGATTCGGGACCGTAAGAAGGAGAACGAAGTGGAGGCGAAGCCATGGGCAGGAGAAACGTTGAAGGTTGCGAAGAAAGCAGCGCCAACACAAAAGATGGCTATCTTCAGGGACGAGGTGAGTTCTTATTCCAGGTTGCCCTTTTCCCTCTTCAGACCTCCACATATTTACGATCACAGGACTAATTGCTGGCTTGAACCTATGGTATTTTATTATGTATTCAGTCCAATCCAGATCTTCCTTCCAAAAAACCAATGCCACCCAAAGAAGTACCCGAACATCACGTAAGGGAAGCGATTAACCCGCGCACCGGCCGACGCGAACGTGTATTTGTCGACCTGGAATCTGTATATCCTGACCGCACTAACCCTGCACTTGAGATGAGTTTTGAAGAACTCAGGGCTATCAAGCGTGGTTGGATGGGCAAGAATTGGCGGCAACAAAAAGAGCCCTTGCAACAGATCTCCGGGAACGCAGGCAGTACCGAGTCCCTGCCAAGAAATTCCCATTCACCAGAGGAATCGCCGGAACATTTAGACCAAAATCTTGTCGCAGCTAATCATGTTCAATCCAAATATCAAGACGAGAGCCATGGAGGCAAAACTGGCAAAGCGAGTCGCACCAAGATCAAAGGGGAAACACAAACACAAACAGGTGAGTAGTATCAGTTTTTACTCTCTAGGCAGGTTGATCTGACACCTGTGCAGTCAAAATGAAGTTTGACTCCCCGTCCAATAATAAAAAGGTTCGGCGAAAGAGTACTCGGGAACCGACAATGACCATGCACACTCGTGCAGCGACGGATGAGATCTATAGCATTTTCAATCAGCCATTGAAGGCAGAGACTGAAGAAGAAGCAGATAGCTTCTGCGGTAGCGATTACGAAGATGACGACTGCGACGGAGATAGTACAGGCACAGGGCACATTTCAGCGGCCTCCAGCGACTTTGGAGACGAGGAGACTCAAACATTCCACAAATCTTACGATGATACCGACTATGCCAACACCACACGAGCTGAGAGCGTCGATGGCGATGGCAGCGATTGGACAGAGTTCAACCCAGATCGTGATATCCCGGATATTGAAAATGCGGAAGTCACCTTACAATCCGCCGTTAGTGATGGAGCGGAAGGTAGCTCCACACAAGGAACACCGGAGAGGAAAGGATTCGTACCGGAAATGCCAGAGGACTATGCTCCGCCATGGGGAACCTACCGTGACCCTGCGATCATGGCCCAGAACCGCCTTCCCTTCATGACACCTATCGTGGAGCGAACGGAATCCATTCCTTCTTTAACAACCGCTCGAAAGAGTATTTATAACACGAAAACGCCCTCGAAGCCTCGATCACCAGCCAGTAACTTTTTGCTTTCCAGTCCACTGGGGGCAAATACGCCATACGGAGATCATACTGTTGAGTCTGCAGCTGATGTACCATTCAGTCCCATGGCCTTCAAGGCCCTCGCGCCCAAGCTCCGGAGACGAGAACCGATAATTAGGGATGCGCAGTGCAATCCGACTGACAAGGGCATTCGCAACACGATTCTCAATTCCCTGGAAAAGCCACTTGCGACGTACACGGGTTATCACGGTCATGTTGAAGATAGCAACTATGCTTCGATGATCCAGAAATTCGTCAAGACTAACACCAGGCGTTCAAAGAGTGGCGGGGATGATGTATTTGACACACCTATACTCGAATTTCCAGGGCGGAACGAAGCTACATTATTAGACGTGAGCTAGGAGCCGGTGCATATGCCCCCGTCTATCTCGCCGAGAGTGTCGACAGTCTTGAATCTTATGACTCGGACTCCGATGATGGCAGAAGCCCTAACGGCAAGACTTCCCAATTGCGAAAGCCGAACGCTTATGAGACTCCCCGATTCCCCTTCGAAGCAGTCAAGGTCGAAAATGGACCATCAAGCGCGTGGGAGTTTTACATGATTCGCACAGCATATAGCCGCCTACGACAATCTACGGATCATTCTCGCGCCACCGACAGCATTGTTCGCGCACACGAATTGCATGTCCATCAACGTGAAAGTTTCCTAGTAGAGGACTATCGAGGACAAGGCACCATACTCGACCTCGTCAACATCGTCCGCAACGAAACCATCAATCCCAACCATGCTTCTGAAGGCGGCCTTGAGGAGGTCCTAGCAATGTTCTTCTCCGTCGAGCTATTCCGCACCGTCGAAGCACTCCACGCCAACGGCGTCCTGCACGGTGACATCAAAGCCGACAACTGCCTCGTCCGCCTAGACGACCACAATCCAAATGAGCCACCCTCCAAGGCCCTCTCCCTGCTCGACCTCGGTGCCGATGAAACCGCCTTCGATCCCCGCGAAAGCATCCACTACTCCCCAAGCGGCTCCTACGGCTGGCAACAAAAGGGCCTAGCCCTGATCGACTTCGGCCGCAGCATCGACATGCAAGCCTTCTCGCCAGGCGTGCAATTCATCGCCGACTGGGAAACTGGTACGCATGAGTGCAACGAGATCCGCGAGATGCGCCCCTGGACCCACCATATCGATCTGTACGGTATTGCCGGCGTGATTCATGTCCTGTTATTCGGCAAATACATCGAATCTACCGCCACCGACGGCAACAGCGGCAATCCATCATCCCGCACCTATCGCATCCGCGAATCTCTGAAACGATACTGGGACCGTGAACTCTGGGCTGGTATATTTGATCTCTTGCTGAACCCCGGCGCTGAGCGCTGGCAGCGCATCGAGCGCGAGAACGGAGTCGATGCGGGTTCGTCGTCCGCGCCTATTCTGCCCGTCTTGCATTCCATGCGGTATGTTCGTCACGGCATGGAGGAGTGGCTCCTCGCCAATGCCGAGAAGAAGGGTCTTGCTCTTCAGATTCGGAAGATTGAGGCTTTGCTTGCTGAGCGAAAGAAGAAACTGGAGAAGTGATTTCCTTTTCGTCTTGTTTTTGATCCGCTTGTTGTGTTGAATTGCTTATTGCACATATCTTTATAACTTATACCCCCCATCTTCTTCTCATGTTATGTTTGCTTGTTACTCTTGTTCTGATTTAATATTGTTTGTTTGTATGTTGGCCTGGTCTGTAGATAATATCCGATATTGACTCTTCATCGCATTAAGGCCAGCTATTCATGACTATCCAAGTATCTTGCGTTCTTCTTGCTCACTGCTAACTATGACGTCAAGTATAACAAACCGGGGGTAAAGGGACCAAAACTAGAGCTTACGTAGCTAGTGTGGATGGGACCTAAGGCTGATCAAGCCCGGTATAAAAGCGCAAGCTCCAAGCGAGGACGAGGAATATAGGGGGTCTATTGTTGCGAGTGATACCTGCAATGTACGCATTGAGAGACCCCGTGGCAAAAATGCAGTCCTTCAAGGATTAGGGGGATCTGCTCAAGAACTCAGGTACAAAGTCAGCAGACAATCGGTAACCTACAACCGAAAGAAGAGATGAAAATGGAAAAGATGGTAATTCAATTGGCGAATCAGTTCGATCAAACAAAGCCATTGCTGTAAAAGATCAACCCTCGCAGGAACAAGAATAAATCAGAAGATAGATAAAACGGCCAAACTCTCACAAGCTCCAGAGGAAGATCAGAAAGATCCAGCAAAAAAGCTCTGAAAAAAAAAAAAGACAGACATCCATACGCCATGAGACGCAGAAGAGGGCAAGAAAGAAGACCGAAGAAAAAGACACGCGATTATCCGGATGCAAACCCAATAAGGCTCGCCACAGGGGGGAATCATGGAGCGCGAGCTGAATCAAATCGAGAATCGAGGGCATGGGAAAATCGTGGATCACCAATCGAGAAGTGGAATTATCCGGGGAAATCAGCTTCAAGATTGAGATCATGAGATGCAAATTAAGAAGAAATGGGGATCGCTGGCAAAAGAAAACCAAACACCTCGCTTGCGTATCAGGGATGTCGTTGGTCAACTGCAATATTCATGCGCGTTCGTTTCGTTTCAGTTCGTCTATGTACTTGCATATGTATCGTTGCACATTCGCTTTTTGGGGGGTGCGTTGCCATCTCTGTTGACAAGGGCCAACATACAGGCAGGGAGTCGTTTCCATGTGTGACGGGTAATTCGAAAGGCGACCATTATCAAGTCGGGCCGCATCTCCAAGATGACATGGGAAAGGTATGTTGTACCATGTAGGAGATGCAGGGATAAACGACTAGACAAGATCTGAGAAAAGAAGATAAAAGGGAATATGTAAGGAGCGTGGGTCGCAAAAGATAGCGAATTGTTGCTGATTTCTGACAGCAGATATGGGTTTTCGGTTGTTTTCAACTTTTTTTGGGGTATATTTGGGTGATTGTGTTCGAGGTGAAAGCCCCGTCGAAAGAAAAGGAAATGAGGTTGTGAGTGAATGAATGATAAAACTGCATCGAGAAAAATCAATGCTGGTTTCACCGAGTAAAAGGTGCGAAACACAACAGACACACAAGGTGATTGTTGTTACGGCACAGACGAGGTCAATGTTCGTAGGCAGGTAACCAACAGCCAGATGCCGATGTACTGTGTGCGGATTTCGACCAAATGAAAAGCAGAAAGACCCATCACCTTTTTTGTCGTTTTTTTGTCGTTAGGGTTCAATGTGATTTTGAGGATTGAGCATGAGGGAAACGTTCAAACGTATCGTTACAGTCGTCGATGGTGGTGTTACTGTCATAAAAAAAAAAGGCTGGAAATGCAAGGGCCGTACCAGGGTCCTATCGGTATCTCGTTCAAGTCATAATGCAAAGGGGATAAAATCTCGCAAAGAAATCGAGGCCACGATGAAACGGATACTTGGAGATTCGACAGCAAAAGAAGGCTGCAACTTAGTTGCGTGTGAAGGGCATATTCAAGATTTGCCGGCGGATGCGCTCAGCATCAGAAAGGCCGTCCTCTGAGGCATTGTATGGCAAAGTACCTGGAGCTTTATCATGTACTCGATCCGGAGAAACTTGCATAGGAGAAGTGCTGTCATCAGGTCCAGCATATGAAGGGCCACCGCTCGAGAATGGATCAGACAGTGCAGGTGCTCGTCTAGTGGCTCGCTTCGGAGCTTCGCGACGCTTGTGTGCTCCTTCGATCCGGAAGGGTGAGCCAAGGCGTTTGATGTTTTCGCCAAGGTCCAACAATGGGTTCATAGGGGGGTTTCAGAACGGGTGTAGTCTCCTCGGGTTCAATTGGGCCTGAGTTGAGGGACGAGGGCGGAGAGAATAGCTGGTCCATATCTCTGGGATTAACAGCGCTAGTGGTAGCTCCACGATTGCGAATGCGGACCCGACCATGGCCCATGTCTTGGAACTTGTTGTGACGGACATAGTTCTCCAAGCGACGTTCAATCTCTTGATCGGAAGGATTATTCTGTTCTCTGGATATGCTCGTGAATACATCATCAGTTTTGGGCAAAGACTGGTCGAAGTAGGTGTTGCGTCGGGCACGATAACCCGGAACATGGACGGTCTCACGTCGAGCACTGGGATCATGGATCTGGCGGTTTAATCCACCGGGGCCCAAGTGCTGTACACGAACGGAGATCCCAGGCGAGGAATGCTAGGAGCAGATTCCACACGAATATGCTGACTAGGGGTCTTGGCCACTGCTGGCTCGGCATGAGCAGACACGGGGTTGTTAAACCAGTCCGTGGCCAACGGCAAGTCTTGTGTAACCTGAGAGAGTGCAGTCGGCTCGGAGACAAGAGAAACGCCGAGGTCACGAGTAGTGTAGGCCGAGCTATCAGCAAAGTCTTTGACGCGGGTATCCGTAGGAGGGCCGAACATATCGACGACAGGCTCGGGAGTGCGAGACTGCATGATGCGCTGATAGTGTGGAGAAATCGAGAATTTGCGTCGACATAGCATCTTGAGGCGTCGTCGAGTCTTGGGGTCAGACTTGGGCCAGGCAGGTTTTATCTCCTCGTGCACAGCTTTGGGTGTAGAAATTTCGATGGGATCAACAGATTTCGAGACAGATTCAACAATGCGACTGCTCTTTTGGCCCCATGTCTTCTTGGCGCGTCGCGCAACACGCGAGGTGACCCCCAGAGGGGGGATACTGCCAGGTGTCATCTTGAATGGAGTCATTGTGGGATCCTGAAGATAAATCTGATAGGTATTCCACAAGTGGGTATCCATCTCGCGAGTCCAGGACTTCTTGGACACTTTGACATTCGCCGCCTGCTTCTGAGGTCGCGAAGGCGACTCAATCTCAGGTTCTTTGGACATTTCTAAAGGGAAGTGCGAGTCAAACAGATCGCTCTCGACACTGGTGAAACTTCCTACAGATGGTCGCGATGCGAACGTTTCGATGGATTCTATTGAAGAATTTGACAGACTCGAGCAGGCCGAGTCAGGGCGCTTGATGTTGTTTGGGCCAGGCGTTTGGTCCCACGATGGCCACGGGTTTCCAGTGTCGCAGGAATCGAAAGGTGTGCCGCGGATCTGCGCAGGCGGCGTTTTAAAATCTATTCGCGCGCGAGGAGGCGCAAGATATCTCTCGTCATTGGCAAAATCGCGGAATGAAGGTGGCTCGAAATCGGTAGTCGACTGGGGCACTTCAATTGAGGGCAGAGGAACATCCGAGCCGTGGAACTGGAACATATCCATGTCCATGCGTGCGCAAACATTGGTACCAGCGCGAGCCCGAATCCTAGGCAGACGGCCACTGGAGATTGAGTGACGAGGTGGTGGAGGCACATCCATAGTGGTACGAGGACGTTCGGGAGTCTTGGGTTCATTGTCGCCGAGGGAGAAGGTAAAGTTCTTCGGCAGAGTGCGCGAAAAGTTGTCGTTGAGCCATGCTGGCGATCTTGCGGTCTTGCGAACCGCAGAGCGTGGGTCAATGCGATTTATGGGAGGAACTCGAGGACTCGGGAGTTGAAAGTAGATGAGTAACGCGGCTTCGAGTCGAAGCGCGCAGCGTCGCGTCAATGTCGTGAATCGTCAAGGGGAGTAAGAGAAAAAAAGGAAAATGCAGCGAGAGCAAGAGATGCAGAAGTAACGTGAAAATAGAAGGGGAAAAAACCGAGGTCTCGGTGTGCGTGATGTCCTTAGGAATGCGGCAACTTGAAATCGGGGATCACCAGATCACATCTGCGGCTCCATCCCGTCCGAGTAGTAGGGAATGAAGGATTTCGTCATTACCCGAAAAAAAAAAAAGCACACAAAAGAAAAGAACGTCTCCTCAAACGGAGAAGGGCTGCGAGAAGAATATCTCGCGATAATGGTGGAAAGGGTGTTGGTAGTGAGAGAGAGAGAGAGAGAGAGAGAGGAAGAAGAAGAGGATTGGGGGATTGGGCGCAGGATGAGGCGGGAGTGGTGGGGGTACTTGGTACCTGTGCTCCCCGTACTGGACTGCCTACTAGACTTGGTACCCTATACTTTTGTTGTACTTGGCCCACTGCGAAAATCCTATGCGCTGTACTAAAAACTCCTATGAAGTCTTTTCAAATGTTCAATTCAATCTCTTTCTCTTCTTTTTTTACGGAGTACAGAGTACAGAACTGTTTTTGTTTAGATTTTCTCGAGTCTTTCCTATATAGAGAGTGGACACACCCCATCTGGGCCTTGCTTAATGCATGCACTGTGGACAAATAAATTGGCATACCTTAGGAGGTAAGGACACCTTGGGCAAATAGCCACTTTTTGGTTCTAAGCTATTGAAGATACGTGCAGTGTAAGCGATCTCTGTACTATGTTGTACTCCGTATAAAGTACTCCGTACTCCGTACGTGTCGTAGCATAAATGAGGGGGCTGGTGTTTGGGATCAGGTACCATGTGCTCCGGACGGAGTACTCCGTATGGTAGATCGGTTCTTCATCTTCAAGACATCGTCTCCCTAGCTGCAAGGGCTTGTACAGAACAGAACGGAAAACGGCTAGGCGTATACAACATAGAAGTGTGATGGTCGTCTGCACTGATATTCTTCAGCTCATCTTTTTTTTAAAAAAAAAAATAAAAAAAAAACCTTCCAATCATACTTGCAGTGGCTCAGGCCTCAAAAAGTAAAAGTCCATTCATTTGTGTTTTCTCGCTTTTATAGTGAATTGGTTTGTTGCGGTCAAAGAAACCCAAAAAAAAACCCCCCCCCCATCTATGTTGTACGGGTAGGGTACCTGGGTACCTGGGTACCGCCGATCACATAATTCTCATTGTGCGGTCTGGATCTCTGGAGCAAAGAGAAAAAGACCCATATAACCCCATTGGGAGTGATGGAGGAGGCGTACTCCAGTAGTTGGAGAAGCTTCACGTTCGTTTTTCTCCGACGCGCGACGCGTCCATCACACGTGTTGAAAATTACTGTACGCTTGTTGTATACTTACCAGTCACGTGGTCTTGTGCATTTGAACCCTAGAAAGGCTAGTTACTTCCTTTATATCATTGCTACTCCGTAAAATCTTTAGAGTATGTGCGTGCCTTATGCACCGTTGAACCATTCTGCATTCTGCATTGAAATCTGTGATGAATTCTCCGATCCAGCCCTGGAGGAATCCATTCTCAACAGATTTAGTAAGATCTCATCTCGCTTATAATGGATAGCCACAGTATACCCGCAGAACTGTGGGCCACATACCAATTAACTCCACTTTCGAGGAGAGTGCTATCTACCTTGTGCCTCGAAGCCTTGGACTGGCCCTTTTTCAAATGGCTCAATTTCAAACGGAGCATTCAAAAGGATCCAGCTTGTCCCATGGCTGATAAGTAACATCATTTGGTGATTAAAACACACAAAATCTACCCCGTAGATCCAATATAGAACCAAAAGAGGGGGAAAGGCGCTGCTTAGTTCCATCCACTACTCTCCTAGGAAACCTAGGTCAACCTCCGATTCACGCGACCGGAATAGAATCTCAACTCGTGGGTCGGTGATAGACTCGACACCATTTTCAATGTTCGGGGGTCGACCGCCGCTCTGCAGTTTCCAGTCGTACTTCAGGAGCAAATGAAGGAGCATAATCTTGGTTTCGTTGGCAGCGAAAAACCGGCCAGGGCAGGCGTGGATACCATGGCCGAAGACAAAGTGCTCACTTGTCGTCGTTACAAACTGATGTCTGTGTTCGTTGCCGGGCTGCTGGCGTTTCTTGTAAAACCGATAGCCATCGTAAGTGGAAGCATTAGGGTAGATACTGTCATCTTCTAGTGTCTTCGTGGAAACAAACATGTTGGCGCCTTTTGGAATTACACTTCCATCGGAGAGCACGATTTGCTTATGAGCGAGGCGGTTCATGGAGGCTGTGGTGGAGTGTCAAAACAGGCCATTCTTTCAACGACAGGCTTGAATGAAGAACATGGAAAGAATGTGGATTAACTTACTCAATGAAAGTGGGTTAGTACGCTGCGATTCCTTCATTACACTGTCCATCAACCTCAACTTGAGCAAACTAGTCTTCTTCAGAACTCCATCCTCAGCAGCAACCGCACGAATCTCATCACGCAGCGGCTGAATGTACTCTGGGTACGCCGCGAGGTCATAAATGACGTTGGTCAACAAGTTCGACGTGGTATGAATGGCGGCCAGCGCCAATCCAACCTGAGCACAAGACTGGTCAAAGGTCAAATTATTCCGGGCTTCGGCGGTCTCGCGATACCAGTCCAGAGCGTCAGGTCCACGAGGTGGATCATCTGCAGGGAGCTTACCCGCGCGAATCAACGCCCGCCTGTCTATCTCGCGGCTGATGATGGAACGAGCCATTTTTAAGTGCTTGCGTAGCTTCTGGGTAGAGGGCAAGAACCAGTGTACGACCGGATGGAGAATGGATGGCCATTCTCGCAGATCGCGCATAGCCATAAACGCATCGATGGCATAGTTCACAGAAACATCGATCCACTCATCGTCGTGGGAGATGGTCTCTCCAACGAATATCAGAGAGGAGAGGCGGGCTACCATGTACGGAACCTTATGCGCGAAATGGCAGGGCTTCCATTCTGCCGAAGAGTGGAAGTGTCAGTGAGAAAGTTGCAAATGGAGGTGCTTGAACATACCATCGGTGGCGGGCAAGGATTCCTTCAATATCGCACCTGTCTCCTTCGAGAGCCGGAGTGAAATGGACCCTGTTTAAATAGGAAAGGTAAGGTCAATTCTATCTCTTGGGTGAGATGTATCAAGTCGTAGATGCATACCGAGAGCCTGGGTCAAACTGGTCCGCACTATCTCCACAGTAGATTTTAAAGCAGTGCCATTATGAAATGGTTCAAATCCAGGAATGCGATTCTCAAAGAATGTCTTATCGGCAAGTTAGCCATGGTCACGGATTATTTCCGGTTTCATAACCTGCCTTTTTGATGGAGTCTTCAAAACTCAGATCTGGGTTGTTCTTAATTTCATCGACAAACTTCGGGTGCAATACAACAATCGGGCTCGTAGCTCCGATGATCTGAAAGACATTGACTCCCTTTGAAGGCCTGTTAGCATATTTGAGGGCAAAGAGTACTGTCATGAATTCCCGTTAAGACTCACCTTTGCAAAGCCTTCGGCAATTAGTTCACGACATGACTGAGTAAAGCGTTGCCGGGCCTTTTTGTTGGTAAGCTCCCACCAGGTCTTCCCGACCAAAGGAATGCGTCTATAGGGAATCTCGTTGGCTATATCGGGCCAAACACTTGTTATGAACACCGCCACTAGGGCGATGCACATACTCTGTACAACATAGGGATTGTTGAGTAATTCACTGATGACTGCCATAGTCAAGGTCAAGACTGAAAATGGAGGGAGCAGGGGGACAATAGAAGCGACATCCCAGATTTCTGGAAACTGATATTCTCCGAGGACCTTCTTCATTTATAATGGTTCCCGAGCCATCAACCAGTCACGGAGACTCCATTCATTTTTTTCCCCAACCGACCTTGGACTGGATATTCTAACAAGGGGGGACCCACGTCAGTATCAAGTGCTATCAACTTGAATCGAACCGAGCCAAAGCCAAGCAACATTGAAAAGCGACAGGTCCAATAAGGTCTACGCTGACCAACTCCTTTCACCAGAACGTCAAAGCTCCGAGAAAATAATATTCTTGGCCTACATCGATGTATACCCAGCCTGGAATGCGAGAACGAGAGCCAAATTAAGCGATCCTTACCCGAACAGGCAATTCTTGACCGGGGTTTCTATTCCGTCTGGCTCCACTTGCATATGTTTATGCAGAATGGTTTACGATCTATACCGCGTGCCAATGATAGTATTCCGTAGAGGCCTGCAAATTCTGCAAGTTGAACGGTAGAATCATTTGGGGGGGGGGGAAACAGTTCTGTACTCCGTGATACAAGAATAAGAAAGTCTCGGTAACCCAGAGAAGAAGAATATTTTTGGTTGAAAACATAGCTAATAGCATACAGATTTAAGCGAAGCTGCAACATATGTATGATTTTAAAATATGAAGCCCTAATTGGTCACTTATATAGCTTAACGGAATTAGGTTAGTAGAAATCCATTTCCGCCAAGACCCCGCATTCGTCTTCGATGGCCTTCCCAAGGTTCAACTTCCCCGCTTAAAAGTCGTCTTTCTTCTCAACTTCACTTCGAGATTAACCGTAAATATGGGTGACTACGGCACTGCTGCTCCATATATAACCCCCGCTCCTGTCGGCAACAGCCCACCACAATCCTCGGCTTCGCTTAATGAGATATCCGTCCTGATAACAGGCTTTGGGGTAAGTGATCTGCGCTTCGGATGTTGCTTGTATCCGAGCCGAAACTAAATAGTGTAACCAGCCCTTCAAGACCAACCTTGTGAATGCGTCATATCTGATCGCTTCCTCTCTTCCATCATCTTTCCTTTTCCCGTCTAAAGACCAGGACTCGGACCCACGTCGAGTCTCACTCCATGTGCATCCTACTCCGATCCCAGTGGCGTATGCCACTGTTCGAGAGGCCCTTCCCTTAATTCTGGAGGAGTTTGCTGCCAATCATGGTGGTCGCAGACCTGATCTCATTATTCATATTGGCATCGCAGCTCCGCGGCAATATTACTCCGTCGAATGTTTAGCCCATCGAGATGACTATAACATTACCGATGTCAATGGTCGCCCCGGCTATGTGGATGGCGAGAAGCGATGGAAAGGGTTGGGGCTGCCGCCGATTCTGATCCCAGGTCGTGCTACAGATGATCCCTCCTCTGCTTCGCCTTACCAGCCCGACGACCAGTTCCTGGAGACGTGGCGCTCGTTTGCTCCCGAGTCGGACCTCCGGATCTCAAAGGACGCGGGTCACTACCTGTGCGACTTCATTTTCTACACCAGCATGTCTTTAGCCCAATTACAAGGCCAGGATCGTAATGTCCTGTTCCTCCATGTCCCTGGGGGGTCTGAGGATGCGAATATTGAGCAAGGCCGGGTTGTCACACTCGCCCTAATTAAGGCAACGGTCGCGTGCTGGTTCGATAAGAAGCATTCGGCATAACCAGATTGCATCATCGCAGTCAGCTTTGTCTTTAACAATATACTCCTTCGGGGGGTCTACATAGGTGCATAGTGTTGTGTGTTTTTATTTTCTTTATTTTGTCTAATTTTTTTGGCTCAACAGTTGCTTTTCCTGGACTTGTATGCATTATCAGTTTCTTTCCGTCTCGCTTGGTGCATATTTATCCGCGCACGGTGTTTACATGTGGCATCTCCCAGGTACCTTGTGCCTAATTCATACTTCTCTTGAGACCTTCTGTCATTGGACCTAAGCAGCTACCATGTACAGGATAATAGGGTAAGGCACAGTATATTAGCAGAAAACTATAACAACAAATTGAAAGTGCCCGTATCTACATGGCCTCAGCACTCAAAATAAGGCTGTAGCCTCATATAAGAGGTAACGCCTGTACGGAGTGTACATTGGAGCCTCCGAAGTATTCGGCCAAATTATGTACCCCAATATACCGCCTTACAAATTCTTCCACTTCGGCCGGTTAAATACGCGGGGATGTCCGTATAGGTATATTTTGCAACATTATGCAGCTCGCACAGCGTTGTGCTAAGTATACAGTCAAGCTCAGATCCTCATACACTCCAGCAGGTGCAGTGTAAGTTGTGTGATATAACTGGCATTCAGATAGAGTAAAGTTGGTAGAGGGAGCGTGTACGCACGAGACCTAATGGATAGAGGTTAGCAATATTTTAACAGGCAGGCGGTATATACGGCGGTACCTATAGCGGTATACGTGGGTACAAAAGTCTGGCCCAATACTTCGGAGGTTCCACTGTAAACTGCCCTATTTAGGTAAACCATCTCCCAGCAAACATGCTGCAGTCGCACAACATGGCGTCGGCACTAATATTAGGTCTTATACTCCTAATTCCAATCCTCCTGATTCCGCGCTTCACGGGATGGCCCAGATTTGTCCAATCCCCAACCAAGCTTCTCCTATGGTGCCAGCGTCCCAAACAATCCACGGAGATCATCTCGTTGCGCATATACCCTATAAAATCCTGTCGAGGCATAGAAGTCCAATCAACAGTCCTAAAACAGCATGGCCTTGACCTCGACCGCCGCTGGATGCTCATCGACGCGTCGTCAAATACCTTCCTAACAATTCGCCAAATCCCCGACATGACCCGCATCCGCACCGCCCTAAGTGCCGACGGCGACGAGTTGGTCGTGAGTATCCCGAATCCCGAATCCAATGAATCCACCCAAGACCAAGGCCAAGATCGTCAATTTCATACAATCCGCATCCCTTCCCATCCATCCCCGCAATGGCTAGCGGCAAATACGAATATGGGCCCCGTACACATCTGGGACACAGAGACAGACGGGTACAGGTACAGCGACGAAATCAATGCCCCTTTCTCCGCCTTCTTGGGTCGCGACGTTGCCCTCGTCTACAAGGGCCCGACCCCGCGCGTGCTGAAGGGTAACGGCGCCCCACACCGTTTGGGTCGCGTCCAGACGACCGGCTTTCCGGATGTGCATCCTGTGCAGATTGCGTCGGAATCTTCGCTGGCAGAGCTCAATGCTCGTCTCAGGAAAGGTGGGTATAGACCCGATTACTGTCGAGCGGTTCCGTCCGAATATTGTTGTTCGCGGCAAGGCGCCGTGGAGCGAGGATTCGTGGAAGTTGGTTCGCATTACTGGTCGGAATGCTGATGGTATTTCTGGTGATTCTGCTGGTGACGGTGGGGCTGTTACTCAGTCTCCGCTGGATCTGGATATTGTGGCTCGTTGTGCGCGCTGCCAGGTGCCTAATGTTGATCCAGATACGGCGCTCAAGAATAAGAAGCAGCCGTGGGATACGCTTGTTTCGTATCGCAGGGTTGATGAGGGGATTAAGTATAAGCCTTGTTTTGGGATGTTGAGTGCACCGCGTAATGAGGGGGCTATTGAGGTTGGGATGAAGTTGGAGGTTTTGGAGGAGACGACTGGACATCGATATGTTGCTGGGTTCTAGGGAGGTTTCTATGGTTTGTTCTGGTCTTAGGAGACAGTGTACAACTACGACATACATAGCGCAGGGCATTGTAAGCTCGAAGGTTGAAACGGCAAACATAAAATTATCGTATTTTTCACTCTGTGATATATATCTTGATATATCTTGAAATCCGGGGATACATGTGGAGGTAATTTCATAAAATTGAAATCAATCCTTCCAAGCTGATGTTTACTTGATATATATATGCGACTATAGATCCTGATATGAAAACAGGGAAGGGGGATACTAGACCAAACGTAGTAGTAATTTAGAGGTGGACTAGATGGAATCGTTGAATGAACATGATAATGGCATTGACATTGAAAACTAGCGACAGATCGTACTCGCAATCTTTATACAAGGGTTACCAACCTCACTTCAACTGCTTGCTCGCAGAGACACACCAGTTATTCCACTCGGAAAAGAACGACGGCTGCACATGGCACTTCGTGCTCATGAGCTGATCCTTGCGAGTTGCGGCGTAAACATCCACAACACCCGCAATAGCATCCTTGTCATGCGCAACAAGCACTTTAGTAACAAGCAAACTAGCTTGGCTGCAAGCAGTCGCATGGCCCATAGGTCCACTGTGACTAGCCTCCTTATGAACAGACCGGAGCAGCTCCCAGAGCGCCTCTACCTGTGCATCGTCCTCGATCTTCGGGAGTGAATTGCCCTTGCACACCTTCGTGTACTCGCGCAGCACTCCGTTGGCCTTGGTGGCGATCTGTTTCACGCTGGTCCGGCGAGATAGTCGGAGCAACGGCAGGAGGATATCTAGCGCGAGCAGGCGGGTGTGGCTCTTCTTCACGAATATCTCTAGCAGGTCCAGGACGCGGTTCTTGAAGTTCACCATGTTCTCACGTGCGTCTTTCTTGTCTTTGCGGTGGGAGGTTTCTTGACGACGGGCACGGAATACTTGCACCAGTTTGTCGTCTAGCTCGTCCATCTCGTCGTCGTTCATGTCGGCGTCAGAGTCGGACGCGTCTTCGTCTGCGCGGTGTGTGCCGAGAGCTGCGGCTAGCTTGGCTTCGAAGGCGGCGACTTCCTCTGCGTCTTCTTCGTTATCTTCTTCCCCTTCCTCCTCCTCGTCGTCGGACCCGGAGCCAGAGCCGCCGGCTTCGACAACCTCAACATCGCTGTCGAGCTCATCCTCATCGACATCCATCATATCGTCATCGTCGTCTTCTCCTTGTTCCTCGCCTTCATCGTCTTGCTCTTCGAACATTTCTTGCTGTCCAGCAAGACTCTCTTGGTCTCAAGAATCTGGGTCTAGTTAGAAAATGCATGTTTGAAAGAGGTTGAGGCCACATACCGAGGTCAAAGATTCCAACCCGTTCTCGGTGATCTGGTTAGCAAACGCGCCAAACACCTGCTCACTCATACGACGGAACAGCTGCGATTGCTTGGATGCGAAACTGAGAAGGATCTCAACCAACGCATCCGAGGCATCGCCAGCATCTTCTGTCTTGGTTTCCTTGTCGCCCAGGAACTTGGTATAACAGAACTCCAGCTCATCAAGCATGGATACCGCGTCTGCGTCTCCATTGTACACCTGCATGATAGTCATAGAGTAAAGCAGCTTGAATGCAGCCATGCCCTTCTCCTTTTTCTCCTATATTGTAGTCAGTATAAGTGGTCAAGAGGCCGATAGGGGGGGGGGAAACCATACCCTGCTGGACAACTTCTTTAGGGATTTGAAAGCAGCCTTCACAGATTCCGACAGCTTCTCATCGATAGCAATGATGAACTTGCCGAATTCGCCAGACTTGGCTGCATCGCGAATCTGCTTCACCACAGCATACGGGAGCGTAGCGGCAAACTTTTGGTTTGAGATAAGGCTGTTCAAGCAGGAGTTGATTCGATTGCGCAGGAGTTCTTGTGTCGCTGATGAGAGAGGAGGCTCAGGGGCAGTGGAACCCTTGCCGGCATGCATGAAGTACGCAAAGCGCACGAAGATAGACAGAATCTGCTCAAGACTTGCTTGGAGGTCTTCCGCATCGTCTTCACTGGCAGAAGCCTTGGAGCGCACGATTGACAAAAGGAGACCAGCGACGAATTGACGGTTGGATGAGGCGGTTTTCTCCTCGGTTGTGCCAGGATTTTGAATAAGTTTTTCGAAGAATGGGACAATCTCTTCCAATGCCTCGTGGTTGGCTTCGGCAACGATCTTCTCAACGGTCTTGGTCTTGGTAGCCTGGTCGAAGTTCAGCGTGCCGCTGGTTCCCATCAAGCCACGGATGGCCGCAGCTGCAAATTCAGGCTCCTTGGACACACGGGCCTGGATTGCCTTGGCCACTTTAACGGCCATTCGGTGCAAGTACCGGTCCTCCACGGCGAGCTGGTTCGTCAAGCATCGCATGAGATTCTTGGTGAAAATCAGAGCGGCCTGTTGCGACCCGCCATCATTGAGAATTCTGTTGAAAAGAAGGAAGCCCCAGTATTTACGCTCGTCCGAGGATGCGGCAGCGAACAATCCATCTATAAAGAGGGTTTTATTAGTTCTATGTATCTCAGGCACAATTCCGCTGTTGAATAGGTACTCACTGTCAACAACCTCAGTCCAGAAATCAGTGAAGGTCATACGAGACTTCTTCGACTTGTCCTTCGCCTCAACACTGGTCCGAGACAGAACCGCATCCCAGGCGAAGTGAAGCTTGTTATTCCAAACGCCAGAGGACTTCGCAGTGTTCACCTTGTTCTCGCCCTCGCTGGCAGCTGCACCCGATTCCTTCATGATCTTCGACATGCTGCTGCGCTCTTTCGAATCCAAGGGATCATCATGCTTCCAGATTTTGCTCGGGAAGGTAGCGTTAGGGAACATATCCTTCGCCGCCAACCAGATAGCAACACCCTCGGGCGACCGGGCGAGGTCGCGCACGCATAGCTGTTCCAGCGCAGACTGGATGTACTTGGGTTCCATCTTGCGCGCAGCCATATCGTAGACACACTGGTAGATGATCCACCCACATTCTTCGCGGATCCATGGCTTCTTCTGTGCGAGTTCGAGAACAAGATCGATAACCTGGGTCCAGTGCTCAAAGGGCACGGTGGGCTGGAACAGAACGGAAGACTTGATGATCGCTTCGGCACCGAAAAGACGGCCGAAAAGATGGTCGCGTTGCTCCTATATGAAACGAAAGGATACCCTAATTAGCGCGCGCGACATTTTAAATTATGCGTAGCCACCAACCTGTCCCGACTCGCTGCCGTAGGAACTCGACTGAGACTCCCAGAGGTTCAGAGCATCTGAGAAGCCAAAGCGTGATGTCTCTCTCGGCGATGAGAAGACCTGGCTCAAGATCTCGGTCAAGGCAATTGAGAATCCGATTCGAGCAGCTTTGCGGCTACTGCAGAGACCGCGGAAGAGTCTCGACAGCACCTTCTTGATCTGTTCATCGGCAGGGTTCTGGTCCGGAGTGAATTGCGACACTAGGGCTTGGGCAGCCTTGAGGCGAATGTCATCTTTTTCGCTAGCAAGATCCTCGTAGAGTTCCACCAGCTTCACGTCGACATTGTGAGGTTCGCGGCGGCGCTTTGAACCGGCGAAGGGAGGGCCCATTACTGAGTCTGGGGGGGTTGGGGATGGCGGATATGTGCGAGGTTCAATTAACGATCAAATTATCCGCTCTCAGGCCTTGACAACGGAGATCTGCAAACCAAAGGCACGTTCAACACTCCTTGCGGCCGTTCGAGTTGCTCAGAAAAATTCATGCTTTAGCCTATTTCGGACTAGTGTGAATTGATAAGCTGATAAGGATTCTGATGCTCCAAAGAGACCGGGAACGGGCAAACGACCTCATTAAATGTGGATATTTTTTAGAATATTGAGGAGGAGATCTGGAGCTTATAATCTATTGAATATGTTAGAAAAGCAAGTGTAGTGGTGCGAAGTTATGTGCAAAGGTTCCAAGCACATATATATATTGTGCCATCTAACCCATTCTCAGCGAGACTTGGAGCCCTGGAGACAAATACAACCTTCATTTGCCCATAGCTTCCTGGGGAAAGATTCGAAATCACTACTCCGTAAGTCAAAATGCTACATATTCAGCCTACGATACAATCAAGCAAAAATTTAGCCCCCAAAACCACAAGACCTAGACTGTCGCCAAGTAGCTGAAAGCCCCTGGGAGCCGCAGCAAAGACACCTGAAAAACCACGCAACAGATCAAGCAGGACAACATGCAAGCAGCATTTCAATAGCGAAATCATATGGTGTATTCGAAGCTGTCAGAGAAACCGGGGTAAAAAACAAAGTCCAGACTGATTCAGGGGTAATGACGAATCTCAAAAACGAGATCACCGAAGTTCCAGCTGAGCCATCAAGCTCAAACCGGTCCAGACGCAGAACTATCCTGTTGTCAAAGGCAACCGGGAAACCAGCATCCATTTATAAAATCGCATGTCGCCGAGGAAAACCCGCTAATTGCGCTGGATCCGAGCTTCAGGATCCGGGCTCCGCTTGTGCTGATTTCGCGGATGCACCGACCCGCCCCAGGCTGATCTGTATACGAGTATGCCGGGCAAAGCGACATATTCTTGATAGGGAAAAGCAGGAACCATGCATCGAACTATCAATTTGGCTGGAGGCCGTTTGACATTTGACAGAATCAATATTATATACTCAATATTATATACTCCGTAGTCGGGAGAAAATTACCTCTGTATCAGAATTGATGTGTTGGAACGGATGGGGGATCGTCTGCCGTGGATCTGCATGGTTTAAGTAGGTTTTTAGTTTTAGGTAGTCATCGTGCTGGGTAACATGTGGGAATGGATTTCGTGGGCATTGTGCAGGTGGTTTTGATGTAGGCTGATGGGTCTCGGATTGATAATATATGGAGTCGGGCGTCTTGGTGGGCCTGGGAGTCCTGGCAACCGTTGTGATAGATGTTGAGTCGGGTGTCAGATTTTGCGCGTTCAGGGGCTTCATGGGTTGCCTGATTATGCAACTGCCACAATATCATACGGTTTTGTGTGACTTGGGAGGTTGTACAGAAGTTCGGAGTGAAATTTGGAAATTTGGCTAAGTACTGGGATTGGGGAGTGTACACGGTGTTTAAGTAAAGACGGGGACGGTTATTGGTTTAGCCTAAGGTGGTCTGGATACAGTAAAAGACAAAACGAATATATTATATCAAGACAGCCTATTTTGTCCTACAAAAGAAAATCTACAACTAGACCTGTAGAAGATAGTTATAGAATATACCAGTCCAGCGGCGTCTAAGTAGGCGTCTCGATCTATCACGCTGGGTGAATTTGACAGTAGATATGGACCACAACTGGAGCTGTGTGATATGGAGAGTCACCAGCTTCCAAATAGGGAGTAGGGCGTCACTAAGAAGTGATAGCACGATTGAAAGAGAGCTGACAGGCACGAAGCTGGCGCATAAATGACTGGGGTTGCCAATAGCGGCGCAGATCGGGGGCTCCCGGGAGAAGATTAATTGACAAATATAGAAAAGGACCAGGGGAATATAATAAATAGGGTAAGAGTATTTCCAGTATTTGACAGTACTGGGATTGTATAATACCGAAATACAGATCAAATCTCCAGTTGAGAAAGGTCGGAAATCTTTGATTTTTGGAATCTCTTTGATGTCATGTGTGATCACGGGACGACGCATTAGTTTCGTGGCTTTGTTTACCTGAAGTTTCACGCGCCATCAACAATCAACAAGGTCGTGACATCACATTGGACAATAAGAGGGGAAAATCCCCTAGAGCCCGGAGGGGAAGAGGGGAAAATTCCCTATGTTGTAGAGCACGGAGGGGGAAAAGGCCTAGACAACCACCATGCAGGTGTATCTGGCAGGACACACGAGTTGAAATGTGATGAACCCCGCAGCGACCAAGGCAGTCGGCTGGAGAGCTGACATGACTGGCCCCATCGCACATGGCGCTGTGATGCAATTGACCGGTCACATCATCGGGGTCCTCTCCGACCCCACCTTAGCTGCGACTCTGCGTGGCGCAGAGAGATAGATCGGGTTGGGCTGATACAGTCAGCCCAGAGGGTTTCCATCTGCAAGCGCCTGAGAAAGCGGAATGCTTTGTGATTCGTGAAGATGTGTTCGAGTGTTGGTTATCACATCAAGACATGACACAACACGGCACAACACAGCACAACCGTCGACGCGGTCCGACCTCCCAGGGTTTCAAGATTCCAAAGTTTTCAAGACCTGACCGAGTCTTCAACTTCCAAGGTTCATTAGCATCCTACTTGGACATCATGGAAGTGCACGGAGCACTGTGATGTTCAGTAGATATGACGTAGCATCACGGGCCAATAAAATCCTCCGAACGCGTCGTGGATTTTGCACACCGCATCGTCTGCCGGGGAGAGATGTGTAACAATGCCTTTGATAAATGCAGAAGGCAACTGTAAATATTGAAAAGACCTGTTGATGCATTTCGGATTGACCGGATATTCCATGACCCAGTGAAGCTCGTTCCGGTCTTTCACGGAGAGGAGAGGGTCCAGAATAGCACACCGTGGGGTGCAGTAGTGACTTGAGAGTGTCCACCAGGGCACCATGACTGGATGACTATAGCCGACTTCTGCGACTAGTCGTTTCAAAATACTCCGGATATACTTTGTACAAAGTAAAAAAGCCGATGGTGGCGAATCTGAGATCTTGCTGGGTACTTACTCCATATATTGTAGTAAATATCGCGTCTGATAGCCTTAGGAAATGTGACCTCTACTAAATCTGTGTTAATAAACTTGTTTAAGGTGTGAACGAACCATGGTCTTCACAATTGCGTCAGTCGCATGAATCATTACCCCGGCCCGTCCTTACTGCTGTTAGTAGTAGCCCTAACTCCGGAGCGAGGTCATTTCAGTTGCAATTGCTTCGGTGAGGTTGGAAGAAGCGCATCGAATGTCATCGGACAGGAAGGTTCAATAGCCCTACCCTTGGGCAATTAATGTAGATTGAAGGTCAAACACCCTACCAAGGGGCATGGAAGGGATGCGGGACATGGAAGGTCATCGCGAGCCCTTGATCAACAAGAATGTCGGTACAAGTAAGGGCAGGACGGGTATGGATGAGCAGAATACTATAGCGTCTTCAATTTTGAGAGGAAGAATGGGATTATCTACCATTCCTTACTCGATACTACGTTGTACGTTCCGATCTTGGAGGAGCAATTGAACGGCAATTTTCTCCGGAGTCAACTACATGTAGTTGGTTCGTCCAGTATCCCACATTGTACGGAATTACTCCATACCCCGTACAACATAGACAGATTCCAATCTCTGATCGGCCCTTGATATCACCTAATAGGGCCAAGATAGTGTGAACTCTTTTTGTATTTCGGAGATGAAGAGATCTTGAAATTCCACGGTCTCTCCGATGCGGCCAATCAATACCTCGGTAAGATGATCACAGGGCTTCTTAATCGGACTAGTTGGGTCGATCGAGCACTATATTGCGCTATAATTGTGAATCCATTCTTCAAAGCGAAGGGGATTCTTAGAATTGAAGCATATCGTGACGTTGGAGACCAATAAAGAAGACGCCGTTCAATCGAATCACCCTTGCTTCCCATCACTTGCTTCCCATCACTTGCAGGAAGCTTTAAATTTTTTTTTCTCCCGAGAACAGGAAAAGTGGATATTTTGCATTAGACTCGATCTCTTTTGGGTCCCGTTTTTTTTTCAGCTCACCTGTGGTTGACACGGGAAAGAAAAAGTTTTTTGGTGGATACGATGCGTAAGAAGGAAGATGGAACAGTAAGCTCCGGAGAGGAAATTTGACATAAGCATACAGTGTATAGTGTACAGTGTATAGTGTACAGTGTATAGCGTATAGTGTATAATAGAGAGACAATCCTCCTTCCATTGAGCAGGGGAGACAAAGCTAAACCCAAGACATTATTGTACTGGAGTACTCCGTACCGATGTTGTAGGTCATAGAGAAGCTGTGATAGGCGCTGGGTTGCTGCGGCAAGGGAGCCCCGGGCAACCAAAAAGTATTTGGCCCCTAGAGAAGTGTCTATCCTTTACTCTCTATGGTTAACTACTATTTGCATATCTTGGAAATTATAATATATTTTATTCCTTTTTTATTCTTTTATTCTTTTATTTCTATATTCCTTTTTTTTTAATTGGCATTTTACCATACAGGGCTTATAAAGGAAGTTTTAACTATGTATACATACTAATTACTACCATATTACGTCTATTACCCTATTAATACATACTCTCCCCATCTTTACCTATTATTTTAATATTAAAAAGAAAATTCCCGATTACATGAAAATCGGAGCCGCAGTATTTCTCAATACTTCAATACTTCAATACTTGTACATTCGGAGATCCTCCCCACCTGCGTTGCCCATTGCAACAAGCCCATCCCTTCAGCTTCACTTCTTTGTTCCTACTTCTTCTTCTTCTTCTTCTTCTTCTTCTTCTTAATTACTTACGACATTCCTCCCGACATTGAGAGGAACAACTTTGTTAATCGGTTCTGTCGCCGACAAATCCATATCATATTGTTGGACCTTCCCCTCAGTCCTGCAGCACCCACGAGCTCCCCCCCGACCCCTCCAATCACATCCGACAGACTCACCATATTCACCATTCAACCCCCCAAAACCTCCGAAGTCTTGCCATGGACCGATAAATCCTGTGGCTTAACGAAATACAACTCTCGTCGTTGGTGGTTAGGGTCTGGGACCTAGGATTTTTTTTTTCCGGAAACTGGTTGTCACGGCGATCGTGGGGACCCATAACGTTGAAATTGCAAACGTGGAGACGTGCGTTGAGACAACTTTTTTCTCTCTTTTTGAAGCTCAGTTTGTAGGACCTAGTACTGGGTAGACACCTGTGGTCAGGGCCTGATTTGCCTTTCCATCTGTTCCGGTTGCTTTGCCAGAAAACTGTACAACGTCGGCTTTTGGTCCCAGTTGCAGCACCATGGAGCACTCTTCACCTCTCGCCGCTATGCAACCTCCGTCAGTCATGTTCGGCCATTGCTTTCGTTCAGAAGCACCGACATCTTATTCTTTGGGTTCAATGTCCGGGTTTGGTGGGAACCCGTTCAATTTCAAGGAATTGTCTATGAAGAAGTCTAGTTCGGACTACTTCAACGTCAAACCCATTCGAGGTTCTTCTCCCACAGCCAGTTTGGCTGCTGATCTTTCTCAGAACTTCCATATTGATCAAAGGTATGTGGAGATTTCCATGGGCGTTTCATGAAGTTCAAAGGGACAAAGCCCGGCTAACTCTATATTTAGTCCCCAATTAGCCACACCACGCCGGTCTTTGTTCACGGCCAGTATGCTCGGTCAAGCCAATGGACGTGGTAAGCAATGGCATAAATGGCACAGAATGGCAGGGCGGAGTAGTTACTGATACCTTATATATAGATGATGTGATGACCACCCCGCCGCTCCCATCATCTTCACCAGCACCAGCTATGGACGTTATGGAAATGTCTCCACTGCCTCACAAGCCGGCCTTCTTTGTCACTGCCGAGATCGAGGTACAGTCTCCGACACCTGGGGGGTAGTCCCATGCAATCACCAATGGTGTCTCCACTCCCGAGTCCTCTACAAGCGTCTCCGATGGAGTCTCCTCTATGTCCACCTGAGTAAGTGTGCACGTGAAAGTCAACCCACCCATATCGGTTCCGCTAACATGAATTCCTATCTGACAGGAGGAAGCGGCCCACTTTCCTGCGTCCCAGTCTGGCGAGGAGCAAGGCTCAGTCTTACCAACTTGGACTCACCCGGCCTTCGCCGGAGAGTAAAGCACCTCCCTTCCGATTTGGAACTGGAGCCAAGACATCTCTTAGCACCTCCACTTCTCTGGAGGATATGTTTGGGGACTCGCCTCCCCGTGAGCGTCCGATCTCGCGCAACAATTCTTCAACTCACCTGGCGCCGCCTCGGATGCGGCCATCACTCCACCATGCTCGTAGCAGCGGCTCGCCCGCCCACAGTTCAATCCGCAAACCGTCTCATCCTTTGATGCGTCCCCGCAAGCAATGCCGCCGGTCATTGAGCATGTTTGAGAACCCAGCAGATGTTATTGCCGATAAAGAGGCCAAGGTAGCAACAAATACACCCGTCCAGTCCATCAGTGACATTTCAAGTCCGCCCAGCATGAAGCTGCCTCACTTCATCCCTGAGGATCGCGCGGACTCTCTGCCTCGCATCGACAAAAGCACTCTTCTGGAACTCATGGATGGCAAATTCAATGACCATTTCGACAACATTCTCATCATTGACTGCCGCTTTGAGTACGAGTATGAGGGTGGTCACATCACTGGCGCATTGAACTATAACGACAAGGAACGTCTCGCCGGTGAACTCTTCAGTGCCCCTCAGGCCCGCACTGCGCTTATCCTACACTGCGAGTACTCTGCCCACCGGGCTCCCATCATGGCCAAGTACCTGCGACACCATGATCGCGCCATCAATGTTGATACTTACCCTAACCTGTCATACCCTGATATGTACATTCTGGATGGTGGATACAGCTCATTCTTTGCTGAACACCGCTCTCTCTGTTACCCTCAGAACTACGTCGAGATGAGTGCCAAGGAGCATGAATTTGCCTGCGAGCGTGGACTTGGCAAGGTCAAGCAGCGCTCCAAGCTGAATCGTGCCCAGACTTTTGCCTTTGGTGAACAATCACCCCAAATGGAAGACAGCCCAACTGGACGTTGCCGACTTGGCGACAACGAGCGTAACCGCTACTTAAGCTCTCCATTTTCTCAAAGCCCAGTCCCTGCCCGGACCCCCGGCCGCCGGATGCTTTCCTGACTAGATCGACTAGTACCGTTCCTTTTTTGGTGCTTTGCATTATCTTGCATCTTGCATCTTGTCTTTTTTTTTTCCCTTTTTTTTTTTCCCGCTGCGTCTTGTCCTTGGAGCGTGGTGTTTGGCTGATGCATTCCAATATGCTTTATGGCGGCTTTTTCTTCTCTTTTCACCCTCAAACTTCTCTCGACATTTTCAGTCCTACTGAGGTCTGATTTGTGTTGGCGTGCTGGATCACCTGCGCTATTCACCTTTTCCCTCATCTCTTTGATATCTGCTCTCAGTATCGTCCTCTCTTTGACCCACCCTGTTTAGCTGGGTTCCTGCTTCTTCCAATATTTCCTTTGCGTGGCATCTTGCCACATCTCTCTATGACCATCGCCCATGATCTTCCTGGGTAATCGACTCTCATGACCCATACGAATCTGAGTGTCCCATTTCATATGTCTATTTACGACCTCGCAACTTCGCAAAAAGTGCGCACGAAGACGTCCTCGGCCTATCATCGCCAGGTTTCCAATTTCTCATATCTCTTCCGTGGGACTTTTTTTTCCCCCGCGAAAACAATACCCCCAATGACGATTTTCATCGAACATTTCGCCGACACTTTGGCATCTCCTTTTCTCTCCGAACATTCTTTTTGACACCATTATCGCCCTTTAATCCACTATTTGGTCCTTCTTGTACAGAATTTCTACTGTGGATTAATCGTCATTCCACGCTGTACCAAATTTGCATCTCGATGCTCAACGCCAGTCTCTTTTGACTTCTTCGCCAGGAGCATTTGTATTTTCAATTGTCCGATAATATCACCCCTTTGAACTGTGTCATTGGGTAGTGCGGAGGATCTGGATGTAATATTTGCATCGAGAGTGACTTTTTTACAGCTGTACATAACGAGAATTGCCTTATTACATGCAATTTCTCTCTGGACGTGTTCTCCTGAGATTTTAATGGTCTGGAAAGGGTAATCGGAGGAGACAACCAGTTCACAAATGTTTTGATTTCCCTTTGTGAGAATGAAAAAAAAAGAAATAAAAAATATTCAAAAATTTCAAAAATAACTTCAAGTCTTTCTCTTGTAAAAGGAAAAAAGTAGAAAGGAAAAAGAAAGAGAAAATTCCAACTGATCGACAGAATGCAATTAATGAGGATTGTCGTTTCAAGTCTCTCTGCTGAATTTGATAGGCGGAAAGCCGGGGGAAACTATGGGGTTGTCCTGTCCTTGAACTCCCTCGAACTGCTTCAACTTCATTCTCTTCTCTTTCTCTCCTAGGCTCTTCTCCCATTTGGCTGTTTCAGCCGTTTTGAGATCGTTTCATTCCTTGAATCTCTCCCTATGTCGTAGGGGTTTTACTCTCTTTCTCCTTTTTTTATTCAATGTTCTATTTTGGTAACTTGCTGCCTGTTCGATCCACCATCTTGAACTAGCATCTATTTCGTACGTTACGTACACTGCCGTACATCTTCGCTGATATTGAATCTATTGTGTGACTTCGTATCCACTCCATTATCGCTATACTCGGACGTCCCCTCTCGTTAACTGCGAGGCTGGCACAAGTGTACATCTCACTCATTCGCGCTACAATTCAAACTGGACTGCGTCTAATTTCAATCAAGTTGGTTCGGAGAATCTTGCCCAAGGCTGTTTCGCAGCCATTGGCAATCGGATGATTCCCTTTCTATCGCAATTGCGCATCCACTATTCATTTCCAAGATGAGTCCAGCAAATATTACACTATGGGCTCGAGGTACAGCGAGTGATCTCGAGTCGGTTCCAGACACCTTTTCGAGCTGGGACAAATGTATGGCCAAATCGTACTGCAAGTGAGTTCTTCCTAGGGGATGTGCGCCCTTCCCTTCCCCATTTGCGCATGATCTGGCCTGATACTAATTAATTGGCGCAAAGGTGGCCCGTCATCGTCGGTATAATCGTTGGTTCGGTAGTTCTACTTGCCGTATTAGCTTGCATCATCAATTGCCTCTGTTGCGGCTATCAATGCTGCAAGTGCTGTTGTAGCTGTTGTTGTCCGTCAGGCAGGCGGAGAAACAAAACGCCTAAACACTTTGACGACTTCCACCAATCTCCACCTGCTCCCAATCCTGTCTATCAACCGCCACCAGCCCCACCCTCCTATCGTGGTGCGCAACAGAGCGCGCCCTCCTTCCGCAGCGCGCAGCAGACTGCGCATTTCGATGCGCCTAAGTCTCCGGCTCATGTCAATGAGGACGCCCTGCCTGAGATGCCTACCTGGGCTGGTGCCGTTGACAAGCATGTTGAAGACCCAAATCATCGTGACGATGTTGAAATGGAGCCATTGAATCCCCCGGACCGAAAACAGGCCGGCACACCTGGTGTCGCTTACACTGACTATTCACCCAACCCAACCATGGGCGCCGCGGCGGCGGGATACAGAGGATTTGGGCCTACCGATCCGCGTGCACGTCGGTCTCCCGGCCCAGGAGCGGCATTGAATCCCATCCAAGATCCCTATGGCCGACGTTCGCCGGGCACACCTTCCCCCAGGGGAGCCATTGATCCTTATGGGAGAAGATCCCCGGGCCCGGCGGCACTCAGTGCTGCCCAGGATCCATACGGCCGACGTTCCCCCGGCCCAGCAGCGTTGGCTGCCACTCAAGATCCGTACGGGCGCCGCTCACCTGGCATGTCACCGGCCCCAGCGGCTGGCTATGGCGCCGCAGCCCACGACCTCTATGGCTCGCGCTCTCCGGGCGTGACATCTCCTGTCGGTGCACCAGTTCACAACCCTTACGACCAGCAACAATACCAAGACTCCTACGATGACCACTCGTATGGCGCAGGCAATGGTTACCACGCCGTGGCCGCACCCTCGCCCGTGGCTGCATACAAGCCGCACACCAATTACAGCCCCGTGCCAATGGCCTTCTCTCCATCTTCGGAGATAGAGCCATTCCCGCAGCCGCGGCTCCAACGCCAGGCTTCCAGCGCCAGCCATCTTTCGGCTCTAGCCAGTATCCCCCAACCTACACCTCCCAGCCTCCATACCGCGGCTTCTCCCCCGCTCCTTCTTCCCCCCCTCCTGCCTTCTCGGCTGCTTCGCCCTCAGAGTACGCTACCTACAACCCCCACGCCAACACCATCCCCATTCCCGAGCCCGACAACACCAGACCTCCGAGTCTGTTGCAGAGCGGTAAAAAGCCTACCGTCAATGCTTCTAGCAACTTTTGAGTATGACCCTCGTCGATCGAGGCCGTTTCATGAACAGGACGTTTTCTTTTTTGTCTCTTCTTGTCGTTGTGCTTTTTTGATACCATTCTTACGCCATATTTGTCTTTCATCTTACATACTTACCATGACCCCGGGCTAAATTTGGGCTTGAAATTAAAGAGTTTTCTTTTCTTCCATATTTCCATCACTTGGACTCTTTTGTATCCTGGAGTCAGCCTTGTCTGACTCGTTCAGTACTCCTGAATGGCAGCCTTTTCGGGATAATGCGCATTTCTGTGTAGCAGGAAATGACCCACCCTTTGGTTCGCCGTAGAATTTATGATATCCAGAGCTTTGAGGGGTTTTTTTTTTCCAGATTGTTGAATTGGGATATGCTTGGTTTATACTATGGATACATACCTAGTAGATGAAAATAACAGGGTATGGCCATCTGACTGTCCTCGCGCTGTGACCTATGTATCTGGCCTTTAGTCTCGACGGGATCACGATCTGGGGATAGGACTTTTAAGGCTGCGATTGGATGCTCAACGGACAACTTGTCATTGAGAATCCGAGCATAAGCCCAACAGGTTGCCATCGCTAGGGATCTGGGGGGAGCATTGTCGGGACCTCTATTGATGTTTTCCATTTCTGACCGGAACAGCCTGCGTTTAATATGACCTATCTCTTATGTTGCCCCCATGGAAATCTGTAATTTGTGAATTTGGCTTCAAATTTGAACTCATTTGTCACATTTCATCGTATTGTACACGCACAGGTAGCTCTCCGAAGATGCTCCCCGTCGAAAGATCCCTCACCATACCACACACTTGCCATGTATGACCCCTGGAAAAGAAGAAGAAACTTGCTAATCTCAAACTCATTCCTCAATCTCCATCGCGAAATCATGTTTCTTGAAAGCCTCCTTGAAAGCCTCTGCATCCTTCATCTCCTCGTCGTCCGTCTGCACACAATCTCTCCAGTTAATACGCTCATCCAGATAGAGCACCTTACCCATAACCCGACGACCAAATTGCAAATCAAACCGGTTCTCGGGCAGGATTTTCATGATGATAACATTCTCTTCTCCGGATTCAGTCTTCCAAACGCCTGTGTGCTCAGGCGCAGACCAATGATCGCCTTTAGTTTCGGTTTCGCCGTTGGGCGTAGGCGTCCAAATGAAGACTCGGAAATAATCGATCATATGGTGGTTGTGGATTTCGTCAGGGTTTGGCACGGTCTTGAACGTCGAATATTCCAGGTTCGAGGCTTCCTTCTTGAATGCCATTTCCACAAGTCGGGAGCGGATCTTTTCCACTGGCATGGGAAGGAATTGCCAATGTGTGTGGATACCGTTTGAGCGGCTGACTTCCCAGGTGACAGCACCTAGCTTGCCTCCTGATCGCTCATTCAGCATTTGGTGCAGGGATTCGCGGTATCGTTGCATCTCGGCGAAAGTCGAGGCGCGGATGGCCGGGTCGAAGATTAGGTCGATGGTCGGGGAGTGTTCGAAGGGGATGATGAGCATATGGCCTGGGAAGCCTAGGGAAGGGTAGAAGTTGGTTGTGGGCAGAGGTCCTTTGGCGGTGGTGACGTAGCTGTCATTGCCGATTGAGGTGATGAGATGGGTGGCGATGTTGGGGTTCGAGAGGCAGAAGAAACAGTTCTCTGGGCCTGGCGGAGGGGCGCGTTGTTTATGGCGGCGTTGATGTCCCGGATCTCTATCTTGGTCAGAGGGGGCGTAGCGCTGGTATGATTCGCTTTGGCTTGGGAGCATTTTGCGCCTGCTTTGCACCGCCGACCAAGGGCAAATGGTGGAGCCTGTGGGGATACTGCTTGGGAACGGTGCCGTTGGGTCCAAGGTAAAGGCATAAATAGCATCTTTCGACGAGCCGAAAGTAGGCAATGAGATGAACCGAGTGAGCGGGTAGACATCTTCACCTCCCTCAGTTGGCATGTGAAAGAAGGGTTCACGCTCGAAGAAAGCACCATCCGACCGAGAGAAGTGATACCGGGGTTTCAGAGTCGCGCAGACATCAGCAATGCATTGTAATTCAGATGGCACGGTCTCCTTATTCCCAGAGACCTCGCAGCTAGATCCTAGACGGACATCCTTCGGCCATTGATTGGTGATAAGAATGTCGGTTTTGTGAATCCCAAACAGTGCACGAGCATCGGATTCACTGTAGGTTGGTTGGAACTTGCCACTAGCATTGCTCTCGGGTTTGGATCTAGCCTCTGTCGCTCCCATGGTGCCACCGAGGGCAACAATACGAATACCATCTGTTGTCTTCAAGGTTCCCCTCTTTCCCAGGAAGAACAAGTTGGGGCACACTTCATCAGTTGCTTCAATCTTTTCGACCACTTGAGGGGGAAGTGGTCGGTCACCAAGGGTGAAGTAGGTTGGGCATGCCACGGTGATGTTCCCCTCTAGCAAGGCGTTAATATCCTCGAGCTCATTTTCAGTCGAGCCATCACCGAAGAGGTCGCCAAGAATGATCGCAAAGGAGAAATCCTGTTTTAGCTGCAGCTTGGCTAGCTTGGTGAACACGGGCCGTATCTGACCATTCAAGCTGCCAATGACAATACTACATATGAATTGGGTTAGTGACTGGAAGACGGGCAGATCTGAACATACATACCATTTGGGAGCCATTTTTGGATCTGCCTTGATGGTAGATTGAATTGGAAGAGGAAAATTTTGAAAATTTTGATGGAAAGTTGATGAAAAGGTGGGAAAGATGGGAAATAGGAAGATGAAAGATCCCCAAAAGTATGAGATTCTTCCAAATACCCAAACTGTCTGGATGTGCCACCAGAGATCAGCTACATGCGACTAGACGCAGGATAGAACATCTTCGGGTTCTCGAGAGCAGGAGCTTGGGCCACCTTATCAGCACGTGATATATATAGATATCTGCCTCGGAATAAGGAAATTCCGCTCCGAAGAACTTTTTTGTATTCCATGCGGATCAGCCAAAAAAAAAGTTGACCAGTACCTTTCTCACGAACAGTGCTGCTCGTCAGACTCGTCAAGATGGTGGGGACAGGCTCAAAACCAAAGCCTGTAAGGCGCCTGAAAACGGGCACAGAAACCACGAAAAACCACCGATTCGAGGGCTTTTCATCACGCATCAGCAAGCTCAAAATCGACCCGATCCACCGCGTGCGCCGCGCCAGTTTCGGCGAAGATGAAGACGAGACATCTTCTTATTTCCGAGCTGCCCTCGATCACTGGTTCGAGATGAACCTTTCAGACAACTTTACACAATTCGTACGGCGTGTCAACCCTCTTTCCGAGAGCTTTGCGCAAGTTCTGTATCATGAAGAAAAGATTATGGGTCTATTGGTGGAATTCATCGAGAAGAGAGACCAGCTCTCTATGGAGCCGCTTTTGAGCTTGCTTGCGCAATTTGCTCGGGATCTTGGCGTCAAGTTCGAAAAGCATTTTGCTACGGCGGTGACACTGGTGTCATCCGTTGCAGCGACACATCCCGATATTGAGGTCGTTGAATGGAGTTTCACTTGTCTTGCATGGATCTTCAAATTCCTTTCCCGTCTGTTGGTACCGGATCTGCGACAGCTGCTGAGTATCATGACTCCATATCTCGGAAAAGAACGACAAAAGCCATTTGTGGCGAGGTTCGCCGCGGAGTCGATGTCGTTTCTTATCAGAAAGGCCGGCCTGGTTTATTACAAGAACAAAGCACCCCTCGAGACTGCCGTCTCATTCCTCTTCGACGATATCTCGAAGGCCGCCGATGACAACAAGGATACTGAGAACTACAGGGAAGGATTGATGACCATGTTCTCTGATGCTATCAGGGGAGTCAACAACGGGCTTCACTCCAATGGCATGGATATCCTAAATTGTGTTCTAAGTCAGATCCCGCCGACTAGTGAAAACCACAATGACCCCGCAGAAGTTATATTTGGTCTGGTCGTCAGTCTTGTCCACGCCACGACTCCCGACACCTTCGGACCCGTTCTCGACACGGTCAAGGCTTATATTGAAGATCGTTCAAAATCTACCCCGAATCCTAATCTCTCAGAGTGCTGCCGTATAATGTTCCTGATTGTGACAACTCGCAAGGGTGTCAGGATCCAAAACTGGAAGACTGTTCATCAAATCCAAGTGTCCCTGCTCCAGCAGGTGTCGGCATCTGATGTCTCATCAGCAACGATATCACAGATCCTTACAAGCGTCGCATACGCCCTTCAGATGTCCCCCATGGACGAGTTGCTACCTTTCCTTCGCCCTATCATGGACCTGGTGTCTACAGGCCAGCTTTCCAAATACTTCTTATTCTTCTGCGCAACATTCTCTGAGTGGGGATCAGAGCGATTCCAGAGCTTGGTTCTTTCCCCTTTCCAAAGGTTTATCAACTCATCATGGCAAAAGTCAGAGTGGGAGACTTGTTTCACCCTGCTACGCCTGCATGAAGCTGGTTGCATCACGCCCGAGACCTCGCAACCTGGCTACGTTTCCTGCCCAGATGCCTTCAAATCTCGCATCACTGATTCATTGGAGTACCCCACGAAAGATGAAGCCTTTTTGAATGCGCTAGTGAAGCTTCCAGCCGCTATCTCTTTGTTTGCGGATTCTGCTACAATGTCCAATATTGTTTCTAAGTTGCACGATAATCTCCTATCAGCATTCCAAGACGGTGCAGCTGAAGGCAATGACGCCAAGACGAAGGGCCTGGTGTTTTTCCTTGGTCAAGGGTTCAAGACCTATGTCGAACTCGCCAACAAAGTTGGAGAGCTTGATTCGGGTCTCTTGAAACCGATCATTGCCACTGCTACAAAATTCTCCCGCCTCCCAGTCTTTTTGGAGGGTGCCCTTGCTTTCATTTCCTCTCTCCCAGAGGCAGCCGAGCTTGAACATCCCACTCTGGAAGACTTTGCTCAGGATTTAATTGTGAACCTGGCAAGCCCGTCGCACAGGCTGAGGCTGGTATCTCTTCGGATTCTACGGGAGTTAATTGTTCGCATTGCCAAAGATGACCCCTCGCCCGTGG